AATTAAGATACTAGGAAGTTAGGAAATAGTAGCTAAGAAAATTTTTAGGTAAGTAGATTTCTTATTTCCTATACTAAAAAATAATTATTCTAGTCTAACCCTAAGCTAAAATCTCCTAATAAAAGATTAGGACCTAGTTATTACTTATTCTATAAATAAATAAATATAAGCTAAACCTACTAGATACTAAATCTTCTAACTCTATTACTAAGTTATTAAAATCTTCTTTAAGAGAAATATATATATAAAGGACCTACTATTACTATTAGTATTTTAGATCCTTTCTTTTACTTCTTTAATATATTCTCTATACCTAAGGAAATATTAGTTAATTTACTAAATTCTCTTATTAAGAGATTATAATTATTAATAGAAGTATATACTATCTATAGAAGTTAAGTTAGATTACTTTAATAGCTTAATAGTAACCTTAGTAGCCTTCTTTATATTTTTATAATAGTTCTTTAGTTTATCTAGTATAGAATCACTTTCAGTAGGTTCTATAGCTAGAAAGCTAGGAATCTCTAGATTAGCTAGAATATTAGTTAATCTATATAGAATATATTACCTGAGGTCCTTATTAATAAAGTTAATTTATAGATACTAGTCTACTTCTAAAAGTATTAAGGCTAATTCTTTAAGGACTATATAGGCTTCTATATATATATTCTAGGTAAAATTAGAGAATTCTCTTATTAGGAGATTTTATAAAATATCTTTAAATTAATAATATCTTCTTCTCTTATAATAATACTCTTATCTAGAGTATTAATTATTACTTTTTTAAGTATATAATAATATATTAATATACTAAAGACTTCACTCTCCTATATAAAGATATCTTTAATATCTTTATTATATAAGATAGGAGTTCTCTTAAGTGTGCTATTATCCTTAAAATTTAATCTTATAATTAAATATCCCTAGTTACTTTTACCTATAGCTTTAATCTCTTTATCCTAGGAAATATTAGCTTAAATCTCTTATTAAGAGATTTAATTACTATACCTATATTAATTTATTATTAAATTAAGCTATAATCCCATTAAAATAGGGACCTATAAATTTAATAAAAGTATTTATAATATATACCTAATTATAATAGTAGAATTACTAGAGATATATAATTTTATTATTTTTATACTACTATAGTCTTTTTTTAAAATTCTTTTTAATACTCTAAGTAATAATAATAAGGGCTTCTAATTTTACCTCTTTTAAAGTTATAGGAATCTTACCTTTAATCTATTATAATAGTTAATTATAATCTAGTAATAAGAGATATTCCTCTTACTAGTACTATATCTAGATTTTACTAAAGAGGATCTAAATCTACTGCCCTTTATAGCTAGTATATAAGTTTCTAAGTATATTTAAGTAGATCTACTTTATTATTAAATAGGTAAGTATAACTAGGTGCTAGGATAGAGTCCTAGAACTAATCCTTTATAATATTTATATCCTATATAAATATCTTAAATATATTAGATACTCCTGCTAGAAATATAAAAGACTTATTAACCTAAAATATTATATAAATTAAAATCTTCTTTATAACCTTACTAATCTTATTCTACTTAACTAGTATTAACCTATATCTTTATAAGTGTATTTCAGAAACTAATAATAAGAGATTTACTATTTATTAAAGAAGAGTAGATCTCTAATATATCTATAGTATACTATATTATACTTATCCTTATTTAGCACTATTAAAAATCCTAGATATTAGTAGGTATATAAGTAGTAATTAATTTTAACTAGTATTTATAACTTTAGCTATATAGCTAAGTTATTACTAATATTCTCTAGTAATTTTAGAAAATTAGGGAGGTTTCTACTAGTGAAATTATTCTTTAAGGGGTAGAATAGTATTATTTAATATAATCTATATATCTTTTTCTCTACTTTAATAACTCTATCCTAATCTTTAAGACTTACTAATATAGTTATATTACTAAAGATAGTAAGGCAGTGCCTCTAGAACTAATTAAAAAAAAGAAGATAAATCTAATATTAAGAGAATTAGTATCTACTAATAAAATTTTTAACTCTTACTTATAAAATTAAGCTTTAGAGATATTAGTATTTCTAAGTAATCTAGATTAGTATAGTACTAGCTATAATAGGTACTTATATAAAATTTTATTTATTTATAAAACTTTAAATACTAGAGAAGAGATAGTAGCTAAGGTATATTTTCTTTATTAATATTAAAAATAAAGCTAGCCTATTTTTTAAAGGACTTTAGTTAGAGCTTATATACTTTATAATTAGAGGGGAGACTATTAATAGTATTAATAATAGTATATATTAACTTACTATTAGTATTTATCTTATATATAATCTCCCTATTTATCTAGAGTCTCTAGAGGCAGCCTTTATTAAGGGAATCTTTATTCTAAATATTATAAGTCTATAAAAATTCCTATCCTAAGTTAGCTTTAACTTAATCTAAAATCTCTTATTAAGAGATTACTTACTCTGCTATCTAGTACTTTAATAAAGTTCTTATTCTAATTAATATTACCCTAGAGGGCTATATTAGTAATATTATAGTATAAATTAAGAAGGGCCTCTTAGTAATACTATCTAGTCTATAAAATTAATAAAGATATATTAGGGACTTTATATTTAATCTCTAAAAGTTCTATAGTCTATAGTTTAGACTACTTCTATAGGTCCTTAAGCTCTGCAGTAGTTAGATCTTTATTATTATTATATTACTAGAAAATCTACTTTAAATAGGTATTAAAATTATCTTTACTTAGTATTATCTATAGTCTATTCTTAATTATATATCTATAGATATTAGTTATAAACTCTTTCTTTAGATACTTTATATATTTCTAGTTTAGACTTCTATTACTGCCCTTCTTCTAGACTAGGTTTAGATAGTAAATATTAAAAATAATTATACCTAAGAAGTACTTATCTAACTTTCTTATAATCTTATCTTTACTAATCTCTACTTCTAAAACTAATAAGCTTAATATCTATATAGTAGTCTTTCCCTTTCCCTTCTTCTTCTTAGATAGTATATTAATAATTTAATTCTCTTAATAAGAGATTAAATAAGATTCTAGTAATAAGAGAACTTAGTAATAAGAAAAAGAGGAATATAATAATTAAATATTATAACTAATTAAGAGATTAAAAAAATTATAATTTTATAAAATTAAAGAATATAAAGAAGAAGAGGTTCTATAAGGCTAAGAAGTATTCTTATTAATAATTTAATACTACTACTATATAATCTTTCTATTAGTAATATTTAATAGTAAATATTCTTAAATAGAATTAGCTTTTCTTTATATTATACTTAATTAATTTGAATAGGACAATAGGTGAATAAATAAAGAAAGTTTAATATTTAATAAGTTATATAACTATAATATAATATAGTTATTTAGTAAGTATTCTCTTATTAAGAGTTTTATATAGATACTATTATTAGATACTACTATAAATATTTTATATACTAAGTATACTATATTCTTTATATAAAATATATTAAGTAATTTAGATCTCTTATTAGGAGATTCTTAATATAGCCTTTATTAGTTTATATTATTTTAATTTAGAATAGCTCTAGTTTACAAAGGTATTATATTATTAGGCTATTTATATATATTATTTATATATATCTTTATTATCTCTTAATAATAGTAAAATATAATATTTTTATCTATATATTATCTAGAATTTATATAATCTAGAGGGAAGCTATCCTTATATAGTATAATATTTTCTTCTTTTAAGGTATATTAATTATATTATTTAGATAGAATATTAAATTAAAAATTATTTTTTATTAAATAAGTAGATAAAAAGAAGTTATTAATAGATTAAATATAAGCCTTTTAAATAGTAAAAATTAAGCCTATACTACTAGACTAATTATTATTATTATATAAGTATAGAGAGCAGTATATTTTTTTTATCTCTTAGTAATATCTCTATAAGTAGGCTAGATATATCCTACTTATTAAGTTTCTAGGGATATTTAGGTATTATCTAGGCTATAAAATACTATAGGGAACTATATTATTTATATAAGTAATAGGTTTACTAGGAAAAGTATATATATTTAATACTAAACTACTTAGTTTCTAATAAGATATAGATTCTTCTATTTCTACCCTATACTACTAGGCCTTAGTATTTAAAGAAATACTAATCTACTAGCTTATATAATTATACTTATAATTTATAAGTTTATAACTCCCTAGTAGCTTATATATAATAATCTCTTAATAAGAGATTATAGTACACTAATTAAGTTATATATTATAATAAAATTTTTATATATAAAGTAAATACCTTTTAGATTATATTAATAGTAATAGGATTTATACTAAGAAGCCCTAATATTTAGTATAGTAGTAGAAACTAGTATAGTAGTAATTATAATATAGTAGTATAGGAGTTAATAGGCTATTAGTATATATTAGTAATAAGATTAATAGGTTTTTAGGTTATAATTTATCTATAATATCTATAATATTCTCTTAATAGGAGATTATTCTACCTACTAGAAGTAGTATAGTTTAAAATTATATACTACTTATAGGTAAAAGAGGTTACCTATAATCTAACCTATATAGATTAGAAGATAGATAACTAAGGTCATAGGTTTCCCTAAACCCATATGGGTTGGGTTGAACCCCTTGTGGATCAACCCATATCCACCCCACAGCCAGTCTAGCCCAAGCTAGCGATCCAGGAGGCTTATTGGTAAGTCAAGCGAGCACGTGATTTTATCGGACTGAAGCGACGTTGTCGATTCCCTTGATCATCCTCACCCTTCCCTTAGTTGCCATCTCCTCCAATCATGCCGGCATACTATGACACGCTACTTGAATATACTTGGAAACCCCCTCCGCTTTTCTGCATCGCAAGCGCAATCTCGGCATCCTGTTCCATTTTTCCAATCCCTTCCGCGCCGACCAAAAGGGCTAAAGGTTGACGTGAGCCCTTTTGGACGCCCGGGCTCCGCAATGGCCGAATACCATCGCATCGAGTACAACTGGGTTAAGGGTGTGGAGTCACTTGAAGAATACCAGCCTGGAGGTTATCATCCCGTTATCGTCGGGGACGTCCTACAAGACCGATATCACATTGTAGACAAGCTTGGTTTTGGAGGCTATTCGACGGTTTGGCTTGCCCGGGACACTCGTCTACAGCGATATGTTGCTGTCAAGATCAACACCGCAAACTCTCCTCGGCGCGAGGCAAAGATTCTCAAGGCTCTATCTGCTCCACTCTCTAGGTCTTCGCCCATACACACTGGGCGCAGTTTAATATCTGTTTTCCTAGATGAGTTCAAAGTGCGAGGGCCCAATGGAGAGCATACGTGCTACACAATGGCCCCTGCACAATGCAACTTGAGAGAGATATCCTTTAGCCGCCTTTTCCCCCTCGAAGTTGGTCGAGCACTGTCATATGGACTTGCGCAGGCCGTTGCTTATACACATTCACAAGGTTATGTTCATGGAGGTATGTTATGAAGATGACGACTGTTACAATTCCGTAGGTGTAACTGATAAGAAATATCTTTTTTTTCATCTAGATATTCATTTGAGCAATATTTTGATCAAGCTTCCATCAAGTTTCGACGATCTTTCTATCAAGCAACTATATGAAAAATATGGCGAACCTGAGGCAATACCTGTTACTCGATGTGACGGTGAGGCATTGCCCCCTAACGCTCCGACCAAGGCCTTTTTGCCCCTGTTCCTAGGCAAATATGCGGAGGAGTTCTCATTATCCGATGCGCACGTCCTTTTAAGCGACTTTGGTGAGGCTTTTTGTCCAGCCACGGAAACTCGTCTAGGACGAGACTGCCATACTCCGCCCGCGTTCCGAGCTCCAGAAGCCAAATTCGAATCACAGAACTTGCTGGGATATCCCTCGGATATCTGGGGTCTTGCTACCGCAATCTGGGAGATCATCGGAATGAAGGCAATTTTCAGCACCGATTTTGTACATGAGGATGAGGTAGTGTCTCAGCATGTAGATGTACTGGGGCCTATGCCTTCCGAGTGGTGGCAGAACTGGGAAGGACGGTCTCGATTCTTCGATGAGTATGGGTTTCCGACGGAGTCTCACAGGGAAAATAGATGGCCTACTCTTGAAGAGTCATTTGAGGTCGGTGTGCAGAAATGGAGGCGTAGGGCTGGAAAGGGGATTGAAGAAAACGAGAAAGCTGCTTTTCTGGATTTAATGCGCCAGATGCTGTCATTCAGACCTGAGGAACGACCGACTGCTGAAGCGCTACTAACGTCGGTGTGGATGGTTAAGTGGGCATTGCCTGATTTTAGGCGGAGCTTAAAGTATCCCCTTTGAAGTGATTGAAACTCATGATCCATAAAGCTATCGCCATGTTCTAAGGACCGACGCAGAGTTTGAAAAGCGGCAGAAAATAATGTATTCCATCCATACGGGAAGAGGCACTTGAATACATGGGCTAATTCTCACTGCATCCTTTTGACCAGCCGGGAATACAGTGAGGATTTAGAAACAGTATAGTAATGCCGAAGGTACGCAAAGAATGAGCTCTGTATGAGGCAGTAACTATGAGCAATGTAACAAAGCCTGGAGTGCCAACGTGATGGTATACGTCGAAAATTCTTGCTATTTTGTATGTCACAATGTATGTCTGACTTCGTGAACCATGTATTCATCGTCTTCTGACACCTAATACCGACAACACTCCAAACTGAGTAAGAACTGAAACCCTTAAGTATTGAATATTGAATCCCGAAACGCTGGCCTGAGAGATGTTCAACATTGTTGACGCCAAGGGCACGTCAGAATCATCCTGCATTACTCTGATGGCACCTATCCTTGACCAGGTAGGTGTGAGTAGGCGATGGGACTCTCTTTATATTCTTCAAGGAACTCTTCAGGTGGCCAGACAACCTTATCAGACTGGGGCCCGCCACGGCGAGTGTTGTCCGCTTTCTCTGAGGTATGAGTAGCTTCCTTAAGAGTAAAGTCCTCTTTGCCGTTGGTATATCCGTGTGACGCTACATGGTATTCACGTAGGAGTTGATCGCTGGCCTTGAAAGCGAAGGTCCCATGCCAGCCTTTAGGATCCATCATATGTCGGCCTTTGTTCGTGGTGGTATTGTGCATGTCGGATCTGGATAGCTATCGGTTAGCATCATGTTTATGCAGACATACATCCGCACAAAGCCTTGGCAAGGAGGTATGTTTGAATCTATATCCAGTGGGTGAAGCGCCGCAACACTTCCTTCAGACCAAAAGAGCAAACTGAATGCACTAACCGAATCAAGATTGCCTTAGGAGCCAGCAGTTGATCCCGTGCTGTCGCATAGGCTAGAGCTACCAGGCTCTTTTTGCGTTCAGCGCTGATAGTGTTACCACTGTAGAAGAAGATCCGAACAAAATTGACCCCCCCTCTAGCAGCATCCATGGTTTTAAAGTAATGCTAGATGAAACAGAGAGTCTGGGATGAACACTGTCATGCAGAGAGATTTTTTGATATTGGGGAGTATGGCCAACCTGTTTGGGCACGGAGCTAGGTCTTTTATATTGCGACTATCCATCCTTGGATAGGACTCGTAACTGTCCGAATTATTGGTCATGCATTTTTGTTGACGCTTTCAACGACGAGATGCTGAAACTCGTGGGCGGCTAGGTATCTAAATATAGATAGAATTCCCTAGGACATAGGCGGCGTGTCTTATACTTGTCACTTCTCGGCGCTTAATGATTCGAGCTGCTACTCTCATCCATCAGTACCAGGAGATAAGAGACGAGCTTTATTGTTAGATGGAACGTTTGGGACCGGTGCGTGCCTGAGTTTGGAAGATGGTCGGACACCGCTCATCGACTGCTGACAGTGGACAGGACGCTGCGACGAAGTTGCTTCTCGGTAATGGGAAATGATAGGGCCGAATGCCGCTCTCATATAATGCTGCAAATAGGCACGAAGGGTGGATAGAAAACCGGACTTCTATTGTGCCATATGCTCCCATGGAGTCTCAAGTGCCCTCCGGAGCGTCACGAGCGCAACAACGAACCCCACTCGAAAATAGGCTCCTCGGTTGCGACGAGAAGGGCGAGAAAGCGATTCACATTCACCGTCCTTGTAATCGCGGCTTCTCTCTCCTCCGGTTTCTTGGTACCTGGGGCAGGAATCGAGTAATCCAAGTGGCGCCAAATCTCCCAGTCCAGCATCGGCAGGTCCTTCCACACTTGCTTCCTGTGGAGAATCAACGGCTCATCTTGTCCATGGTCACCGGGCTTTGTAACGTCCGGGAGAAGGGACATATCCACGAGAATATCAACGAGTTTATCCTGGTGTTCTGGGTTCTTGCATGCAATCTGAAGTAACAGATGCCAGAGTTGGCCCAGTTGGGCCGCGAGGGAGGCGTCGCGTGCTAAGGCGGCAGATGCTAGTTTGGCGCGGCTTCTGGGGCGTGAATTTCGCCTGCGAAGAGATCGTGCAGGACTGCAAGGTGGGGTCCGAGATCATAATCACTGCCTTCGTTTGTGAGGGTGGGTAGTTGAGTCAACATGGCGTTCATTTGATAGTGAGAGGGCTGGATGGAAAGAAACTTGTCTGTGGTGAATTTCTGTCTGTGCTATAGTCGGCGCTTATACTTATTTGCAGGCAGATGGAGGGATTTCGATGACAAAAGCCAAGGCTGAAGTAAATCTGGCCAACTACTTAGGTGCGGACTATCCAGACAGGGGTGCAAGAAACAGGAATAGGCGGATCGACAGAGGTTAGCGCAGGGCAATTGTATTTCTACATTGTGTTTCTTGCTCCGCAGGCGATTACCACTATCTGTAGAAGAATCAGAGTGGACTCTGTCGATGCCCAGCCTACAGAGTATCTATTACGTGGCTATGTAGACGAATTGAAGAATCAGTCGTACGCCACTTAAGACAAAATGGATCAATGGGTAAGAATACTGCAGAAAGTGTCACTCTGGGACTGGGATTGTTTCAGCCAGGTGTTACTTTAACTAATATCCGTGTGTTGATCCTCCACTGGTAGTTGCCCTTTGGACCTTATATCTAAACAACAGTAACTGATATCCAGTTATTGTGATGGTAAGAAGGGTCCAGACTAAGAGGATAATGCTCCGCTTGTGTAGATTAAGCAATTCAGCCTTTTATCATGGCATGCTCCTCTTAAAGACGACCCTGCCAGCTACTGGTAACCTGTTTAACATCATCATCATCATCAGTACGGAAGACAGGCTGGAAAGATACAACTCGCCAGTCTTGTCATCCACATCCTGTCCATACTGTCCACCTAATCACTCGAATTCGAAAGCAGCGTTTTCCCCGGGAGTACATGCGATGAATTATCCACTGTTGCCTGAAGAACCTGCACGCATGTCGTTCACCTCTACTCACCCTATACACCACATATTCACAATGAACTTATCCTGATTCTGCTAATGACCATGTAGACACCTAGGCATCGCAACATGCAGCTTATACCGTCCGCTGGGCTGACACTAGGTAGGCACAAATGGCTTGTATCACCGCTGCCAGCTGCCGCGTACCCGCCAATTTGCGCGAATGACCGCTAATCCGGACAGTGTACCCTAGTTGCGGAGGTGGAGGGACCTGTACAGCCAGTTCAGCATGTCGCCAGCGTTTGTCGTAGCCGTAGTCGCCGTTGTGCGGGAGGAAGCCACCGCTCGAGAGTGCAGAGACAGAGGCATCCAGAGCCAACTGTTTTAGGCGTTGGGAGTGGCCGCAGATGCAGCAGCTGCGCTGATGATCAAATAGACAGAGAATTTCTCCCCTACAGCTGAACTGGTCGAGAGGCAAGAGAGCGACGATGGCCATTTATATGTACTGTACGCACCCAGATTGCGGGGATTGAAGGTGGAGTAGACATTCAAAAAGCTTCAACAAGAGGATATATCAATCAATCCACACTTCCAAAGAAGGTGAAACAGTTCATTCTAAAGCGCCTGCTGAATATCGCGGTTTGAATGGCTATCACTGCGATGTTATTCTTCTGCGGCGTTTAAGCTACTTGAGTGCTGACGTCTTTTGAAATGCATAGTGTAAACCAAGACCAACAGATCTTAGAAAAAGAAAAGGGATAAAGAACTGTTTGTATTATGATACAGCAATTCTATTCTATAGCCACTAAGGCTCGCGAATTCGGAGTCTCTGCGAAGTGTTTTATAAAACCCAGTAACAGCCGCTAGGATGCTACTATAAGCAGAATATCTTGTAGCGTGTGGTCTACCTTACCCTTCACTGACACATAATGAGATTAATATAGGTATGAGGAGAACATCTCCTGAATGTCTGTTGATCCTCCCGTAATAGTACCATACCGACCCGCTTTCTAGAACGCGTTGCATGGCCCATAGCAGGCATATTCGATCTCGGGATTAAGTCCCTGATTTGGAGCCACGTTGCGAAGGGCTCGGGGTTAAGCTGACGAATCACTCTATATCTCGGACTATATAGGCTCGGAATTAATGAATATGAATCAGGTATCGTAGCATAAACCTTGATGACTCCATATTTCTTGGCCTAGCCGACCCGGGCCACGTTTGCAGATTTGGCCTCGACTTACGAACAATTAACATCTCCCTCATTTCCAGCGTATATTGGGGGGAGATAATGGGGGAAAATGAACAAAGGACAGTTAATATAGGAGTTGAGGACTCTCTGCTTGATCATTGACGTACGCCTTCTCAAGGCAGCAAAGGTTCAAAATCTGCTGCAGGCCTCCGCGTTTTGGTCCATCCTTGGCCAGCCCTAGTAGGCAATGATTGACAGTCGTGAAGAATAATTGCCGTACGTGAGATGGTGTAGGGGTTTACGGAGTACGTAAGTACCACTAAATCCTTTACAAGGGAGCCTTGATTTCGACGACAGGATGATGAAGATTAGGACACATGACCAGCGGCTTAATTGTCCTGCGCATTCATACATAGCTGAGTCGAATGCTTCAGCCTGAGGATCGAACAAATATAAAAGCTGCTGCTTTTCCCTTGGAGAAACAGAGCATCAAGCAATCGCCTCTACCTGGTTCAATTCATTCTTTCACTTTCGATCGCGATGCGCCTCATGACTACTGCCGCGCTAATCGGGACTGCTGCTGCAGCCTCGCTCAGCAGTGTCTGTACTAAAGATTATGTTCTCTCCGTCCTGCCTACCTCGAGCGATGATATCCCCTCGGGCATCACCATCGACACCAGCTCCGTGACGGCCAGCACCTACCAGAACTATTCCGTCACCGGTGCCACTTTCTGGGAGGACATGACCGTCAGCTTTTGCGAAGTCTCCTTTGCGTATAGCCATCAGAACGGAGATGACCGCGTCGTGGTCAATTACTATATGCCGGAACCGACCAGCTTCCAAAACCGATTCCTCGCCACGGGCGGTGCGGCTTATACCATCAACAACGGTTCGGGAGGTGCCGATATGCTGGGGGGTGTCGCCTTCGGCGCTGCCACCGGTTACACCGACGCTGGTTTTCCTTACTGGGGCGGCACTGACTTTGATGATGTGGTTATCCGTGGCAATGGCACCGCCAATTGGCCGGCAATTTACAACTGGGGTTACCAGGCCATTGCGGAAATGGCCCAGATCGGCAAAGCCTTCACCAACAACTTCTTTGACGTCGGTGCGAACACCACGAAGCTGTACACCTACTTCATCGGATGCTCGGAAGGTGGCCGCGAGGCGTTCAGCCAGGCTCAACGTGCGCCCGATTTGTACGACGGAATCGTGGCTGGTGCTCCTGCCATGCGCTACGGCCAGCAGCAAGTTAACCACCTCGCTGCGCCGGTTCAAATCCAGACCATCGGTTATTATCCTCCCTCCTGCGTCTTCCAGACGGTGGTCAACGCCACGATAAATGCCTGTGACGGAATGGACGGCAAAGTGGATGGCGTGGTGGCGCGCAGCGATCTCTGCTTCCAGAACTTCAACGTCACCTCCATGCTCGGCAAATCCTACTACTGCGAGGCGAGCTCGACCAGCAGTCTGGGATTGGGCTATGGCAAGAGAAAGAGGCAGTCCACCTCGGCGACTCCCGCGCAGAACGGCACCTTTAACGCGAAGGACATCGAGGTGATCCAGGATCTATTGACCGGTCTCAAGGATTCCAATGGCGACCTTGTCTACTTCCCCTTCCAGCCGGCCGCTGGCTTTGGTGATACCACCGTCTACGACAGCACCACCGATACCTGGACGATCACCTCCCCGAACTCCAACGGTGAATGGATCACCAAGTTTCTCAACTGGCAGAACGTCACCGAGCTGGACATGTACGGTGTTACCAACGACGACTTGAAGCGCTGGATGATTGAGGGCATGACCAAGTATATGGATGTTCTCCAGACCACCCTCCCTGACCTGACTCCCTTCCACTCCAAGGGAGGCCGCCTCCTCCACTACCACGGAGAGGCCGATACCAGTGTCCCTCCCGCCGGCTCTATCCACTACCATGAATCCGTCCGGAAAACTATGTACTCTAACCTCTCGTTTGCCGACGGCAACGACGCCCTGAACGACTGGTATCGGTTCTACCTCGTCCCTGGCGGCGCCCACTGCGCCATCAACGACGAGCAGCCGAACGCCGGTTTCCCCCGCGACAACTTCGCTCACCTCATCGACTGGGTCGAGAAGGATGTCGTTCCGGTCACCATCAACTCCACCGTGCAGTCCGGCGCCAACGAGGGTGAAGTCCAGAAGGTCTGCACCTGGCCCTCACGTCCTTACTGGAAGGATAACAACACCATGATCTGCGAGGAGAACCCTAGCTCCATCAGCGCCATGCTCTGGAACTTGACTGCTTACCTCACGCCAGTCTACTAAGGTAGCTGGTCTACGAGGGATCGAAGGGGATAATAATCACCGAACTGGCCATGGACCATCAGAACACAGGAACATTCGTCCGTACCACTAGCTTTATCTCTTTTTTTTTAACCATAAATCCAATCTCTTCCTGTGCGGTGCTTCGCCATGTAACACTAAACCATCATAATATGTCTGAAACGGCCCTAATAAATCTGTATCAATTCTGTCCTTCTCCTTTCTTTCATGCGGGCCTATTCAATCAAAAATGCAACTTAAACATGGTTGGAAGGAGGGGAGCTCTGTAGGATGAACTCTCCTCTTAAAGCACCACTATATAATACAGCAACCTTGCTTGAAACTCTTCAACAGTGCACATGAAAGACTATCACAGGTTATAACTCAATTACAAGAGCCCCTGCTTACAAATACCAAAGGTTGCCTTGGGTTTATTTTGCTAGACAGATATGAACAATTTTGCAAAAATAAACAAATACCCTGAATATTCCCTACTGAATCAACAAAAGGCTCAGATCAATGAAAGGCGTTGCCTCCAGAGAAAGTCTGGCTGCCACTCTGTTGCACATTCCTCGTGTTGATTGACCCATTAAAGTACTAAAATTGGTTAAGTAGGGCAAGATTCACCATTAAAGAACAAATTCACTTACAGTCGTTGAACCTGCTGCCTAGAACAGGCAAGAAAGGCAAGGTTAGCTACCTACTCAACAAAGTGACATGCCTTGCCTTGCTTCTGAGGTTCACTTACTGCATTGATCTCCTCTAATTGTTGTTGGCGCAATTGCTTTTCCCTCTATAAACGTCAAGTAAACGTGCGGTTAGTTAGAGGTAACCTCTGCGTCGATACAGTCAACCTACTCTCTAAGATGAAAAATATGTAAACGGGTCTCCTTGTCCACATTTGTAACAATCTGGCCCTGGTTGATCTCTTCTTTTAAATGGTCGGAGACGTCCATCAGGCCCTGGATGGTATACTGGTGCAAGATTTCGTCCACATCCAGTACACGATCCGCGCTGACATGTAAAACAATACTCTTCACTTCGACGGCGCGAATAGTGTGGAGACATTTGACATTCTTGACAAACCTGTCCACTCATTCTGGTCAAGAGTACGCCACGGGACTTTGTTTGGTTCGCAGTTGGCAGACGACAGGCGTGAGGACTTTAGTCAAGCACTGTAACCCTGGCAATCTTTTGCTCTGACAAAGGGCTACCTCTTGTTGGAAGTGGAAAGCGGGGAGTGTATGTAGAGAGTGTAAATCTGAATCGAGTGAAGCATTGATAGTAATTCTGTAAGGGCGAAGAGCGACAATATATGTTAACTAAACCTAAGCTAAACTAAATAAGGGCAATTTTTCGTCGGCCAGTGGTAATTGAGGGTAGATAGGACTGTTGAATAGGTCTTTGAACTGTTGGCTGCTAAGCTGATGTCGATGAACGAAAGCCAACCTCTGCATTGAGCGCCTTGCAGGCAGTTTTGCTTTTAAATCTCCCGATTGAGTGCGCATTCCGGCCAGTTGTATAAAACAGCTTGGGTCTCGGGCCCTCCCTGGAACTAGGGTTCAAGAATTGGGACCAGTCGCATCCTGGAGAAGGGACCATATGACCCAGCCCGAGATTGTATTCAGCCGTGGGAACCCCCCGAAGAATTGGTGTTATAAATCTTCGATGTTATCACAGCCATTCAGAGCACCGGTTCAGTGCTCTGCACGAAATTATATTGCCAGGTATGCAGCTAGAGAGTGCATGTGGTGCAGGGAGACGGTGAAAGGGGTCTTATTTTCTTTGCTTCTTTCATTTGAGAGCGGACAGTTGCGGGGGTACCTTAGACACATAACCCCATAGAGAGGAGCTGGTGGATGCAATGATGCAGGAAAAGGATTTTGTTGTCTTTGGTGGCTGGCTGAGAGTTTCATATTAGATGTGATAATAACGTGGCACCTATCTCATACTGCTCTTGCCGCCATTCTTCAACTACGCCTTTGAATATGATCAGTGCATGGGATTCATTCAAATGAAACATTTCTACAGTCCTGTCCAACTCCTTTGTATAGAGCATATGTGAAATATTCGAAATGTCTGCATACGGTCTGGACGAGCTTTATTGTCCTATAGACGCGAAGGACGCGAAAATCGAGTCAGTCTTTTCTGTTATAGTTAATTATCAGCAAATAATGAGTGTCATCCAGCATTGTTTTTGTCCACGGATTGTCTGGACATCGAAGAGAAACTTGGACCAAAAATTCTATTTTGTGGCCCCAGGAACTCCTCCCAACTGATATTCCGAACGCTCGCATCTTAACCTTTGGGTACGAAGCGGCTGTTGTTGATATAAACCATGAAGTCTCTCAAAGCACAATGGAGACACATGCTGCCGACATCTGCGATAGGTTAGCCGTCTTGCGGGCTGGGACTCCATCGGTAAGGGTAACTTTCTGTGGCTTCACCCTTTGGACAAATAGCTGATAAATTTGACCCAAGAGCAAACGGTCCATTGTGTTTGTTGTACACAGCCTCGGAGGCTTGGTGTGTGCACAAGTGAGTCTTACCGTCAGTTTGCCGAACTTTCTCCATTTGCTTATGATATTCGACCAGGTAATCACCAGGGGAGCTTCTGCAGTGCCCACAGACAACCCTTCTATCATTGCTCAGAGTACACGGGGAATCGTGTTTTTAGGAACCCCATTCCACGGTTCACCATCTGCAAAATACGGTGAAGTTGTTCGAAGAATCATTGGTACATTTTATGACACCAATACCAAGAAGATCCGCGATCTCACCGAAAAGTCCGAAAAGCTCGAGACCCTAGTGGAAGCATTTGCGAGTAGACTGCGCCAACGCCTTTCTGAGGGTAAAGAGATCGGTGTCTGCTTCTTTAGCGAAACCCTAAAGACACACGGCATTCTGGTATTTGTATTTCACCTGCTAATTATGGTCTAAGCTGAAAGACATAGGTCGTTCCGGAAGATAACGCCAGGATAATCGGCTGTGGTGACCATGCATCAATCTATGCGAATCACGTTGATATGTGTAAGTTTACAAATAAGGATGACAAAGGGTACAAGAGCGTAGTGGCAGCAATCAAGAAGCTTGCAGCCATGGAGACTGCACAACGGGTACCTAAAGTATGTCTAATCATACCCAGATTCATACATTTGAAGGCTGAACCCTGACTAGGGCGCTATGACCAATATTTGGAATAACAGCAACAGTACTAGGATCAGGCAGCAGATGGGACAATAGAATGTGTCTGGAAGTCTGAACTTCTATTGATGACTCTGCATGTTGGCCCACAATAAGGGCATGTCACTATGGTATTGGAATATGATGTAACACGAAGCTAACACAAACATTGTCATTTCCCATAATTAAAGCATAGATAACATTCAGTCACCTCAAGGCTTGGGAGATTCTCATAAACCAGCTTTAAATTTTTTGCAAGAGAATAAGATAGGGTTAGTAAATGATTACCCGCTCCTACCTAACAGTCATAAGTAAATAAATAATTCCATGTAGTTAGCCTTTTATTCCTTTGGTTCTAACTCTCAGTGTTCATACATATGCAGGGCCACAATGCCTCTTGTGCCGTCGTATCCCGATGCTATGATGACGACTGGGCCACGAGAGATTTCAATGATGCTTCTACCAAATTATAAGTCTACGGGCTCGGCCTGTCCATAAAAGCTCCCCTCTCTGCTCGTTGTTTCAGCTCTCCTCGGTAGACATTATCTGGTATTGACTGGAGAGACTCTGCTTTCGAACCATACACTGACAAACTCCAAGATATGAGGACTCAAAGGGAGAAGGCATCAGAGTGTAGAATATTGCCTTTCTGTTCCAACATCTGCAACACATATACGATCCCTACCAGCGGATTCTCTGTCCTCTAAACCCGCTATCTAGGAGGACAGCCAAATTACACCCGCTAAGGCCAGGAACAGTTGGCGAACTTGCGGAATGGAGTTGGTTCGGGGCCCCCGGCTGATGATGGAGAAGGCGAAGGAGTAGCCTCAGGGGGAGTACATCCATTGCCCTGCACAAAGCAAGGATGGTCCTGTTTTATTAGTCAGTATTTTATGCACTCCATTTGCTGGTTAACATTTTTTTAAAGCTTTCTCAGAAAAGAAGCATAACCAACTTAATAGCTTGATATTAAGGGGGAACTTACTGGGTTGCATGGAAATGATCCACTATCAGTATCTGCACCGTTCCCAACGCAACTTCCATGATCATATCCAGGTGATGGGAGTACACAATTCTGTAAAATATTGGTTTGTTAGCTAGTGTTTTCCATATATATAAGTAGTATAGGGATAACAGGTAGGGTTAGAGTGTCATACAAACCAGCCAAAGGCAACTGATATAGTAGAGAAAAAGGCAACAGTAGAAGTCAGCTTCATCTTGGATGTTAAAGAATAAAAATCACTTGTTAGGACTTAGAAGATGGTAGAAGTTTGAATGATATGATCAAAATCAGTGAAGGGTGTAAGTATTTATATAGTTGGTGATTCACATATAGGCAGTATAGTGTAAGTTATTAGCATCCACTGCTGTAGAGATGATCACACTAAAGGAACCTTAATGTTGCTATTTATTGGTGCACTAATCATTTGATTGTTTAATCCTTCAATCCTTTGATCTTTTAGCTATAAGTTTTCTCACTATTGTAAAGTAGTATTTGAAGGATCATGGATTGCAGGAGAACTCACCATTTAATTGGTTTCAGATAGGGGGGAAATCTCGGTAGAAATACGCGGCCATTTTGTTACCTTGCTTTATCTCTGCGGAAATTAATATCAAAATCTAAGTCAAAGTGCTAGATGCACAAATCAGGCCACTGCACCCGCGGCAGAGTGGGTGCGCCACTCCATTTCCCACCATTACACTAAAAACCACCAATTTTGAATATTTTTGACTTATTGAAGCTATTCCATCCACCCAACATGCCTAAATCTAGTAAAATTGGTAGATCTGACCTCCTTAATGCCTGCGAAGCCGCGTAAGTCTAAGAAAAACTGAATATCTCCAAGATTGCGCGTGAATATGGCGTTCCTTATGCCGCCCCATGTAGACCTCGCCAAAGCCCCCGGGCTACCCGCAACAGGGGCCCACAACCCGTTTCTTGGCGGGGTTTGGGCCTGATCTAGAGCCCGCGGGCCGGCCAGCTAAGTTAAGCCCAAGTCGAACGGTGTCCCGCTCAGATTAAACTTCATCAAGCATCGTCGCTGCAGGATTCATACTCAGCCATGTTGCAATCTGGCTAAGTGGCTAAGGCGTGCATCCACTGTCTACTAAGCCAATGATATGTATGCTAGGCTGAGACAGTCATGCTGGCTGGACAAAACTTTTAAACTCATAATACTTCGCCTTCCTGCCGCGGCATTCTCTTCTAGCTCATGCACAGAACTCGCACCAGTGATGGTGCTCACATGAAAGTTATCTATGGTTGCTAAGGGACTGGAATTGCAAAGGCAATTCACACCCTCATTTCGCAAAGCCTGGAGACCCTCTTTGCCTGATAACAGGTGCATGTTTTGCAAGGTAAGCTGTGCCCAGCATTGAATGATGTCTAATAGACGACCGTAGCAGAGCCTAGCAGCCTTGGATAGGCTCACTAGACAATCCAGTTGATAGCCTGATACTCCGACGTATCCAATTAGACCTTGCGCGCGGAGTTTCAGGAGTACGTACTCCAACAGCAGCCAAGGCTTCCTCCTCCCGGAATAGTGCGCACCCGGATAATTTTGTACCCTGCTCTACCGGGATGGTTTGATAAATTGGTGCATGCCTTTAAGGATATTGCAAACAACGGTTTCATGCTGCTCAATCCTGATGACACTCGCAAACCGACGTGCAAGAAGTTTGTTTTCATTGCCCGTCTGGGAAAACGCCCAAATAACACGCCTAACATACGAAATCCAACGCCTTAGGCTCTGACTATAATCATGATGTCCTAGGATATCGAAACGGACACTTCGCCCTCGCACCTATAAATGACAGACACCGGAGAGAGCAACACACAGGTTATTTTTGCAATTTTAGAGTAATCCTATACATGCATACATTTGTCACTCAAAGGTCTACAGGTGACCCAGGGCTCCTACCTAGTTAACAGGCATAAATAAATAATTAATCCCATATAGGGTTAGCCTCTTACTTATTCCTTTGGTTCTAACCCTCACTGGTCATACATATGCAAGGCACAATGCCTCATTTTGCCTGAAAGTCTAACCCCCTTGCCATGCTCTTTGATACCAGCTTCTAACCTGTATGGCCTGCATCTTCTCAGAAATTTGAAAGGCTCTACATTTCGGGTACAGAGGACAGGGGGCCCAGAGGTGAAGCATTCCGCTGCTCATGGCATAGATGAGGGCTGTCTTGTGTTACAAGCGCAAAGAATCCTTCACTCATAACCTTCGTGAAAGGCCTACGAGTGGTATATGTGGACGTCTCCCTTGTCTGACAGTTCGGAAGACCAGGATTAGTCTTGTATCTTATGCAGATTTATGAGGTTCAAGATCCAGGTTTCTTCATTAAGCATACGGTGAAGCAGATACCGCATCATAATGCTCGTTAATTACTCTGTAGACTATGACTGGCATTATATTCAACAACCCTCAGTCCGTGTAATCCCCCTTGGGTCCATTCCAGTGGCGCCACAAAAGCCATCTGGCTCCATGAAAACAACTGATTCCTCCCGCCAAAGACAAAGACTTCGAATCTTCCGACAAAGTTTCCATCCACCCAGACTCTGCTCCCTCCAATGACATCTGTGCGAATGACGATCTGACTCTGGAGAGGGATTTTGATGGGTTTATGAGTGGACGACGTCTCGTTTGTCCAGATTCGTCCCGGATACCCCGGGTCGAATCCAGCGTATTCGGCTACGGAGCGAAGTGGGTACTCCCATCCGTCGGATGTAAAGGCCAAAGTACCGGATGCGGATAAACTCAGAGAGCAATCCTCGGAGGACAGCACGAATGGTCCCGCGACCTCAAGCTCCAGTGCATAATTCATTCCCTTGCTGCCGTACCCGAGGTGGACTCTTTCCCCTAATTGTTTCTTGGACGTCCAGTTCAAAAGCGAATCCGTTCTATGATTCGTACGACCAATAAATCTCCTGTCGAGATTCTGACCAACCGCGCGGGCAGTAAGCAGTTTCGCAGACAAAGACAAGCTAGATTCATCTAGTCGTGGGCCCCGCTCGCCCGTCCATGCTCGAGAGGCGACAATCGGGATCCCGTTGCGCATGGCGTAGAAGGCCTCAAGCTGTGTTGTCGCGTCAGGTCCGTTGTCGTTCCATGCAGCTAGAATTGCGCCCTGGACTGCCTGTTTGTCCGGTTGCTCCGTGACGTTGAATGGGTTGAAGAGCGCCGGAGTCCACTGCCATCCGTCGATGTCGGCGAAATTCAACACACGGGAGTTGTTGAACAAGTATGGATACGGAGCGGGGAATATGGGCATATGGTCGTTTTTCAACGACATGTACGCCCAGCGATCCTCCGAATTGATGATCGTGTACCCATCATTTGCTAGACTGACAGGATCCGACTGCCCGTATTGCCAGTGTTGAATGATCACATCTTTGGATATAGAGAGTGTATTCGATGGCTCATAAGTTCCCCATATGCGAATCTTTTTTCCTGACTCGTTGTTGATGAATCGTGCCATCTCATTGACAAAATTGATATAATCATCTGCCAACGTTGAGTCGTACTCGTCCGCCCCGATATGTACTTCCTTTGTGTGAAACCACGGCAGGAATTCAGCCCAGACAGACTTGACGAGCGGCACCGCCCCAGGATGAGAAAGATTCAGCAGATCCTTCTTCTTCAGAGCCAGTTCCGGCTTCCATTTGGTCAGAAACAGGCAATGGCCCGGCGCTTCAATTTCAGGAATAACAGTCACCCCCCGTTGCGCACAGTGATGCTCCAGCTCTTCATAGTCTGCCCGAGATAGCGTCTCGTTTGGCCTCTGCACGATTCCCTGGAGGTCAGGACTCTCAGGGTGCAGCGAAAACTGGGCGTACACGTTGCTCCATGTCTCGTTATGTCCCCGATTGAGAGGGTAGTTATCACTGGTGTGATAATGGAACTCGGACATCTTGAAGAACGAGGCGTACGTGCACAAATCCTTAAGGAAGGCAGGCGAGTACCACTTTCGGCCTGCATCGAGCATGTATCCTCGCGTTGGAACCGAGGGTGTGTCCACCATGCGACCACTCTGAAGCGGTTTCCCGTCAGCGATGATCAACTTCTGCAGCAGCGTTCGCGTTCCCCACCACATCCCTCTCGCTCCAGACCCTCGGATAAAGACGCGCTGCGGGTGAATCTCCACTTCATATCCTTCTTCTGTTGGAGTGCCATTTTCGTAGGTCAAGTTGCAGTCTGTGCCGAGTCCGTCAAGGAAGATTCCCTCCTTTGCGCTGAATTCATGGACCTGGCGGAGTGTCCACCGGCTGGCGGTCACTTCCTGCAGATCATGCAAAAATGTCGTTGCGAATTCCAGCGCAGATGGAGGTATAAGCGTTAAGCCATTTTCGTCCCGATGAGGGGCAAAATCGGCCTTGATATAGATGATCCTCTCCACTGAGCGAACATCAAACCCCGATATTGGCCCTAAGCCTGTTTGATACACGGGGGGGAGTGTCTGCAGTGCAGCAGTCACTAAACTGAAACATAGGATAATATTTAGATACATAGTTGATCTACTGAGATACATAGTTGATCTACTGAGATACATAGTTGATCTACTGGAGTAACGGCTGCCCTGCACGAACTAAATACAAGCAAGGGTTGCAGTGCTGTGGTTGTCGAGGTTACATCGGCTCCCTGCATTTCTATGGATCAACAATCCCATTGTTACCCTATAATCAGATATAGTCTATAGATATCACAGTATTAGTGCCAGGTGCCCCCACGGGAAGCGGGGTGGGGGCACGGGGTGGGGGCACCTGGCACTAATAGTACATACATCTTAGGCCTGGCTTTTTGTTTACTTTCCCCGCACCAGAATCAAGTCCGCCTCATATTGAACACATTCGTGCTTTACGTTGGTAGGAGCAGATCTATATTGTATTTTCCTAGCAGGGACATGGAGACGGCCCCATCAAGCCGCGGGGATGCTATTAGATCAATTGCATCTCATGGCCGGCGGACTTCCAGGCCACGAGCATGACTTCTACCCCATAGTTACAGACAGCCATTGGCTCGGTAGTCATACAAACTACAACGACTTGAACGAGGGCCTCCCGTACTGGTTCAATGGCCTGGTTCCGCTGGCATATATGACGGACGACCAGCGTTTCAAGGACCAGGTCCGGAATGTCGCCGACTATGTCTTGTCGTATCAGAGGATGACGGATGGCTGGGCCTGAAATAAACCCGTCCGTGCCGAACTTCTGGGGCCGATCGTCCATAATGTTGGGATTGAGCCGCTCGCGCGGCGGATATGGTACTTAGTCTGTAGTGGCTGTATGAGTGAGACCCTAGGGCCCAAGGGCAGACGCTCTTGGATTGCATGCGCATGTTTCATGAAAAGGCCCTGGACTGGGAGCACTGGTATACTGATGGGATTTACCTCAAGGATGATCTGAACACCATCTCTCCGGATATCACCGACCAAACGATCCGTTCGAGCAAGGGGTCAATGTTGCTATGGGCTTGAAGAGTGGAGCGGTCTTTAGGTGCCTGACGCATGACGAGGGACTAGCTACGAGCGCGCTGCGAGCCGTCAACTGACTTCTAGATACCACGGAGCCGTTTCTGGGTCGCTCATCGGCGACGAGCGGGTCTCCAGGCTGAGTCCCGCACGTGGCGTGGAGCTTTGGACTGTGGTGGAGACTATGTTTTCGCTGAGCTATCTGTACCATGCGCTGGGAGACAATTCGCCGGCGGATCAGTGTGAGCTCGCCGCGTTCAATGCTGCCGGTCATGACTCTTCCCGACTGGTCGGCCCATCAGTACGTCGCGCAAACTAAGCACCCATCTCGCATAGACTGGACCACTCTCTTTCAGAACGTGGACGAGATGGGTCAAACCTTTGGACTCGAGCCGAACTACCCTTGCTGCACTGTAAATCATCCGCAGGGATATCCCAAGTTTGTGTCTGCGGCATTTGTAAGGCAGGATCAAAACGGCATCGCACACGCGCTTCTTGGCCCAAAGAGTGTCCAGCCTTCAACAAAGTCAGGGGTGAAGAAGAATTGGCTGGGATACGGAGTACCGAGTACCCGTTTACCCAGCGGCTGGTGTATACCATCGACGCAGACGGGCCATTCGAATTTCCGTACGGGTCCCAAGATGGTCCGCCTCCCGCACTGTCTCATTTAACGGATCCCTTCTTCGAGGAGGGGAACCTGGTACACGGACCGGAATGCTCAAAATTCCCGTAAGTCAAGGCTCATCAGAAGTTATCGTCACACTGGCTGCAGAAGTCCACGCGCAACGCCGCGCCAACGATACCGTAGCCATCTACTACGACACTCTACTCTACGCGATTCCAGTGCAATACACACAAACCTCCCAACCCACCCAGGGTTATCCCAATCTTCCGGACAGCATCCGAGACTACGAGCTTCGTCCGACCGGTTCCTGGGCCTATGCGATCGATCCCTCTTCCCTGCGATATAATGGCTTCGACAGAGCTCTGTCTAATCCTCTCTGGACTCTAGGAGCACCCCACGTCCATCACGGCAAGAGTCTGCGAGGTCCAACGGGAGCTGAAAGACGGATATGACCCAAATCCAATCCACCCCGCAAAGGTAACCAGGCATGCCAAGGCGAGCTGGTGGAAATTGACTCGGAGTAAGGGACCGACCTGCGGGGCAGATACCCAGAATGACAAAGGTGGCGTAATTTGCAATCATCAGTTCCTTCAAACGGTCATAATCCGATGGTTCTCCGGATCTATTCCATTAACGCGGGGTATATTGCGGCGATCCTCCGCCGGAGCTTGTCTTTTAGTGGGGATCGTTGCAGAATTGGGAAGTCGGATATTGTTTGTCTCACTCTGTTATTTGTTGCTCGGCTTGGCAAAATCCTATGTCTGCTATGAATTATCCGATTGCTGCATATTCTGCTGACAATGTCTGGGCATCGTTAGTTGGCGTCGTAGGGTGGATACGTAGATGAACCACCGGGGAAAATGACTTGATAGCGTAGTATATGAACGAACATATAAAGGCAGAGGTGCGATCACACCACTGAGCTCGATTGCAAAGCCTCACAACTAACAAGATGAAGAGCCTCACGACGATCTGCGCGGGTATCCTTGCCCTCCTCACCCCTACCATGGCCCTTCCCCAACCTCTCCCTCTCGATCTCCAAAGAGCCGCCGCGACCAAAGTGGGCTACCTCGATTTCTACTGGAAGACGGAGGACGAGAGCGTCTACCTCGCCTTGAGTGACAACAGTAATCCACTCAACTTCACCACGATCAACGGTGGGAAGCCCATCGTCTCCCCAACCCTGGGCACAAAGGCCGTCCGGGATGTCTCGATCATCGAGGGCGTAGGCCGTGACAAGGGAAAGTACTATCTGATCGGAACGGATCTGGATATTGACACTGTTTGTCTCCCTACCTGTAGACGGCAGGAGATACTGATTGTTGTAGACTACTTGGGATAAAGCGACTCGGACTGGATCGCGCGGCATCTTCGTCTGGGAGAGCAAGGATCTAATCCATTGGACTAGCGAGCGACTTGTGACGGTCGAGGATGCGACAGCCGGCATGGTCTGGGCGCCGGACGCAATCTGGGATCCGAAAGCTGGTATGTCGCAGTGTAAATTTCGTCAATTGAGCATGGCTAACAGCCTACAGGAAAATACCTGGTGCACTGGGCGTCCAAATTCGTAGGTACCTCTGGCCGGATACCATGATCAGGTACACTGACAATATACAGTACGCAGCAAACGATCCCAACCACACCGGCAGTGCCACCACCACCGAGATCATCCGCTACGCGCACACCAGCGACTTCAAGACCTTCACCAAGCCACAGACCTATATTGACCTCAAGACGATCTCAGTAATCGACCTCAGCATTCTCCGGGTCGACGACAACACCTTCGTCCGCTTCTACGTCAGCGGCGCGGCCTCCGGCCCTGTGGTCCAAGTGACCCGCAACGGCCTGTTCGGTAACTGGGTCACCCCCTCGGGCACCATCAAGGACAGCACCCACTTCGAGGGCCCGTATCCCTTCTGGGACAACGTGCAACCTGGCAAGGCGTATCTGGTTTGCGACAAGGTGGGTAGTGTCACCGGTTTGTCGCCGTGGGTGTCGACGGATGTGACTTCGGGAACGTTTACGCCTGTTTCAGGCTCTAACCTGGGGCAATTGAGACATGGGTCGGTGCTGTCCGTGACTAAGAAGCAGTACGATGCTTTGGCTGCCCTCTAGGTTAGTAGCCATGCTGAGGAATGAAGACGCTTTCATTTTGTGAATGATGTTGGGCACAGCTTGCGGAGATATATTTTAGCTCAGTGTCCTCAACGAAGAAATGAAATGGAACATCTATAGTTGCCTGGAGAGCATGGATTTAGTTAATATATCATTTTTTTGAAACCACTGTAATCACTTGCTCTATTTGTGACACCAAATGTACCCAGTCACAGTCTCTATATGCGTTGCGTATCATCAGGGGTAATTCATTTGACGGTGATGGTGGGAGCTACACTCTCTCTGACCAGGGAGGTATATTGAAAGGTCTCTTTCAGATGACGCAGAAAAGCTTGCACTCAGATTCGAACAAACTCATATAGTGGTGCACTTGACCAAGTGCAAGAAAAAAAAAAAGAAATGCTCACAAGCGGATTTGAACCGCTGACCTCATGATTACTAGTCATGCGCTCTACCAACTGAGCTATGCGAGCTGATTGGTTGATCAGCGTTTCCTCCTAAGGTATAAGTGGACTCTGCATCTTCCGAAGTGGGTCGGTGGACGACGTCTTGTCAACTGGGCTAGAAAGATGACTCCGGTCAGACAGGTGGCATTGACATACTAATACCACTCAAATTTACTCATCAAGCTGAATGCCGTTCTGTTCTATCCATGAAGAGGATATATAGTTGAATGTGGATCACGTGTACCATATGACTGGAGATGCGCGTCGCGACTTCTCAATCAACATTGCCCCTTCAACCCCCTTCGCATCACAATACTGCTCAACTTTCTTACAAGAACTGTCGCTATGGCTGGATCTGATGCTGCGTACGGATTTGATCCCTTCAGTGACGAGGCTGCCAGTGACGATAACACTGCCTTTCGTGACATAGATTGGAGCAATCCAGCAGACTTCTTCGATAGCGTCAGTCCTAATCTTCCTAGACCAACGTCTTTCCCGACTGCAGATGAGGTCCGTCAAGAAAGTCGCAAAAGAGCGACCAAAATCTTGTCCGACTGGGAAACACTGAATAAGATCATCGAACGTCATGAAGAACGGATTCAAAAACGATGGCGCCAGAAGACCAAGGCTAAGCGTCGTCAGATCCTCCTCTCCGCGTGGCCGAACATGTCAAAGATGCACAGACCCGATTTTGACGCGTTCAAAAAGGGCCGCCGCGAAGAGTCGAGGGAGGCATATTTGTGGCCTTATATCAATCTGGAAGATCTGGAACAGACAAGACCATTGCTCCTGCTCCTCAATGCTCGCTCTCGGCATCAACCATATTGCTTTGCGCACGCGGACTATAACGCTCCACATCTTGGGCATGGCACCGGTGCTATCCGCTCCGCCTTTCTCAACCTGCATACGATGATGTTCACTGGTCGGACAACACCAGAAACTTACGGAGAGCTAATTGCGTGGGATGATAATGATGACGCATCTCGATGGCTTTATCATGGGAAAGGCTTCCATCCGGGCCATGGGCTAGTACTTCTGGAAATACAGCAGCGGATCTACGAATTCCTTTTAGTCTGTACCCGTCAAATACTCCACGATATTCCTGAGGCGGCCTTGATCAAGGACTTCCCTGTACTTCCCGAGCCCGCAATTAAAGATGAAGGAGACTGGCATTCCCTGGCTGCAGTTGCAGCGGACGCGCCTTACCGTCTACCCGCGCAGCTTGACTTGGCCTCTCTCGAAGACATTATCGATGCTAAACGCTCGGCAGCGGAGGATCATCTTATAGCGTTACGAGAGGACCCTGGATACTTTGCAGACGTCGTCAATGACTACAAGGAACATCGCGTCGAAGTCATCCCAGATACTAACGGCAACCCGCATCCGACATTGGCACCACATATTCACCCATTATTCTGGAACCGGGTCCTCCAAAATGTTGTGCCTGAAGCTTACATGAACCTAGAGATCTGGTCCACGCTCCACTCTCTGGTTGCCGACCTGCGTCAACTACTTTCCAAACATAATGACAGGATATCGCCAGAGAAAGACCTGCCTGACGACGTCTATACCGCATTTGTGGACCTGAAGTATATCTTGGAACAGTTTGCCATTGGCCCAATCAACCAGCTCAAAATAGCAGCTCCAGCCTCCCATCCATTGCGACCACTCTTCGTACGGCAACCACAGCAGCCAGGCACCTCGAAGATGATTGCGGAAACCCGGGCGGGTGTATCAAGGTCTGACAACCAGGGGGAGCTGCTTTGGATTCTTGAAACGCTCTGGGGAGATAGCCACCAGGTTTCATTGGCCGGCCGAAAAACGCTCATGGATGAGCTTGAACGTCTCGTTCAAATGGACCCCAAGAACAAGGAGCTCGTCTCGAGTCACGTTGCCGGCATCGTTTCAGACTTGGCGGTTATCTCCGAATGTCTCCATCAAATTGACCTCTACCAACCGTGGGCAAATACCTTCGAAAATGGGTTTGTTGAACGGCAAAATGAAATCCAGAACGAATATGGCAACCTAACCAGCGGTTGGAACAAGTACCTTGTAAGCTTCGAGGGAACCTCTCTAGCCAAACTTGGATCGCCGGAAGATGGTCGATTCCATTACCCAGCCGAAAAGCGACGAACTCGTGAAAATGTCGAACTTATGAGATCTGCGGAGAGAAATCTGGACACGTTCTGGCGTGCGGTGGATTCGATTGTGCCAGTGACCCGTGGAATGACCCGGCGCAACGCTGTGTACAAGGTGCTTACTAGAGTTTCTGGAAGCCTCCAAAGAACGCCTGCCTGGGTAGAGCCGGAAAAGCAACCCGCCAAAGTGAAAAACCTGGAGAAGAGTCTGGCAGATCTCCAATTTGAGCTGGTACAGCGAACCGAGAAGACTATCGAGCCGGCTCCTGCTCATCCACCCAAGAAGAAGGTCAAATCTCAAGGAAAGCCCAGTGTGTCCGACAAAACCGTGGAACGCGAGCTGCCTGCCGAAAATTGGTATGATGTTCAGCCAACGTTCAAAGTGGACAAGCGGTCTTTGAAAGTTTTCTCCACACTATTTTTCCAGCCTTCGCAAACTGCTCAGCCAGGAGAGATCCCGTGGAACGATTTCCTCCACGCTATGGACACCACGGCTTTTACGGTGGAGAAGCTGTACGGCTCCGTCTGGCAGTTCACGCCGAGAAATCTGGACGTCGAACGCAGCATTCAATTCCACGAGCCGCACCCCATTGCGAAGATTCCTTTTCGGGTCGCAAGGCGGATTGGGAGGAGGTTGAATAGAGCTTACGGTTGGCACGGCCAGATGTTCACATTGGCCTAACTGCTGCTGCTGCCTCCTGGTGCACTCGAGGATAGAACAGCCTCAGACCCATTGAGTGCCTGTCACAATCAACATGCACCACGCCGATCGTCTACAGCCCAGGAAAGCCCCGTGCTTGGTGGGAGTTATGTCTTTGCCAAATCTCCATCAGCCCTCTACCACTCAAGCAGTGTCTGGATTGACAATATTCAGTACATCTTATCATGTTATCGCCATACAAACCGCCAACTATTCTTCCAGTGAGCGTACCTTTCCCATACGGCAGAGTCCCTTATTATGTGCGGCGGTTTCAAGCGAACAGTCTCGCACTGGATTATTTATGGAAAGAATGTGAAGCAGAATAAAGTACAGCAATATGTCTACGCTCAACTTGCCTTCCAATTGGTGTTCCACAGTGCAAAACCCGGACGCAGAATGTTTAGATAGCTCCCCAGTGTCGAGTTCGTTGAAGGATCATAATCTCATCTACCACGGCCTTCGCAGGCCGAAAGGCTGTAACAGCATAGTTTAAGACTACCATACAATTTATACGAAGACGGCTTTGCAGTTTGTGGCATCCGTGGCAGTAATAGAGGTTATCTGGTCAACCATGATGGTGTTATCGTAAGGGTGGTATGTTCCCCCATTTGTGCCGCATGAGATGCAGAATCTCATTGAAGCTGAGAGCCGTTCTTGCCACACTTTCCAGTGATTTGATCATTGGGAAAGTTGTCCGTCGACAGGAATTCCAACATTCGAAGCAAAAGAAGTGGCTCGTGTACCTAAAGGAATGTGAGTGTAAGTATTAGTTGTCCAGCTCCCATGACATTGCATGGTTTGTTTGAAGATCCTACTCACTCTGGCCACATTTCCACGATCATATGGTATATGTCAAAGTCCTCAGACTCCAAGTGTTTTGGATTCTCAACGTCTTCTGTTTCTCAACGACTGCTTTTATAGCTTACCGGGTGATGTGACACTTACGGACATGTATCGGTTTCCTCATATTCGGATTGCGCGAGGTTATCCAGTATCCTGTAGATTATGATGAGCACTGTATCTTCAGCAGACAAGTCCATACGTTCAACTCACATTCTGACAAGCAATCAAATCCCTTCGCCGCCAGCCTTTTCCTCGCCTTCCTGCAACAATAAGCACTTAGCAACCAATCCTCCCCAACAGATCCAGAACCAAGAACCAATCAAACCAAACCCAGAACTGGAGGCCAAACAAACAGAAAACAAAACTCACAGCGCAAGCCCATACTCCCCCACAAGCGCCCACCCGGCCATCCTCCGATCCCGATCCCAATACCTCATCTGATGGAGAATGACCCCCTCAGCACTCGTCCAGATGACCCCGTCCGTCGCAGCCGCAGCCGTGAACGAGAGGATCAGATCCCCCGTCTTGACGCCGTTGTAGCGCTGGATCGCGTCGAGGGAGGAGTAGACTTTTGCGTCGCGCGCGCGGACCTTGTCGAGGCATTGCGTGAGGAGGTTGTAGGATGGCCAGGGCTGGTCGGGGAGGTTGGAGAAGACGATGCAGTAGCTGAAGGTGGTGTAGAGGGGGTGGTTTGCGGACAGGTAATTCATTCCTAGATTGTGTGTGTTATTCATGTTGTTGTCCATGTTGGCGTAGAAGGTCTGGTCCATACCGTTGTTGAGGGTGGGTAGGCTGTTGGGGTTGTAGTTGGGTGTGTTGTTGAAGTTGTTCATTTTGATGGTGGCAGATGCTGTTGAAGTCAATCGAAAAGTAGTGTAAAGAGAAGAGAAGAGATAGTTGGTGAGATTGCTTCCCTGTCCAGACAGACAGCAGAAGTATTTATATTATGGACTAAGACATATTCATAGACAGCTTCTGTTGAACACTGCAATAGACAATGGCTTTGTATATGGATGATTTGAGACATCCTTTGTCATAGTAAGACCATATCAAAGATGCTTTGTGGAAGAGTCTCAAAACAATAAAAGATGTAAGTAGGAAAACAACGATGTCATTATAAATCTGAAACTTGCTGGAGCTTCAATAGTTTCAGGAATGTCTTGATGAATGGTCTTTGTCGCGTAGATTGAGCATCAGATCTCAAAGCTGAGAACTAGACAAGGGGTTTCAAGCAAAGTGCCGTTCCTTGCAAGTTCAAGCTGATGATTTACCGGCTTTTTGTCCGTCCTACAAGACCCAGCTTGAATGCGAAGCCACATGGCAGAGAGTACTGTGAGAGTCCTTTGCAATATATTTCAGATGATCATTGTTGATTTTGATTGACTTAACCTGACCAGGCTACATCAAAGATAGATGGACTGCCACATCTAAAATATCCATGACAGACCCATTGTATGCCTGAAAGGTAGTAGCCTGCTACTGGCTTCTGCCAAGGCTACGAATCTGGCATATTTTCCGGCTCTTCCGGAATCGTAGCGAACTTGTTCAAAACTTGTTTCAGGGCAGGCCGTCGGATAGGTTTACTATCTCCGTTAGTATAGTCTCCTTATCAAGGTGAGGTACACATACCTGATGAACATATCCATGCCCGAGTCCATGCAGTCTTTGATATTACTTTCTTCCGAGAAAGCGCTGAGCGCAACAATCGGCGCCGAGTAGCCCATGCCCCGGATGAGACGGGTGCTCTGTAGGCCGTCGAGATTGGGCATCTGCCTGCGTCAGCTGCGCTATTTCTACATAGTGGTGGTTGCATATATACCTGAATGTCCATGAAGATAAGATCAAATACTTTGCCCTCTTCCATATTCGCCTTGACGGTGTCGTAGGCTTCTTGGCCGTCTTTGGCGACCGTTACATCATATACCTCTTCTAACCGAAGCATTCTGGAAGGCGTTAGCATTGTTTATAAAGACGTAAAGAAGGGCGTACCGAAGGACCACCTCCTGGTTCACTACGTTGTCCTCGGCCACCAACACGCGCACTTTGCCAGATGTGCTATCTTTCACCTCGGGTTTGGGCCCATCCACAGGAGGAGCTCGGGGAGTCGACGGTGCGGGGGATGACGGAGTGGGGGTGAAGAACGGCTGACTGAGTCCGACCAGTCGAGGTTGCAAATCCGGCTTCTCAAAATTGCTGGACAACGGATCGCTGCGAACAGAGCCGTTGTTCGACGGCGGTCGCGCGAGGCCGGGAGATCGTCAAGCGACAAAACACTCGGTGAGCGCGATCCAGCGGCACTGGAACTGCGGGTACTGGGCGCTGCCTCCTTGACGAATTTCAACGGAATTTCCACAGTAAACAAGGCTCCTTTGCCCTGCTCGCTTTCAAGGGTGATCTTTCCATTCATCAAGCGAGACAGCTGCGCGCAGATACTGAGCCCCAACCCGGTGCCTCCATACTTTCGGTTGAGCCCGAGATCGCCCTGTACAAAGGGCTCGAAGACGCGCTTCTGTAAATGGGGGGCGACGCCAGGACCATTATTCTCGACCTCAAACTGGAAGATCAGAGTCCGCAACTGCGAAAGCACGGGAGTGTGGTATTCTTCCTGAACCAGACCGTCCACGGGGTCACGGGGCTGAGAACTGGCATGCGACGGGGGTCGGGATCGCAGTCACGAATTGCGTCGAGAGTCCTGCAGAGAGCTTCGGGGACTGCCCGGGGTTTCCACTTCGCGGACGCATTTGATGCGAACGTCGATCTTGCCATGGTCGGGTGTGAACTTGAGACTGTTGCTGACCAGGTTGATCAGAACCTGAAGGATACGATGTTGATCACCCCATAATACCATGTCCCTCAACCGACCAGTCCCTGGTGGACCAAGCGCGGGGGGAGACGGTAGCAATATCTTCTCCTGGAAGGCATCACCCTTTGCCGAAAGGCTATCACCGCTGACAAAGTTGACATTGAAGTCAATCTGTTTCTCCTGGACCTGATTCTGGAAAATGACCGCAAGTTGAGACCGGATGTCCGACAATCGAAATTCCCTCTCTTCTAAACGAATTGCCTGGTCGATTTGGTTCTTGCTAAAGGTCAACAAGTCGTTCAAAAGATGCAGGAGAAGATCGCCTGACTTGTAAACGACCTGCAAGGACTTCTTGATCCGAGGAAGATCATCTTCGCCCATGCACACTGCACACATGCCCAAAATCCCATTTAGCGGGGTCTTGAGCTCGTGTGAGATATTGGCGATGAACAGTGTCTTACTCTCGTTGGCAGTCTCCGCGGCCGACTTGGCGGCTTCCAACTCGCGAGTCCGCTCCGCCACTCTTTCTTCGAGTCGGTTGTACTGAATAGAAAGCTCGTCCGACATCTCGTTGAAAGTGCTCGTCAGGTCCGTCAGTTCGTCCGTGATGAGATGCTTGCGTTCCTTCACTCTGCCCGGAATCTGGAAAGTTCTGGCGTGGTTGCGACTGCCATTGCTGTGTGCGCTGTTGGGTCGGTCCTTGCGTCGGAAATGTTTCACCCAGGCTACGAAAGTTCCTTTCTCATCCATGTGGTCGTCAAAAGCACGGGGTTCCGTCTCCGCCTCGGTGGTTCCTACAATGTACGATCCGCAGGACGGAGGGCGATTATGCGGAGACTGGGAGGGGGGCTCGATCGACTTGCGAGTGGCCTCGCTCAGCCGGCAAATCGGGGCCACGGCCAGATGAGCGAGCGGAGGAACGATCAAGATAATGAGCCCTATCGTCCCAAAGACGCATGCCAGAATGATTTTCCTGAGCTTGTCGATCGGGGCGAAAGCCTCCGCCTGTGTCTCCTCCACCAAGAGGATCCACTGTGCCATCTGCGTCTTGGGCCGGATCGCGCCGACGGCAACCTGGTATCCGTGTTTGTTTTGGGTTGACAAATCGCTGATCGAGTCGTTGGTTTGCGCCCACGGTCTCGACATGAGCTTCCATGCCAGCGGATACTTGGACAGGGCAAAGCTGTTCATGCTCATGTTGCCGCCGTGTCTGCTGCTCTGACCGGGAAGTGGCGTAGGCTACAGGTAGTGGACTTCGGCGCGAGACAGTCCTTCCACGTCCGGGGCAGAGGTCGCTGTGGCCGGGTAGGCGTCCGGGGCGAACCGGTTTTCGGCCCGCGATGGACCGAGCAGGAGAATCTGAGCAGTATTGCCCATGCCATCGCGGGAGTTGATCGTGGCCTGCAGATTGGCGGCACTGGCGACGACCCTGTACGCGGTCAGCAGGGAAATCCGGTTTACTCTCTGTCTATATCCCAGGATTGATTGCCTACGTCATGTATCCAAGAATGTCAGAGGCCGAAGTATTATTGATGATGGGCACTGTGACTGAAATGAGGGAAAAGGAGCTGTTAATCGGCAGCGGTCCAAGAAGAAGAGCGGTGCCAAGTCCCAGCTTGTAGTCCGAAAAGGCGTACACATCGGGTGTGTTGCTGCCGTCGGAGGCTGCGGAATAGGTCAGATTTGGGTAGAGCGCGGGTGGATAACCCAGCCCCTCATCTCCTAGCATGACGGCGGAGCCGTTCGAGTAGGTGTAGGGAAGTGTGATGTCGGCACTATCTTTTGCGGTGACATTGAGCAATCCGTGCCGATTTCCTTGGCCATTTCGAGAGAAAATGATGGCTTGATAGAGGTCCAGATAATTGCTGCTGCCCAATGCCGACTGCACATCCGTAACCGACGAGGTCCAGTTCGAATCACTCGAGTTCCCATTGTAAAAACGACCGAGAGCCCCCTGGATCAGCAGTCGAGTGACGATGGTATTGCACGTCGATTCGAGAAGTTTGAGATTGGAAGCGATCTGGCTGGCTTTGATTTTTGCGACCAGCTCGAGTCCTTCGGATCTAGAGGGTTAGGTTGTTAGTGGAAAACGTACGATAAAGCCTTAGCGAAGGCTGCTATCTTACTGGACATCGACCACAAAACTGTAATTATTAACCCACTGTGCACATTAGTCTTGTTGACTTGAAGGAATGATCGGCGATCAGGGCGAGAGCTCACCGTAGCGATGGACAGCACGGCCAGGCCCACTAGGGCGGTCACAAGGACCAGCAGGCCGAGCTGCACGGCAATTGGGATGCGCATCCGGAGACAACTCTGGCTGGTCGTCCAGAGGTCATCGTTTTGAATCTGGAGAGGGGAATCGAGGAGAAGAGACGAGGGAGAGAGGAGAGGACAGGGGAGGAGTAAAAAGAGGAGATTGAGAAGATGTTGGAGATGGGATGTCCAAATCGGGATTAGTGATTACTCTGCTCGACGGATCTCTGCAACGGTCAGAAAGAGCTGAGTCAGTCTGGAACAAAGAATAACGAGGCCAAGATCCGATAACCGACTCCAGAAGAATCAGACAACCAGATGCTGGATAGCCGTTGGATAAACGGTGAACCATACTTCGGAGTCATGGATTCTGCGCTGGTCGCTTACGGAGGACGACAGAAGAGGAGGCCAGATCGGGGCAGCTGTGGATTCTCACTGAACTCTGCCTTGGAAGAAGGGATTACAGTGGATCAACTGCAGCAAATAATTGCGAGAGAAAAAGCCTCCTGGGGTCTAGGCTGGTCGCGATCCATCAATCAATCTAAGCTGTTTCGTTATTGTTTCTTCCTTTGGCTGCGGGCCGATCCACTGCCTCAGGCAGTCAGGCCCGCCAATCAGGAGCGGACATGACTAATTTGCTTGTCACGTGACATTTGGAGACTGCTTTATCCCAATACTCTGAGTCTGAGTCCATCTACACCTTCATCAATCTACCAGATATCGACTACCCACTGTTTACTTCTTTCTTAGGATAGGAAGTCATCCATGCTGGTATACCTTGATAACAGGACTCACCAGCCCAGAGTTCCTGGCTTCTACTCGACAATGACGGCTTGATACATGGAATGGACCGGACAAATTATATATTGGGCTAGCTTGCTACCACCATGACACCACTTGCGTCTTGCTCTCATTATTCAAAGCATCTGAATCACTCATCTCTGGCCTCCAGATTAATAACCTACCACAATCCAATGGCAGCAACCAACGCATCCATAGCCGAACTATGAGACGAAGCATCCACCCGCTCAAGGGGACCAGCCCAGTTAACCCCCATCTTATTACTGGCATTGCGATCATTCGCCCAGATACTATCGGCAGACGCTGTAATGACACGCGAGTACTCCTCATCCGGGGCCAMACTGTGTAACAGCCGCAGGTTCCGGATGAAGATCCCCTTGAACTGCGTGCTGTCGCCACCGCAGCTGCTAGGCTCGCAGGGCTCGTGCATGACACCATTCGAGTCACTCAGCGCCGCGATCGCCGCTTTAGCAATCTCCCCTGCTGACTCGAGGAATGTTGCGTTGGGAGACGCACGGTATAGCTCGGCCAGTCCGCCAAGGATGACTCCTTGATTATAGGTCCATCTGTTTTATTAGCACTTGATCTCGATTGCGGAGATTGTTCCCTACGTGGGTTGTCCATTATTCTGGCAGCTCTCCGTCAGCCCATCGTTGATCATGTGGTTGGCGTTGATCATTCCGCTGCCTTGGAACCAATCCCACTCGCGTTGAGCCCAGTCAACATAATACTCCTTGTTCGACGCTCGATTCGCGAGATGCGCCGCCAACGAGAGAAACAGCTCGTTCGCAATGGCGTTGACATAGGTATGCGTGTAGTCCCAGTAGATGCCCCCGCCGCATCTGGACGGCCACACCTTACTCTAAGACTTGTTAGAATTTCTTCTCACAGACAATCGAACAACCCACCAACTGCTCAAATATCCCCACCGCAAGATCAAGATACTCCTGTCTACCCGTGACATCAAACGCCGCGATCCACGCCAACGCCCACCACGCATCATCGTCGTACGCTCCATCCAACCACTTAGAGACATCTACCCCTGCGCGCCGCCGACTAACCTTCTGCCGGCGATGATGCTTGATCGCTCCGTTGTACGAGTCATTCCCCCGTCCCGGCGCGGGATTCGATCTCGGCGCCACCGACCACGTATTCTCAAACACAGCAACAGCAACGTCCCGCACCGAGTCGTCCACATCCGCCAGGTCAGCGATAACAGTCATGCAGTTGGCCCCGTTCCACCAGCCGCAGGTATTCCAGATGCCGCTGGTGGTGTTGTACCATGTCTGGAGCGCGGCGAGGGCCGTTTCTGCGCGTGCCGTAGGCGTTCCAGCCGCGACGAGGGGAGCGAGAAGAAGGAAGCAGAATTCGAAGAGCATTTTGCGTGTGTGTCGTTTTGGATTTCCAGGGGAGGGGTCTGTCTCTTATGGTGGGCAAGCCTACCGCACGAAATGCAGATGTATCAGGTGCGCAAAAAGGGGTCGGAATGCACCATGTACGTGGCACGTCAAATGATTGAATCCTGCGTATTTACTGCTAACCTGATGGGGTAATCCACTCTGAGGATTATTATGACAACTAATTGTTGAAGGAATCAGAAGGATCTATCTGGATTCCTGATCAGGCTAGCGGTAAATACAGGATTCAAACATTTGACGTGCCGCTGTAGAGAGGTATACGTGCCAGGGATGGGGCATTCTTTCTGAAAAGATATGTGCCATGACGCACAATGATCTGCATGCCTGGCGAAATATAGACTAGAATAATCCGACTCATCATGAACCTCGAATTGATCGACACGGCTGGGACCTGCAGGGGCATGCAGGTCCGACTGGGATGTGGCATGTCACATTTGTATGCTAAGGTACATTTGAAAATTGAAACCCAACTACGGACCCCGCTGTTATTTTTAGTTCAGATGCCACAGTCAAATCGTCAATCATATGTATTATTTTCGGAACGATATAGTCTTAATTCTAACCAGCCAACTACCAATCATATATACTATAGCTGTAGACGATCACCGCCAAGTGTCATTCTCAGTCGCAGTCGACACACCACAGCCCGAAGGCACCGTGTACGAGCGGTTAGGGTCACTCTCCCACACAATCGAGCCGTCGCTTTCCTTGCGGATGTACTTGTACTGGAAGGTCGTGCCAGCCGGCAGGTTGATGGTCACGTACCAGAGGTTGTTGCTGGAGGTATACTTGGACGCGCTCAGGGCCACCGCACTGCTGGTATCCCAGTTACCGAGCTGGGAGATGGATCCGACAATGTAGACGTTTTCGCCGGAGGTGGTGGTGGCGATCTCATCGAAGGTGACCGCGACGGAGGTAGGGGTTGTGCAGGCGGTTGTGGTGCTGGTGCTGCTGGTGGTAGTGGTAGTGGTAGCGCCTGGCGAGCCGCTGGTCAGCGTGCTGGGCCAGGAGGTGGCCGTCGCGGTGCTGTAGGTGCCGGTGGCAGAGCCCATGGAGCACGACGAGGGGACGGTGTTGGCGGAGGCGGCACCCCAGGCGGCAGGCACCATGCCGTTACGGCGCATGTTGGCCGTCAGGAGGGCGGCGTACGACCAGGTCAGGTCGCGGGCGGAGAGGGAGGTGCCGGAGGACTTGTCGAATTGCTCGGAGAGGGAGCCGTTGTTCATGGCGTGGGTCTCGACGATGCTGACGTAGCCGTCTGCGTAGGTCTTGACCGCGTTGATGATGGCTGTGAAGGTGGAGCTGCTGGAGGCGTAGGTGCCGACCGCGGCGGAGCTGTAGACGTCCTGGAAGAAGGCGAGGGATGTGCTTGTAATCGTAATGGAACCGATCTTCTTCCACTGGTAGATGGCGTCGTAGAGCTGCTCGGCAGCGGCGAGGGTGGTGAGGAACCAGGGGTTGCCGTTGTAGTAGGAATCCTCGGGATAGCGGCCAGCGGAAACGGCAACACCTTGTGCGATGCCGGAGTTGATCGCGTACACAGAGCGGAACGAGTCGGTGTACACCTTGTGGTTGGCAAGGGCACGAGGGGAGCAGGGTTGGAAAGTAGTATCATCGCAGCCGGCTTCGGGGTCGAAGGTATGGATGCTGGCGAGGACGGTGTTGGCGTCCTTGCCGGAACGGCCACCGCCAGTGTTGGCGTTGATATACGAGCCAGTCCAGAAACTCTGCAAGTAGCAGAGGATCTGGGGGGCCTGCGAGTCACACCACGAGCAGGAAGCTCCCACCCGTTTAGCAAATGTGCTTCCCTCGACCAAGGAACGGTGCTGAGCAGCGACGGTGAAAAAGGACATGGAGTTCACCTCTTCCCAGAGATCTGTTGAGGTGGAATGAAAAGTCAGCAATGAATGTACACATGTTATCAGAGAGTCGGACTCACCAAAGCCGGTCTGGCTCCAGTACTGAGCCACGTAGGACAAGTCATTGCGCACAATGGGCCAGATGTTGTTGACAGCATAGCTAGAGTAGCCGTTATCCTGTGGATGTCAGCAACGCCTCCCACCCTTCATACAGGGAACATACGATCAGCCAGTTGCCAAAGTCGATGAGGGCCGTGGCACGCAGAGCCGGACCGTCGCGCTGAGGACGACCCCAGGCTCCGGTAAAGGCGGTCATATCGACGTTGTACTTGGGCTCCGCGAGACCTCCGATCGAAAGATCGCCAGACGGATTAGAAACGGTCTGCAAGTAGGCCTGAGAGTTGACGTATTGTGTAATAACAGTCTGCAGACCCAGGTTGCCGTTGCGGAAGAGATCGACCAGGACTTTCATGGTGAGAGCGGCATCTCTCGTCCAGGTATAGTAGTCTAGAGATGTCAATGATTGTCGGATAGGACCAGTTCAGGATAGTTGCTTACAGTCTGGGTTGCTGGTGCTGGGACTGGCAATAATTATGCCAGGCTTTGCGCTCTTCGCATAAGCACCGTCGGCGCCGACGTTGGCGAGAATGCCATTCAGCGAAACGGTAGTCTCAGTAGCCAACCAGGTGTCCAAGCTGCCAGTAGCACGAGGGGACAAATGCGGAGCTGCAATAGCAGCATTCCCAAGAGCCAGCGCACAGAGCGCGTAGGAAAGGCGAGGCATCGCTTGGTGACAGACAAATTCCAAGGAAAGGATGAGACGACAAGGTGAAGGGGACGAGATGAGAGTGATCGTCCTGAATCCTGACGCAAGGGACAACTCTGGGGTGTGACCCCTCTTATAGATTTTTGACTCCGCATGGCTGGTGATTGTGTGTCTTGAAGGTATTTCCGGTGAGTGGATTTCTTGTATATTCTGCTCAGCTCTTTTCTGCGCATTCTAAGGATCTGATTGGACTAAGAAATGAATTGATGGTCTCATCAATCTAATTCACGATTTCTGCATATGCGAATCCTCAAAGAGCATAAACAACGCCCCCAGACGGCATGCAAACAGAGCCGGGTTCCCCATGGGGTCCTCTGCAACGGCAGAACATGGATTGCACATGTGATAGTGAGGATGATCGCCCGTCGAGACGGAGATTTCCGTTGTTGCCGATAGGCCTGATATCCTGGGGAGATGCTGATCGCAAGAGAATAGCAGCAGCAGGCAACTCCTTCACGGAGATTTGGGGAGTATTCCGCTGCTCCGACTGGTTCTTCTATCCGAGGCTAACGCTGCCGGGTGAAAGCGCTCATTTTATGCCTATCACCCACCTGTCCAAGATGGACCCCCGATCCCTCCATCAGCACGTATTCACTCCGGCTCGGCTTGTGGAGAAATTTGGGAAGATACGGACTGCAGACTCTTTAGTAGATTGGGCAATTCGGTTCACGAACTTGCGGAGACACTGACTGCTTAAAGTGGTGAGACCATGAAGTATTCAGCGCATCCACTATAGCGCCGGACTTGTTGCCAATTCGGATCAAGCCTGAAGCATCCCAAAAGACCGTCGATATTAAGATTCCCCGCAATTGCGCCGCCCCCTGCTTCGGTCGGGCACTGACACTCCAATCTCGGATCTCAGGCCCGTGTCAGTTTCTGTCTGAGATTCTTTTCACTGGTAGTCACTCTGATTCGGATGGCAATTGAATCCTTTGGCGGTTCTATTATCCGGGGAAATTAGAGTTAGGGCCGCTACATGGCTACGAGCCTACGACTAATTACGAGAAGGCTGTCAGGCCCCGTCACTTTAACACATGTACGAGCCTACAGGCCGTGTCTAACCTAGTATCTCTTCAACCAGAATGCGGAGAGACTGATCAGTAACCTTTTTTACTCCTTAGAACACGCTTAGCTGGTGTGGGGATCACCTCGCGTACAATTTCACTGCCGATTCCACGAATCACCCCTTGCTTCCACACTAAACGTGTGGTATGCAACCTTCACGGATTGCTTGCGTTTCTTCTGCACAACTGCCGAGGTCACTAGTGGAATTCCGTGACCCTTCGGCGCCTCGTTGCCATCCTAGAGCCGGACTCACCAACCTATTGCCATGAACGTACGGCTTTAGATGCGGCTTTGCCAAACTCAATCGGTGCGAGAGCCGAAACACGTATCGATCACCTCTGGCAGTCCCCGCGATGAAGAAATCAATCAGTCCACGCGCCCGCGATGATCGTCACTAGTGAATGCACAGGACGGGACATCCGTAGCGTATTAGGAAGGCGTGTAGTGCCTACTATCAGTAGCGAGAGTATATAAGTCTTGTAACTTTGTTGGGAAATCTTCGTATGCATGATATCAAGCTGCACGCGCGCATTGCCAGGATGAAGTGGACCTCGTCACTCCTCCCGCTGTCCCTGTCCCTGCTCGGACAGGCTGCCCATGCTCTGACCCCAGCCGAATGGCGCAGTCAGTCTATCTATTTCCTCCTGACCGATCGGTTTGGTCGAGAAGACAATTCCACAACCGCGGCCTGCGATGTCACGCAAAGAGTTTGTGCCCTATCTGCTCGTTTGGGCATATGCTAACGTTTGCAGCTATATTGTGGGGGTAGTTGGCAGGGGATCACCAGTCATGTACGATTACCTCATATTCTGCAGTCAGAACTAACGCTGTCAGCTCGACTACATCCAAGGAATGGGATTTACTGCCATCTGGATCACCCCAGTAACTGAGCAGTTCTATGAGGACACCGGCGATGGTACTTCCTACCATGGATACTGGCAGCAGAACATGTGAGCGTCCTATCTCTGAGCTGCGGGTCATACTAATCGACGAAGCTATGAGGTCAACTCCAACTATGGAACAGCTCAAGATCTCAAAAGCCTGGCCGACGCTCTGCACGCGCGTGGCATGTACCTGATGGTCGACGTGGTCGCCAACCATATGGTAAGCCAGATTTCCCCGTTGTACGTCAGAATCTGACCATTTAGGGTTACGACGGAGCGGGCAACTCGGTAGACTACAGTGTCTTCACTCCTTTTGGTTCCTCTAGTTACTTCCATCCATACTGTCTCATCTCCGACTACAGCAATCAGACTAATGTAGAGGACTGCTGGCTGGGAGACACCACTGTCTCATTGCCCGACCTTGACACAACCGACACGACAGTGCAAACCATCTGGTATGACTGGGTGAAGGCATTGGTTGCTAACTACTCCAGTCAGTACGCGCACCTGGGCATGGATGATACTGACAGTGATAGTCGACGGCCTGCGCATTGATACTGTGAAACATGTCGAGAAAGATTTCTGGCCTGGCTACAATGACGCTGCTGGCGTCTACTGTGTCGGCGAGGTCTTTTCGGGCGATCCAACGTATACTTGTCCATACCAGAACTACCTGGATGGTGTGCTCAACTATCCAATGTACGCATTATGATGTTGGCGCGGTATAGATACTGACTACTGTAGATACTATCAGCTTCTCTACGCGTTTGAATCGACCAGCGGCAGGATCAGTAATCTCTACAACATGCTCAGCTCTGTTGCGTCTGACTGCGCGGATCCTACCTTGCTGGGCAACTTCATCGAGAATCACGATAACCCTAGATTTGCTTCGTAGGTCTTCCCTCACTTTTACGGATGCGAACTAACCTCCTCAGCTATACGAGCGACTATTCACAAGCCAAGAATGTCATCTCCTTCATGTTCTTTTCCGATGGGATCCCCATTGTCTATGCAGGACAGGAACAGCACTACAGCGGTGGCGCAGACCCGGCCAACCGCGAGGCTGTCTGGCTGTCTGGATACTCGACCAGCGCCACGCTGTACAGTTGGATCGCCTCTACCAACAAGATCCGTAAGCTGGCGATCTCCAAAGACTCAGCCTACATAACATCCAAGGTATTTCTCATCGTATCTTTGCATTCTGCGCTAATTGCATAGAACAACCCATTCTACTACGATTCCAACACTCTCGCTATGCGCAAGGGCTCCACCGCTGGCTCCCAAGTCATCACCGTCCTCAGCAATAAGGGATTCTCGGGCAGTTCCTACACCCTCTCCCTCAGCGGCACGGGCTACTCCGCTGGCACCACCCTTGTCGAGATGTACACATGCACCAGTCTCACCGTGGACTTGAGCGGGAATCTCGCCGTGCCAATGGCATCCGGCTTGCCCCTGGTTCTTGTGCCTTCGTCCTGGGTCAGTGGAAGTGGTCTCTGCGGTAGCTCTGTCTCCACCACAGCAACAGCTACCAGTACCACCAAGACCACGATAGCGACAACAACGGCAGCATGCACATCGGCCACAGCCCTCCCAATTCTCTTCGAGGAACTCGTCACAACTACCTACGGCGAGAACATCTACCTGACCGGCTCGATTAGCCAACTCGGCAACTGGGACACGAGCTCTGCGATTGCCCTGTCGGCGAGTAAATACACCTCATCGAACCCTGAATGGTATGTGACCGTGACGTTGCCTGTTGGCACCTCGTTACAGTACAAGTTCTTCAAGAAGGAGTCGGATGGGAGCATCGTGTGGGAGAGTGATCCGAACCGGTCGTATACGGTGCCGACTGGGTGTGCGGGTACGACCGTGACAGCGTCTGATACGTGGAGATGATTCTCATCTTCGTTTCGGCTTAGGTACTGGATGATGTATATAGCTGATATGAACTATTAACAGCATGTCTGATGGGAATACTAGATTGCATGTACCAGTAGGTTGATCTTATAGACGGACGCGCTTGTTCAGCGTGTTCTGTAGATGATTCTCTGAGCAAGATAAGGAACAGGAAGCGAGTCAAGAGACCTTTGTCCATCAGCCCTGCAGTGTCACCGGACTGTCCAAAAAAGCGAGCCGACATCCCTCCCAGCGGACCGGCGATGGATGTGATTAACAAGGTTCTCAAACTGAACGAGCTCAGGAAGTCGATCACGATCAATCTGGATATCATGCAACGACAACTCTCGTATCTCATCCTCTGTTCTCATTAGCAAAGCATCTTCACACTTTCTAGGGTCAGCCTTCTTGAGAACTCTACCTCTAATCCTTCAATAATGACCTGATCATTGTTCGCACGCGGCCTCAACGCAAGCAACATGGCAGCAATAGGAAAAGTCCAGCGACCTCCAAAGCCATGCCTTGCAAGCTGAACAGTCGTCCGCACTTCATCGGGGGTAGGTATCCAAACCTCTCGTCTGTAAAATGGCCGACGAAGCTCAATTACCCTCCTCGCCCACTTCTCCCATTCGGCCTCAACAGCAAGCGGAGGAAGCAGCTCAAAGAGACCAAGGTCAATCAGCGTCTGGAAGCTGACCTGCACGCATTTCCCGTTGATATCTAGCGCCCCTTGGGAGAGATACTCTCCGAAATAACCAGTGCCCCGGAGAGTTAGGTAATCATCCCAGTATCCGTCGTGAGTATCCAGAGCGCTAACGACCTCCAAATCCTTGATGAAGGTTCTTTCTGGGAAGGCGCGTGTATCAATCATGAGTAAGAAAATATCTTCGAACGCGGGATGATCGTCATCCGTTCGATGGCGATGGAGGCCGTACTGCAGTGCAAAGAGCAAAGAGGTAGTCCAGCTCATCAGATTGCAACGGTCATCACACCTCCAATACAGATGATTTTTAAGCGATTCCGCTGCGCTGGAGGGGTCAAGGACGAATAGATCATCCGCTTGCTCAGGGTGATTGTAGAGTGCTGCCGGGGACCGGACACTGTTTGCGCTGCTCTCTCCTGCTGAGTACGGAGCATGAACCCGAAAGAGGTATCTTGGGCGGGAGCGTTTGGTAAAGTGCCTCATATTGACCACGAGGAAGGGGTTGGCGTTGAATGGGACGGATTGCATATTGCTAACAGTCAGGACTATGATAGTGTATGAATAGTTATGATAGTTGCAGTTGCTTGCTTGTAGTATCTTGAATTCTTGATTGAATATATATTCCTAGAACGAGGCTGTACGCTACAAGGCTGTTGCTGTGCATCAGGCGACTACTACTTACGTTGTGGCACAGAAAATCGTTGGATGGGAGTGAATAGGAATTGAGGCTCAGCAGCATACATGATCAGATGAATCTATCAACAGTTGTCTTGTAGAGATTCACTCAGCTAATTCGTGGATTACAGTCATAAAGTTATGCATACATATATGTACTGCGGGACTGCCTGTCCTGCAGTGTAAGGCCGTCTCAGACTAGGACATGCTATCTTCGTGCCGACATAGCCTCTCTTCAACCTCCCCTATTCATGTTAGCCCGTACGCAATGGTACACTGCTATTTTCTTCAATATACATACCGGGTTAGAACCGTTAGATTTAGAGCCCCTGTCAACTGCCGACACGAGGTGAAACGGATGCCAAGCCCGTAGGTAGCAGACCGCGGATCCATATGATGATTCTGATTGCTCGCAATAACAAGCCTTTGCTTTAAATAACCCTCCTACATTGGGATTCTCCCCCCACCTTCCTGATCAAACGGTAGTTCGTGTCATTTAGTGAGAGACTGTGACAGCGGACAGATGCCGATCCCTTCCCGCTGCCACTCGGAATTCCCTCGGAATACACGGGATCGTCCCGAACACTGTAACGGGAAGCATATAAACATGCCGTCCCTCATAGCAGTCCCTCGTCATCCTCTATTCTCGAGTTTATTGAAGAAGAAGACGAACAAATGGCCACTATCACCGTCACCGGCGCCGCTGGCCGCCAAATTTCGGGTATATCACCCTCCGTAGGAGACTGAGGACGACACACTAACACAGACAGTCCCCACCGGCCTCTTCATCCACAACGAATTCACCCCCTCATCCTCCAACGAGACCCTCACCGTCGAGAACCCAACAACAGGAAACATCCTCGGCACCATCTCCGCCGCCACCGCTGCCGATGTCGACCGCGCCGTGACCTCAGCCACCACCGGCTTCCAGACCTGGCGCGCAACCCCCGGCCCGGAGCGCGGCCGCCTCCTCCTCAAGCTCGCTGACCTGATCGAGCGCGATGCCGAGGAGTTTGCCAGTCTCGAGGCTGTTGACGCAGGCATCCTCTACACCGATAGCATGGGGATGAACATCACCCAGACAATCGCGAACCTGCGGTACTACGCCGGCTGGGCCGACAAGATCGACGGGAAGACTCTTGAGATTCCGGGCGGCGTGGGATATACCTTCCGCGAGCCGCTGGGCGTATGCGCGGCCATTGTCCCGTGGAATGCCCCTCTGTATGCCCCCTACCCCCTATTCCAACCCCACAGAACAGTAGCTGATAGCGACAGGATGATCACAATCTGGAAACTGGCCCCGGCGTTGGCCACAGGCAACTCCCTCATCATCAAAACCTCCGAAAACTCCCCTCTGTACGGCCAGAAGCTGGCCCAGCTGATCGTCGAAGCCGGCTTCCCCCCCGGCGTCGTCAACATCATCGCTGGATTGGGCCTCCCCGCAGGTCAAAGCCTAGCCGAACACCCCTCCATCCGCAAAGTCTCATTCACAGGCTCCAGCGCTACAGGCCGGAAGATCCTGTCCGCAGCAGCCAAGACGAACCTCAAGAAAGTCTCACTCGAGCTAGGCGGCAAGGGCCCCTCCATCGTGTTTGATGACTGCGATCTCGACAACGCCCTCCTCTGGACCCGCATCGGAATCACCGCGAACAACGGGCAGATCTGCGCGGCCGGATCGCGCATCTACGTCCAGGATACCATCTACGAGAAGTTCCTCGAGGCGTATGTGCGTGCGGCGAGAGAGAACCCCGGTGTTGTCGGTGATCCGCTCGACCCCGCTACGACCAAGGGGCCGATCGTGAATGGCGCCCAGCATGAGAGGATCCTGGGATACATTGCGCAGGGCAAGGAGGCGGGAGCGCGACTGCTGTTTGGGGGGGAGAAGGTGGGCCAGAAAGGGTATTTTGTGGAGAATACCGCGTTTGCGGATGTTAAGGAGGATGCGGCCATTATGAAGGAGGAGATTTTTGGGCCGGTGGCGGTAATCACCTTACCCTTGCCCTGGTTCCTACGATGGTATATGCTAATGCTATTGACAGAGTATCGCCAAGTTCTCATCCGAAGACGAAGTCATCCGCAAGGCGAATGATACGCTGCACGGCCTCAGCGCGGCGGTCTTCACCAACGACGTGAACCGTGCCTACCGGGTGAGCAGGGCGCTAGAGTCGGGCCAGGTGACGGTCAATGCGTGGGCGATGCTGAGCGCCAATGCGCCGTTTGGGGGTGTCAAGGAGAGCGGGTTTGGCAGGGATATGGGCGAGGAGGCGCTGGAGGGGTGGACTTCTGTCAAGACGGTCAAGTATATGATTCTGGGTGGAGGTGCCAAGTTGTAATTGTCATCCCTATATACAAATACTCGTCTACAGACTGATCGGGTGCATCTTGTGAAACACGTTGGTGGGATCATACTTGGCCTTGAGCTCCTGCAGTCGCTCCAGATTTTCGCCGTAGATGTTGTTCACCACCGAGTCGCCCGCTGACATCATTAGCTCGCCATTTGTTACAAAGAATGAAGAAGACTTACGCTCGGCATAGTTGATATACTGCGGCACCCCCTCCTGCACCCTCGCGTCCAGCTCCGCCTTCCACCGCGCCTGCATCTCCCGCGCCCAAGCCCGGTGCTCCGCGTCCTTGTGCGCATCCGTCCACCGCAGGTTGATCAGCCCATTCTGCGTGCTGCTGCGACTCGCAAACGCCGTCGCGTCGCGCGGCACCGCACAGATGGCGCGCATATCGTAGAACTCGAGCAGGAGGGCTGAGGCGGCGAGGTCGGGCTCCGCCTGCAGCCGGGCCGTCAGGTCGGCGAGCATGCTGCGTGCAAACGTCGGGGCCAGCGGCGGGTGGAAGAAGACGCCCTTGAAGGACTTGCGGCCGCCGTAGGTGGCCATTGGGTTCTGCAGGGTGTTGAGCTGCGAGTAGGGGATCATGGTGGTTGTGTTGACGACGGGGTCGAGGGCGAGGAGGCCCGCGTACCGCTCCTCGCCTTGCTCCCTGCTGCCGTTGTAGAAGACGATCACGTTGGCCATGGGGACGGGGGCGCCGGGGGGCTGGGCGAAGACGCAGATGGCGCCGCTGCGGGGGTCCGGGTTTTCGAGGGTGAGGTTGAGCTGCTCGATGACCTGTTCGACTTTGTCGGGGGGGAAGGCTAGCAGCCCCGCGTAGACGGGATTGGTCTGCTCGTGGGCCTGGTAGGTGAAGCTCGTCACGACGCCAAAGTTGTACCCGGCGCCGCGGAGGCCCCAGAAGAGGTCGGCGTTTTCCGTCGCGGACGCCGTCACAATCTGCCCGTTGGCCAGGACGATTGTTGCAGAGAGCAGATTGTCGATGGTGAGGCCGTACTGGCCGCTGAGCCAGCCATATCCCCCGCCCAGGGTGAGGCCGCCAACGCCTGTATGGTTGACGGTGCCTCCCACGGCCGCCAGCCCGTGCACGGCAGCGGCTTCGTCGACTTCCTTCCAGGTGGCACCACCGCCGACCGTGACAGTTTTGGCAGCTGCGTCTACAGAGACGGATTTCATCAAGGACAGGTCAATGACCAGGCCACCGTCGGAGGAGCTGGTGCCAGCGACAGAGTGGCCTCCACCTTTGACGGCGAGGTCGATGTGGTGTTCTTGGGCCCAGAGCAGAGCGGCACGGACATCCTCGGGATCAGTCGGCATGACCACGATTCCCTGTCGTCAACTGTCAGAATGATGCTTGTCTGGAAGTGGGGCATAGGCATACCGCTGGTTTAGAGCCGGTGTCGGACCATCGTTGGAGGGTGTTATGATAGCCCTCTGAGTCGGGGGTGTAGACCTTGGCCGACCTGAGTTGGCCTTTTAGAGCGGTAATAGCAGGTTCGGGGATCATGTCGACTGTATGACAGGAAGAATAGTTGCTGAGGATGAAGCTGAAGAAATGCAGATGGAGATCAAATACCCCGCATGCCCAGAACGATCAGTCATCAATACGAGATGGCGCAGTCAGAATTGCAACAATCACAAAATCCATGATTCAATTGATATTCGTACATCTACTCTGGCAATATATTAATGGTTTGCTGGTAATTCTGCCGCCCATGTCCCTCCTGGCTTTTGCCCATTTGTGTCTGGCGCCTCCACCAGCCTCGAAGGATTCCTCTCTACCGGATATGCATAGGGCGCTGCTTCCTGCTGCATCGGTGCAGCATATTCATGGCCTCCCCCTGGAGCAGCCGGAGGATACATCGACTGAGGTTGTTGTGCAGCGCGACGACGTCGCCGGAACAGAACCCAGACCAACGCCCCGATGAGGATCACGCCAGCTCCAGCGCCGACCCCGATTCCCGCTGCTGCACCCGCCGATAGCCCTCCTGAGGACGATGATGTAGAAGTTGGCGACGACGAAGACGTACCCGTCGCAGTCGAATTCGTCGTGGTCGAATTCGTCGCTGTGGAATTCGTCGCAACGCTCAAGTCAAACAACGGCCGAGGCAGAGTCACCGTGTCCCCCTTGGTCGCGTTCGGCTGCGTCTTGCACGCCGACACCATATTATCCATGAAATTGCCCAGGACCCTGGAACCAGCCTTGCCCCTCAAGCACTGGGAGCAGCCGCTCGCGTACGTGGGAAAGGCATTGCTGTTCTGCGTGCAGTAGTTGTACAGCGAGACGTTGTTGCCCCACCAGAGGGTCTCGAAGACGGGTTTCAGGGGGAGACATTGCGACTCGCAGGGGGAGAGCGAGGTCGAGGCGGTGTCTTCGTAGACGCAGACTTGGATCGTGTATTTCTGGTTGACTATCAACGTATCATTAGTACCTGTCTGTGGTATGTGGATGTGAATCAAGGATAGCGTACAGATGAACCAGTAGATGTCACTATCGAACTGGTTGGAGTAGGTGGTACTGGTACTTTCGCAAAGGAGACAGTTCTTCATCGCCAGCCCCTTGACCGTGGAATTGTAATCGCCATCGTTGCAGATCAGCTCGTCGTTGACCGTCTTCGCGGTACCTCCGCAGATGGACAAACAGGGGGAGTTTACGGTCGCGATGACGGCCGACGCAGGGATGGCCGATAGCAGCAGCCCGAGAGCAGCGAGCTTGGCCATATTGATCGATTTTCAAGGGATAATCTATGATGAGGAAAATGGGCTGGGAGGTGTAAGATTTGATCATTATTTAGACTTGGGCACAGACCGGCTGAGCGGGCTGAAGAGTGTCAGCCTCGCCCACAGCCATATCCATGCTTAGCTGTGCGACTAGCGGACTAGTTGCTGATACTAAAGCGCTAACCCATGTCTACTGGCCAGTCTGGTGTCTTATTTCGATGCTGATCCCGCAAGGCCTCCGCATAACCTGCTGGATAGTGTCTGATTCGCGGGTGCGGAATGGGGGCGCAATCAGCGCAATTTAGAAATAATCGTCGTCTTAATGAATAGCAGGGGAAACTATTATTGACTATTCTATGTCAATACCTACTTGGAATACTTTTCATACAGCTCCGGATACCATTTCTGGCCTACATCGGGATGGCTCAGGATGCGATTTCGCAGATACGCCTCCCCGAACTATCATCGTCAGAACAAGAAGTGAACAAATAGCAAGAAGACTTACACAAGAGTACAATGGCGACAGAAACTCGCTCGGGACATCCACGGCCCTCTTCTTGCGATCATCCGACGCCGGGATCCGCTGCACAATATGCGCCGCCGACTCTTTGAGCTGGGCCAGGGTGAGGTCCAGCCGCACCCCAAGGAAGAAGGGGATGCTGTATCTCGTCTTTGACGTGGGTGCCTATCAACGTCAGATTGACATCAATCGAGGATGGAACACAACATACAATAACGCGATGTGTGGTGGCCGTACAGACACCCCCCGTAATAGCTTCAAATCCCTGCTGAATATTCACCACCAGACTCCCCTCGATGGGCGGCGCATCAATCCATTCGCCTGTCTTGTTGAGCACCTGCAATCCGCCTGTATCATCCTGCGAGAGAAACGTAAACAGCCCGGCCGAGTCCTTGTGCGGACCGACGCCCTGCGCCCCGGGCGGGGACTGCGGGTACTTGATGAACTTGAGTCGGTCCATATTCCCCTTGAACGCTTCAAAGGTGGTCGGCGGTAGAGACAGACATTCGGCCACGAGGCGTGTGAATATCTTGGATACCTTGGCCGACTCGGCGATGTACTCCTCCACCAGTTCTCGAGCACCGGGGTAATCGGGGTACTACGTTGTCAGTCATCAGTCAGCCTCCAGGAAATTAAACATACCTGGCTGTCCCCTTCTAGCCTCTGCCAAATCAGATCATTAGACGTCCATTGCTTCATCCCGGGGGTCCCAAAGTCGAACTGCTCTCGCCAGTCGGTTTGTGAGGCCGTTGTCTCCGCGCCCAGCCGGGTATATCCCACGAACGCGGGGGAATGGATCATGTTGCATTTTTCTTTGACTTCGGATGGCAACGCGAAGAGGTCGGGGAGTGCAGCATGTGCTTTTTTAATAATTGCCTGAATTTAGTCAGTACAGTAAGACATCATGAGGTGCAGTTGTATACCTCCATGCCATGGTTGGTCAGGTACAGGAATCCCACGACGAAGATGGCTTCCCGGAGTTGGACAAGGGTTTCTTCTTTAGTGGAGGGATCTTGAAGTCGACCAAAGTCGATGATGGGAATGGAGGAGAAATCAGCCATTGTGTAGATGTATGATGACCCAGGTAGAATGGAAGATTGAGAGATCTCAATGATGAGGGGAAGAAGAGAGAAGAGAAAGTGGAAGCGGGGTCGGAAAGATTGCCGAGTGGATCAGATCTGATCTGATGGCGGAATGAACAGTCCAGATGGCATGATTTATGACACATAAGATATAGGATGTTAGAGAATCGGGTACTTCGTTTAACAATTCTCGAATAGACCTTCCGATCGCGTGTCGTCGCTAGTTTCCTTGGATATACAACAACTTCACTGTGAAAGACGACATATCCCGTCTGTGGACTGGATCAGGATGCTCGCGTCAACCCCATGCCATTATGCGCATGCGCATTGGTTCGGCAAGAATAACCTCGAGAAAGGCTGTGATTTTCCGATGCAGGTTAAAGTACTCCCTTATCTGTATTGATCCGAGTCGTCTGAGTGTATAGTTCCCACCCGGCTCTCCCACGTATGGCCAATACTGGACGCAGACACGGTGTACGACACTTTGCTCCATCCACCGAGGCCATCAGCGCTGTATAGAATGGTTATCGTCTGCGCCGTGCAGTATGCGCATCCCGAGATGTTGAATGATGCCCTGAAACAAACAAAGTGCGAGGAAGGGTTTACTTTCATGCGCAGGGAATACCCTTGTTATCAGAAACTTTATCTGATGTTGCTGTTAGCCAAATCCTGCTTTCTAATTCGCTGTTTCTACTACAACTTTCGTCTTATCTGTTGCTCCTTCTGTCCACCCGCTCTTCTGATTGCTGTCTAGGCTTAGGGTTGGCAGTTTTTGGGCTCTATTACTGGGCTTTCGTCTTCAAACCCCATGTTGGTGCTCCATAATGCCACCGCTTATTCGCTATTCTGTCTCCTATTGTTTGCGCACCTGTGTTTCTTTGTGTACTGCATCACTGCTAGTGCTCTACTACGTACACTTCCCCCATTTCCCCTTCTAGACTTGTACCGCCGAGGACTACAGAGGCATGTCTTGTGACATAGTTATGGCTTATCACGGTGTACTGCTATAGGCCACCTGTGCTGAGGGAGGTAGGCTAAGATCTACTTGTGATGAAATTGCATACAGATCACTTCAGAATAGTCTGCCTGGACCGCTCAATCATGATGATGTGTTCAAAACTTGCATATAGTGGGAGGCCTGTCCGCATCCTTTAATCGTTGTCCAGTCACCGCGATTTSCGAAAGTAATAAATAGTGGTCTGGTTCACTGAAATAGCGGGATACGTACAAAATTCTTTCTTTGATCTGTTGTCAGGAATTCTACGCCACTCTGCTTGTATTCGTTCCCCCCAGCAAATTGCATCCTCTTACAGTGGATCAGCCCCATTCCTCCCATTACTTAGAACACCCAGCTATTTTTTCCTCAACTCCGCCATGAAACAGGAAGACATGGAGAGGAACATCCAGGAGCTTCGGGCCGCTCCAGGGCTAAAATTTCCTACTCAATTGTTAAATGCAAAGATATACCAAGAGCCTATCGACAAAGCCCCCTTGGTACCACTCGAGGAGGATGTCCGCAGGGCATTTGCCTTCCTAGATGAAATCATCGAGAAACTGCCCCTGACAGACCTGGGCTGCCAGCATCAAGTCTTCGACATCAATCATGACTGGGTCCGTCATGTCCTGCGGGGTTCCCAATCGTGGCATAATGGCGTTTCCGGGAGCATCGTCATCAACACCTACCGCCGACTGACTCCGCCAGACTACCAGACACCGGAGCATATGAAAGTGGTATATATGCTATTCGCGGCGGTCGAGCTTACCGTGAGCTGGACCGTCATGCCAGATGACCAGTACGACATGACCAGGGAACGACATCAGACACCCGCCTGGTTTCGCACACATCCCGTCTCTATCGTGACAGACGCCATGACGCTGCTAGCCATGTCTCAGAGAATCCTCATGAAACTATTCCCCAGAGACCATCCATGTTTTGCTGAAATCCTAGAGAGGACCCTTGCGTTCTTCCAGGACTCCGTGACCCACTACGGCTATGACGCGACCTGCTGGAACAAGATCGGCCAGCATCGTTACAAAGAGTTGTTCGACCATTGCACCAGAGAGCTCGAAAGCCTGTCTTCCAACAATCCCCTTTCACAGGAGTCTCCAATTACCAAGAGCCCCGTGCCTTTTGAGCTGCTAGGAGTGAAAGCATACGATCAACACACGGCGGTCAGGTCGAAGCAGTATGTCCAATTCTGTATCGATGTGGGACGCATGGCCGCATGCTACACCTCTGTGGATGTGAAGATCACAGACGATGTAGTAGCAAGGGCAGTTGATTTCATCACACCTTTTGACGACTACCAAGAATACCACAGCCAAGGAAACATCAAATACGAAGACATCACCAGTGGCTCCCCCGAGATCTTTGTGTCGTTCCTCATGGACACCGTCAAGGAGCCAGGTTTCCCATCGGAGAAGCGTGACCACGTCATGACAATCCTCGAGCGCAACTTCGGGACGTGTTCGATCTCAGGGGCCCAGGCCGTCGCCGACCTCTACGAGGAGATGGGCATTCCCGAGAAAGTTCGCCAGCATCTATACAAGCTCATCGATGATTTGGACCAGGTCGCTATGCAGCAGGCGGCGGCGATCAACTTCCCCATGGCTATTGTTTTCGATATGATCATGTATATATGCCGGGAGGACGGAACACTTGAACCCGACACCATTCAAGGCGTGCATAAATTGACGGGTGCGCAGGGCTATACTAGTAAAGGGGGCGCATATACCGCGCCCATGGACTTTCTCCGCCGACTGGTAGACTACTTTCGGCCGTCCATCGAGTCATCTCATTCTGGTCAATCGAGCGATATCTAAATGTGGGTTGACTTGCTCCTTTTGCTGTTGTCAGCGTCTGCACCACACTTGGCCAGGTACCGCAGTGGGCGTTGTTCTGGACCCAGCTGAAAAGTCTCAATTCCGAGTTCAAAGACGTAACTAACTCAATCGTGCAGCTGAGCTCTTTGATGCAGATGACCTCTACACGTTCTGCACCAAGCCGCCTGCTTCTGCCACGACTTTCTACTGTTTCCACAATTGCCACGTCGTTTCAGGGACTCGGCGTGCGGCAGCGCGCGTTTCCAGTCAATAGTCCAGATGGCATGATTTGTGGCAAATAAGACTTTGGATGTTAGAGAATAGGACTACTTGTTTTCATCATTCCGAAGTAGATCTTCAGATAGAGTTTCGTCAATCTAACAGACTCGAACATGCATCCAAGATCACCTGCGGGCCTCCGCCAGCTCGAGGATTCAGCCACCATAGGATCCATCAATGTACCTAGAAGAAGCAATGGCCACGGACGGTGGAAATATATCAATTGCTAGTGACTTCTTGCTGCTTGGTAGCAAGTTGAGAGGTGCACTTCTAAGATTTAGGGCATAGGGGAATAAGGATATGGACAGTCCTTGTTTCTTGAATTGGGCATAGAAGAGGCTACTTACAGTTGCTTCCATGGCAAAGAGAGAACTAGCTGCAGAGCAATATACAACTGCAATTACACGAGATCCAACCATGTATCCCTACTATTACTGCATTTCCTGCTCTCAGGGCAATCTCCATTGTCAATATCAATACATCAAACTAGTCCAATGGGGAGGGCATTCTCTACATCTATATCTAGATAACTTCCCTTCACACACGTATGATTTGTGCCCTGACCTCTACAACTTAAGATGCTGTCCAGATACTGGACTCCGTTCACCACCGGCGCCATCGCAATGCCATCCCCCAGCGAGTATAATATTGCATTAAGCAGACTGGGCTACAAGAGAAGCTATTAAGACCAATCCAGGTCGATAATGCATAATCCTGCTTGGCATTTGCAAGTGGAGAAGAATGCTGATATCCGTCACTCAGACCGGTGGATATCCAAATAGATAACACTTCCCCTTCTGAGACTCGTTCTCATCTATCGAGTCGAGCTTCAACATGCGGGGTCTCATTGGCTCTTCTGCTGCCCATCACAGGTGTGCATCGGCTCCCTCAACCGTCAAGCACGTCCTCCATGAGAAACGACCCGCCTGTGGAATGGGTCGGGTGCTCGCGTCGACGGCAATGCATTCTGCGCATGCGCATTGGACCGGCCAAGAATAACCTCGAAAAGGGCCATAGTTTCCTGATGCAGGTGTGAAACTCCCTCGTCTTGTTGTATAGATCCAACCCGCTCTCCCACGTATATCCGAGACTGGACAGCAGACAAGGTGCACGAGGTCCTTTGGCCGAGGCCGTCAACACTGATGGGAATGGGTGTCGTCTGCTCCGTTTTGCTGTATGCGCACGAGGTGTTAGATGATCTTACCAATGGGATGAATGTGGGGTGTTGCTCGGAGGGATTCGTGCTGTCAAGGGTAGGTTTCCTTCCTTCGTTACTACATATTGACCAGCGGGTAGAAAAGTAGCATAAGTGCTTAGGTGGGACCTGGCAATGGGCTGGGCATGCTGAATTACGCAAGATGAAGAAGATTCTGTCGTTGCCATAGTACAGAAAAGCAGAGGATCAACCTAGGTATGTATAATTGGCGAGGCAACGAGTGAAAGAAGTATCAACTATGTACAAGCAGCAATCCATTATCCAATCCATCTCCAATCCAGCTATTCCATCCGGTCTGAACTAAAAGGTCAGAGTCTGACCGGCCGTTCCGACAACGGCTGCCTTGACCTTGCTGGATCCAACCAGAAAGTACGAGTACGGAACGCTGGTCAGGGTACCCTGCAGGGCGGCGTTCGAGGCGCCTCCAAAGTCGTTGTCCCTGGAGACGGCGTAGCCGCTGTCAGTCGAGTAGAGGGGCTTGCTGGAGCCGACGAACTGGTTGGACTCGACGAGGACCTGGGCGCCGTCGCGGGTGTTGATGCCGTCGCTGACGTTCTCGAAGTAGCTGTTGTAGACGTGGCCGGTGCCGAAGCGGAGGGAGGGGGCGCGCGAGTTGATGTTGTACCAGTAGTTGTTGGCGTAGGTGACGCGCAGGTGGCCCTTATCCTCGGCGCCGTTGCTGTCGGAGTGGCCGACCAGGGACGCCTTCCAGTGGTCGTGGATGTAGCTGTTGGAGACGGTCACGTAGTCGGCGGCGTGGGTGAGCTGCAGCTGTCAGTATATCGTTGCATCTCCGGTTGACTAGGACGTACATCAATCAGACCGTCGTAGTAGTCTTTGTCGTGGTCGCGGTCAGAAGAGACATCGACGTGGTCGATCCAGACATTGTTGGAGTATTCTGCCATTCATTAGTCGAGTACGTTGTCAAAAGAAGGGATACATACGAACGCCAATGGCATCTCCATTGGCAGCCAGAACCTTCTTGACTCCCAGGTTGCGGATGATCACGTTGGACTTCTTTTTGACCAGACTGTCCACAGTTAGTCACGTCCGCACAGTGCAAAGGAGTGTACGCACAGGCCGAATCCCGTGAGAACAGCGTTGGAATTCTTGCCGATGATGCTGGTGTTGCTGCCAACCTTGACCTGGTCGGCCGTCTGCGTGATGGGGCTGCTGACATAGACCACCTTCTTGGCGTCGCTGGAGACGGCAGCCGTGAAGGCTGCGTATGACGAGACGGTGGTCGTGGTACCGCCGGCACCACCGGTGGTGCCTCCGTTCAAGCTGGCATAACCAAACGCAGCCTGTCACGTCAGCTTCTAGCTTCTGCTAACGGATCTCAGCAGAAGAGCATACATCGTTGGCGCTAGCACGCTTCTCCAGTGAGTCGATGGTAGCGGTAGGAGCAGCCAGGGCCAGTCCAGACAGACCACCAGCGACGACAGCAGCAAGGAACTTCATGATTGTTATGTTGAAAGAAAGCAAGTACCAGACTTGACGAGCGAAGAGAATAAAGTGAAGAAAGCAAGTAAAGAGAGCGGATAAGAATCAAGACCAAGCCTGTTGAGCCTAGAGAAACAAACCTCGTCGCAGGCGGCATCAGGAAGCTTTATATACCTGGGAGCCCCTAGATTTCCTAATCGGGCAGCGCACCCGTATATCTCAGACACGCTGCTCAAACTGGAACAACAGGCCAGACACCAGTCCTCTTGGCGGCCAGTCTTGGCCCCGGCACCTCTCCCCGAACGACTGCAGCGGAAGAACCGTCTCCATAGGTGGACGGACTCCCCAGCGATCAGCGTCACACGACTCCGGATTCGGCCAGGACGATGCCATATTGCAGAAAATAATTCCCGTCCGCTGGGACGCAGCGCATCACGTTTATCCCTGTCAAGCACAGCCGCCAAGTCCATCGGCGGTCGGCATATACCCTGAAAAAGGGTCTTACAGGGGTCTGATCATCATCAATGCAGAAGCCAAGGCTGGGGATTCAGCGGGGTAGAAGCGTCCGGACAGCGTCGGAATGACGCTCGATGTCTGCGCACACGATGGAGGTATCCAACATTCGATCGGCAACGGCAAGAGTCCAAGTGTCTGTAGAATATCCACAAATGACGGAGTCAAGTTTCAAAGCTTGACCGGGCAGTTCATTGCCAAGAAAGCCGGGGTTTCAGCTGCCGTATTGGCATCTGTCGTGATGGGGGTCAAAGTTGACGCGGGCGAAGATTTTCATGAGAGCAACAGTATTTTCCATCAATTGCTTCATGATCCCCGGAAAAAGTCCCTTGACGAATCTGATCGTGACGAGATCGTCGTCCGAGGTAGTTGATCCGGAGAGTCGTATCCCACGACCCCTCGTCGTGATCAACGCGAGCGAACCTACGCGACAGGTGGAATTGAGGACGTTACAATATAACAAGAATGTCCGAGAATAAATCGATCCGGGGTCAAAGAGCTGATGGCCATATCAGAGGTGTAGAAGCGCGCACAGGACTTGTGCATAGAATATGGATCAACAAGAAACAGGGGCTCTGCCAAGTCAAGCCGGATCCTGTCCTGACTGACTCGTGGAAATTTGATCAAGTGCTGTCAATGTTGCACATAACGTGGATAAGTCTCGCATAATGGTACATGGTACTTTATTATTGCAATGCTCCTCGTATTCGTATGATTTCAAAATGCAATCTAATACACACACTCAAAATAGCCGAATATGACGAAATATCCAAATATGCAGAGCCCGCAATGCAATGCAATATGTCCCCAATTGCCCATCCAAGGTATATGCAACGATTGATATGCCAAAAACCCAGCGACAGAACTCCAGTACCAATCCCACCGCTATAAATGATAATCCTTTTCAAACGAGTATAGCGACTCCTGCTCCTCAATCGGCGTTGGAATGCTGATCTTGGTCGCGTCAAACTCCCACGCTGCCTCGCGCGCCTCCTTTGAATTACGGATATAGAAAGGCAGCGTCCACTCGCGCAACCGGCCTTCCAACAGACTCATGTCCTTGTGCTTTTCCCACATCCGCCGCGAGGACTTGAACGCTTCGTTGACCGTCTCCCGTCGCAGGTCTTCGTAGGCTCTGAATGCTTCCGTGAGTGGTTCGTCGCGGTATCGTGCCAGAATCCGAGAGAAGACAATCGCGTCGTCAAGCGCATATGCCGCTGATTCGTCGCGCGGAGGCATCTATACCTGAATTAGCTGAGCACATATCCCCAATTCAAGATAACATACCGCATGTGCTGCATCTCCCAGCAGAATCGCTCGCTGGGTATGCCACCGCCCGCCAGGCCGAACTTGGTACACCGGGTATAGCATCCAGTCCGCGGGTGTATGGATCATCTCGCGGATGCACGGAATCCCCGACCTTCCAAATCGATCCTGCATCTCCTCCTGCAGGGCTTTCCGGATGGCATGCTGCTTCCGCCAGTCCTGGCCGGCCTCGATCCGGTACCGCGGGAGCAACTCCTCAGCGAACTGCACAATAGCCGCGAGGAAAATCTGCTCCTGCTCGCGGTCGCAGTAGCTCGCCAGCAACGTGCCATGTCGGGAGATGTTCATGGATGTCGAGCGGAAGTGGGTCCGGGATTTGAGCGTCTTCGCATCAACGACCCCCTGCAGGAACGAGATGCCCGTGTACTCGGACGGAGACTCGGGTGCGACCCATTGCGTCCGTGTGGCTGAGTGCACGCCATCATAGCCCAGGACCAAATCTCCCACTGCCGTCGTGCCGTCCTGGAAGTACAGGATGGCTTCGTCGGCGGTCTCTTCGCCCTTGACTAGTTTCTTGCCGAAGACAATCTCGATATTCCGGGTGCGCTCGACGACCGCTAGCATCGCCATCGACAGGATAATCCGCACCACCCGTCGACCCTTGTATCCGCTGAACCCCTGGCCATGATCATGGGTAAAGTCAATCGACCCCAGCGACCTTCCCGACCGGCAGGAAAAGAACTGGATGGCGTCGACGTCGGCTCCACCTTCGACTCCCAACCGGTCAAGTTCTGCAAGCACTCCGAGCTGGTCGAGGTGACGCTGGGCGACGGGGGTGAGGCTGATGGCACCTCCAGAGGTGGAGAGGATGTCATGGCGTTCAAAGACAGTGATCTTCAGGTCCGGAACGTATGGGGTCAGCTCCTTTGAAATGGCCAGAGCACTAGCGATGCCCGCAATGCCGGCCCCAACGATCAGAATCCTTTGAGGCATGGTGTGAGAGTATGGTATCGTATGATCGAATTGTCAGAGCCACGCTTTAGCACATGGAAGGGAAACGGAAAAATAAAAAATAAAAACAAGACCCTCTAAGCGGGGCTGCCGTGATTCATATTCATATCCCGATTGCCAACCGACAACCGGACTAGCGAATGTCAGATCCTCGTTGAGAATCTGAGGAGCCTTATCAAGTAGTGTAGTGTGGAAGTATGGAATAGGTTCACTCTCTCCACGCACAAAGAACCAAATCAGCAGGCCAGTCAACGTCGCCACAATGACCTCTGACAGTTTCAAGGCTATCTATGTCGAAGGGATCAACTAGTCTAGAATCTAAAGACGAATCTCGAAACCAGGGGAGCTTCCGTACAGCGTTGGTGCACGGTGATAAAGGACAGGTCACATCCACAGATATACAGAGTACAACAAAAGTAAATAGAAACTCATCTTCGGCCGGGAATGGAGACTTCTCGGGAAATTTACATCATCCATCATCGCATCGGATGCTTCTCTGGCAGTTCAGTTCTGCATGCGTGGGTTGACGAATTTTCTTCAGGCACATGCGATATTGCCGGGATTCATGTAGTACGAGATAGTTCGTCTGCCATTCTGCCAGACTGAGTTAGCTACATATAACCAGGCCTCTTAGACCAGGAACGTTGACCACTTACAGCGCCTAGATCCGACCGTTGACGGGGCAAAAGTTCGATGTGTCTTCTCCCGGCCCTTCCGGCCCATTCCCGAAGTCTGGAACAAGACTGGGGCAACTTTTTTCCTGTTTCTATCGGTTGTGATGGACAGTAGGATCAATAAAATCAGGGGGATGGAGTTTAATCCACGATCCGTCCATTGGTTTTCGTTGAATTGACGCCGAGGCACGTCTACGGAACAGTCAAGTGTTCGTCTTTATTCTAAGGTACTCCATAGTCTTCAAAAGGGGGACAATGCAATGACTTTTTTCTCCCATCTTTATCCCTCTTAGTCTACAGAAATTCGATAGACTAGGGGAAGTCCGGAGGTTGTGCTTCCCCAAATTTATCAGTCAATTTCTCTAGACTTTCCCTGTCTGCAAATAGAAAGTCATGTATTGTTCCTCTATTTCCGAATCATCATATCTATTGATCCTTCTACTTTGTTTTGAGCAGTCCCAATGACTCGCCAGACTTGATCCGTCGTCTATTATGCTGCAGGTCACCGTCAAAGGAAGTCCACGGTGGAGCTCCATGCGCTCTATCCACTTATCTGGTCCGTGTACTCCGTCCTAGGATTCGAGCATTGGAGTCGTATATTAATATAGTATCCACTCCGTTCTCTTTCTCTACGGTGCATTCCCCTGCCGTTGCTGAATCTTGCCGCTGGCCACTTGACTCGTCTTTCCCACAGAATGACATTACGACATGAATCACGGAAGCGGGTCCGGTTCAAGGCTCCCGTGGTCGAGATGCGCCTTGGGCCTAAGGTTCCAATAAGTGTTGACAGCGGAAGCCGCGCATATTGCCGCTGAAACCAATTAGCAGCGCATCACACACAATGGGGTACTCCGTACAGAGATCCTGCCAGACTTACCGATCGTACTGGTCATTTCATAGTATCCAATATGTTCCGCCATATATCCCGAAAGGATGGGCCCGAAGAAAGCTCCAATGGTCCAGCTCTGGCTGCAAATCGACATGGCCCTAGAGTATCCGCCATGGGGTCCGAATATGCCAGGGTGGCGTTTCTCGATTTCATCAACCGTCGCTAATCAAGATCAAACAGTTTAGACCAGCCAGGGATTCCATGACTGTTGATGATTGCATGACTTACCGGTAGCTTCCAGTACGCCAACACCATTCAGTAAAACAGATACAATCCCCACAGCCGTCACGTCCATAGCGTAGATAATCTGGCCCCTGTGGCCTTCATTTGCCCACGGGAAACGCTCATCCCCGGGCACCCCTAGCAGCCACAACAGAGGCGCCAAGCCCAGGAAACCAATCGTGGTAGGGATCCGTGTCCCAACGCGGTCCTTCAACCAGCCCACAAGGGGACTGAGCGCAATGCCCGGTCCTTGCAAGGCCAGAAACATCAGTCCCGCTGGCATACTATCCCAGTTGAACGCATCGCGGACGTGCAGGGGGAGAGTCGTGTCGAAGCTGGAAATCAATATCGCAAAGACAAAATAGCCCAGGACCCCGCTTACGAATCGACGGTGTCGAAACATGTACACGTAGTATTGTAGACCTGTCTTCTCTTCAATTGTTTCAGGTAAAGCTGTGGCGCGAGGGGCGGTCAATGTGTCATTGTCCGGGTGGAGGAGCGGCGAGATTTCCTCGCGTGAGCCGTCATCCGCAAGGGAAGATTCCGGTTGCTTCTCTGCAATCAACCTGATGAGACCTTGAAACATAAAACCTTGGGTCCATCACTCACCTCTCTTTTTCCGGGAGTTTTCCAGCATCAACAAACGCAGAACAATATCCACAAGAAGGATCGCAAACGCGCTGGCCCAAGCCGTCCAATAACCGCCGATTTTGAACAGCACACCCGAGACCATCGGCCCTGCCGACAAGCCTACAGCCGCCGCCACCGAGATGATGCCGTATATCATCCCCAGACGCTTCGAGTCGACACTGTCGGCGATCGTCGCATACCCCACCACCCACATGAACGAGCTGGCAATGGCTTGAATAAATCGGCCGATGAAAATGTGGACCACTACGATACCACATACCGGTCAGCCTGCGGTTGACAAACACCTCAGATCGATCAAGACATCACCCACCCGACGTCGCCAGCGCCAAATACGCCGATCCAAGGAGAGCGGCCACCAGCGCCGACAGCAGCCAGACTCGCTTCGATGCCGACTTATCAGCGTAGTGTCCAATGAACGGGTTCAGCACCACAGCCACAGCGGCACTTTCGGACAGCAATGCGAAGCTGATCCGTTGTGTCAGCGCGGAGTCTAGACATAGGCGATCTTCAACCACGTATGGGAGAATGGGGACGAGGAAAGTATATAGGAATGTGTCTATGTGTTGGTTGCCATGCGTTAGTCAGTAGCGCAATGATCAATCGATATGCCCAACTCACCCGTGAACAGGGCCATTGCCATCGCGGCGACGATGAACCACGAGGAGCGCCATTCCTGGCCCCATTTGGCCTCACGGACGGAGACGAGATTCATCATGAATCTTGGGGATATGAAAGATTAGAGGAGAAATGAAAAGAGACATTGCATGGAGATAACAGAAAATTCTGAAGATCAGACTAGCAAGTAACTGCGATTCAACCGGTCTCGTATTCTGATAGCGAATTGCTGGGGTTGGACCCCACTACACAGCATGGTTAGTTTAATCAAGTGCATTCGACTCAATGGTCTCAATAATCGGTGTGATTGTAATCGCACTAGCCAATCTGACGGTTTGGACTTATGAGTCAATGATATTGACTAACATTGGCTGATCGAGTCATCGGTCAGTGCAAGAAGCCCCGCGGAAGCCTCGCTAACTATACGGGCCTAATTGATCTGAGCCAAAAATCTATTAGAGCGTCAGACTGAAGTCACTTCGTCGAGGGATCTGAAGGTCCCCAGTTCGATCCCGGCTCGACCCATTTTTTGTATTGCATTTATGATTCTTTTCACCATGTTGCTCAACGGCATCTTTGGTTGAATGTTTTAAAGATAGTATACTGATCCCAATGATCTTTTTTATGGTTGTGGGCAATAGCTGCATCGTTGCACAATCACATCATGGCCGTCTGATTATTGCCCTGTCTTCGAACGTCCATCCACAGGTAATGCAAAAACTTGATCTTTCGACATAAGATTTATTTCGAATACGTAATAGAACAGAGACTGTGCATGATTGCTTCTACTATTGTAAACTTATAAGTGTGCTTCATGGTCGACATTGGCAGAAGCAAACCACTATATATATCTCTCGAACCATTTCCGATTATCCCACCTCTACTGTAGATTCCTGCAATACCGAATCTGGCTGGAGTTACCTATATGCACTTTCCTAACCAGTTCCTCTTTCCTCTCCTGTTAAAAAAACTAGATTCGTACCTCGCAGCTCGTCATGATCGGTTGTAGAAAGCCATATTCATAGATGATCCAGCCATCAACCATGAAAGTAACATACATCGCTCACATTGTCGGTATCAAGCAATTATAATAACGTGAAGAATTCGCGTCAAAAGATATAAGAAATGGAGAACTGCCCCAAAACACTTCACGCTGAAAGTTACACCATCGTCTCCTGGTGACAAATGATCCGCCATTCTCCATCCGAAGCCTGCTGCCACGTTGTCGAGCCATTCGCACGGTACGTCTTGTTTCCTCGGGTAGCCGTGACCCTGTATGTAACCGTACCCGCCATAAGATCGATGATGATCACCCGCACTTCATCCAGAGAGTAGGTATCGAATCGGTGGAAGGGTGGCTTGACGGCATCCTTGATCGTGTTCTCGCCCTCCAGAGTTAAGATAGGTGTTTGAGGGAATATCATGTTGACTTCTTGATGGGAGAGTTTCTCGATAGCCGGGCCGGGGTCTGCTGAGGTCAAGGCCGTCCACAGAGCGCGCTCTTTGATGAGGAGGTCCTCGCGGATACGATCGTGCATGGAAGGCATCGTGACTGATGGTTTGACTGTAGATGAAGGGTCAACAATATGGACTTTAGAAACAATCGAGGAATTTGAGACGTACACTGGCTGGATGCTTCTAAATCAGGCTGGTTGTGGTGAATCGGTGTCTTGTTGAGTGTGCGTGAGGGGAGTTGGAGTGCACGTCGACCGCCTAAGTTGGGATGCCGTTAAGTATTGTTATGTTCCAATTCAACCTTTGGACGTTTCCATGGATATAAAAAGGAGTGGGAGACAAGGAGTGACGTCATGTGGCTTCTCCCCACGTGCATGACGTGGTGTCATCTCGCTTTCTTGTCTCCAGTGCTCTAGATAAAAAAAGATTCGCTGCGATCGAGCCGGATCTGCCATCATAGCAGTCAATCAGTATGTCAGGATTGATGATCCACATGCGTCATCTCGGCCGGTCGTGTCCTGGTGGGACGCGCCGTCATTACTCTATTGAGCCAAGCACCTACCTAGTGGGTGGATGAGCTGTCAGTCTGACTTCCGGATCTTGATAAGATCAAGAGGTAATGCTTCTCGAATATAGATGGCAAGCTGAGGACCAGCTCTTTGCGACCACAATAGAGGCATCTAGCTTTGGTCAAGTCAATCATGGGGACCGGAATACCCCGCGTCGATAACGTTGTCTTATCGCCGATAACGTCAAGAGGAGTGATGGAGCCTGGGAGGCATCGCCGACAATGCTTCAGCAACTGACTTGAGAAAAACGAAAGCGCAGTCTCAACGACCCGTCTGTTTTGCCAGAGACAATCTATTACTAAGGTTACGATATTCGATGATGTTGTCTCTGGAGATGGATACGGCGTCTGCGTCTCATCACCGCTAATCTTTCCGTCATCTACAGTGGAAAGAGACATGGCGATTGTGCGAGCGCAACTACCATGGTCAAGTCAAATTGCGTGACACATCTCCTGGTGTCTCAATTATTGAGGAATTTCTGATCCGCTACTCAACAAACTTCATTCCTTCTCGCTGCTACGAGCCTCAGGCGAGTTCGAAGACTTGCGGATAGTGCGCTTAGTTCAGCATCAGCTACTTGTACGACGTATGTCTGGCTTCTTGACCGAAGAGCATTAGACATGATATAGCTCTAGGTCACAGCAACATAACCAAAGCGCCGCTCTCCGGCCTGCCTCCTCTTCACCTCCTTCCAACAATGCACACCCAAACTAAATCTTACCCTGTCCCGCACTTGAAGGAACGCTACTCTGCGCCACGGTATACGCCGACGCAGAGGCAATATTCTTGCCTTCAAAGTTGGCCAGGAAACCCTCATCCGCCTGGCTGAAGGTCCCGGAGCTCCCGAATCCATTGACCTGGCACACGTGTCCCAGGTAGGTCGAGCAGACCTTGTTCGTGGTAGCGTCGGGCGAGGTAAACAACTGTCCATCAACGGGGCTCTCAACAACGGTATCAATGTTCTGGAAGACGTTGCCCTCGGCCAGGACGTAGCCGCCGGATCCGATTTCGAAGGCGTGTCCGCTGGAGTCGTACCAGTAGTTGTTGACCTGGGAGGTTAGTTTGAGCTTTCAACGTGAGGAGCGGACTTACCGCGTGGAGAAGGGTGTTGCCCTGGACTTTGGGACTGCGGCCGCTGAAATGGTAGATGTAGTTGCCTTTCATGGTGACCAGATCGTTGGACCCGTCCAGGTAGATGCCCCAGTAGGTGTAGCCGTCGCAGGTGGCGGAGTAACTGGTCACTCCGTTGAAGTAGTTGTTGGAGATGGTCACCCGGTTCGAAGCGCTGGTGCCGAGGACCAGATGCTGGCGGCCAACCCGCGCGGTCTACCATAATCAGAGTGAGCCAGATTGTATTGGATTTTGGGGACTGACCGTAACGTGATCAATCCAAACCATGTCGGCATCGTCAATGGTGATTGCGTCACCTCCCCATACGTACTTGGGATTGATATCAGTGATGGCGACGTTTCTGCAAATGTCAGTTATTCTGTCTTGTCCACAAACTGCTTTCAAACTTACTGAATGATAATGTTGCTTGCACCGCTGACAATCCGCAGACCCTTACCCTTGATCACACCACTGGACCCAGATCCAAGCAGTGACTTGTTAGAGTTGACGGTGATGCCTAGGACACCGGCATTGTCACTGCAGCCATTAGTTGTGCTCATGTCCAGAAACTCAGCGACTACCCACTAAGTGACAGATACCGAGGGGGCATCAGGCTCGTAGTTGGTACACCAGTTATTCTGGTTGATTGCCAACTGGCACGCAGAGGCAGTTCCCCAAGGCGCACAGCCAGTCGCTGTGGTCGTGCCTTCGGTACCGGTGAAGTCGAATCTGGTCAACAGTTAGCATCCACCTTCAAGAAGGATGTATTGACGAGTACATACGTCTTGGTCAACACAATCACACGAGTCTGACTGTCCCCAAGATAGGACACAAGCTCGTCAGTGGTAGTGGGATAGACGGCCGTTGCACTCCCGCCACCAGTGACGCCCTTGGCGAAACCCTCGGCAGCGCCGGAGACACTAACGGCGCTGGTGCTGGCGATGCAGCTTGCCACAACGGTAAGAAGATTCTGGTACTTCATCTTTGCCTTGAGAGGGGGACGACGATACTCATACTCCCATGCCATGTCATCCCGCAAGTAATTATACTTGCTCACCATGACCCTGTCATATAGAACCTTCATCCAACCCACATCATGAAGCGTACAGCCCTCGACCGGCTCCTCAGGCGGTTCTTCGAGCCTCTCATCCTCATCTTCATATTCAACCGGGTCATATGGCTCCCACTCCTTGCTAACAAGGTTGACATAGCCCACATTGTTAACGCGTATCTCGCCCCAAGGCGCCGGGGCTTTATGAACCACCGAGTCTAATGCCTCTTCATCCACCTGAATGCAGTATCGGTATCGCTGGGAGCCGCGTGCGCGGGCACCCGCGCCTTGCTCTGCCTTGACAGCAGTTTCAGCCCATTGTATGAAATGGTCGCGGATGGTCGAAGTGCTGGCTCCACCGAAACGAGACCGGTCCTCCAAGACAGTGAGGCCGAGACTATCCATCAGATCAAGCCCCTGGTAAAACTCTAGGTTCCGCCGAGTGCACCAGCGTAGGCGTCTCATGAATTCATCCCAGTCGGCATCGCTTTTATAGGTGCAGCGGTAGACGACGAATCCCCAGATGCGATGACCGTCTTGCTGAAGTGCCTCCCTGATATCCGTCGCTGCGTATGTTGGTCTGAGACTTTGTGACATTTGTGCTGGAGCGGAACTCATCATCCTGTCTGTGATGGAAGATTATAGCGTAATGGTTGGAACCGTCGAGGTACCAGTGGTCGTGGTGAAGAAGTGACGTGGAGGTAGCGGTGCCCCTGAAGGACTTGAAGACATTTCTTGGTGCATTGAGACGCCTGCACTAACATCTCATGAGGCCAGATCATGTTCTGGATATTCTTTACAGTCATTGATGTTGATGAGCTATCAAACTCTTTATTGAGAAAATCACAAGGAACCTTTCAAGGCATCCACATAGGGGGTTTTATTACATAGTATATTACCTTACCTTGTAAAGCACTGTAAAATACCTAGTCAATTGCAGCGGGAATGCTTCTTGCTGGCTGTGTGCTGGCCTCAGCAGTTCAATATCTTAGAAATGATTGGTGACATTCTGTTGGAAAAGAACGAGTACAAAGAAGCAGTGAAAATGTACCGAGATGCAGCAGTTGGGAGGGCAAGAGTTCAAGGAGAGAATCACAAAGACATGCTTCTAACACAGGCGAGGAAACTAATCGCTGTTGAGATTGACATAACTGCTCTTGAAATTGAAACAACCACTCATCTAATCCAAATGACTGCTCTTGAAATTGGCACAACTGCTTCTGATATTGAAGAAACCACTGAGGAGATTGATAAAACAGCACTTCAGTTTAAAATAACCGCACTTTGGTTCAGAATATACAACGCCACACTTCAGTTCAGAATAACCACTCTTGAAATCCAAACAACCACTCTTAAAACTAAAAGAACTGAAAGAACTGCTCTTGAAACCAAAAAAACTGCTCTTGAACCTGAAAGAACTATGTATTCAGACCAGCTTGCGCTGAACTAGTGACTCTTCCAACTTAGAATGTGGAGTGGGATTCTATGTTACCGCTGCAAGTTGCACTAAACCTGGAGATTGACGCATATTGTACCAATCTGGAACTCGGCGAAGCTTATTGTGTCGCACCAGTTGGAACTATCTACTCTGGTTATACGGTTACCGGGGGTTGGGCAACGATCACCGTCCCTACAGCCTCTTTTCCCTCTCAACACTGCGATCCCAACGAGCACCGGAGATCCTGGCTATACTTATGTTCCTGTATATCTGTCAACTGCCCCTGGTACCATTGAGGGCTGCTCTAAGTACCAAAACTACAGTGGTTACGCCAAGCCCAGTGGCCGCAGGACCAACCCAGAGGTGCACTGTGGCGGGCTGTCAGCAGTTCTACACTATCCAGTCGGGAGATAGCTGTTCCTCAGTTGAAACCGAATTCGGAATTGCTTTTGCCCAACTGTACGAATGGAATCCGTCGAGTATGTTTCCCTCTGCACCCTCTCCTATTATTGCAACGAAGCATCAGTTCTAACCGTCGGTGAAGTAACTGTGAGACTCTCTGGCTCGGTAGCGCATACTGCGTGAAGGGGCCGGCCTCATCTACATCTACCACGACCACCTCCACTGGGCCATCCAGTCCCACCCAGACGGGGGTGGCGTCCAACTGCAACGCCTGGTATACTGGTCCTGACGGCGGCTCTTGCGATGCAATTGAGACGCAATACCGGATCACGTTTGCGCAGCTGTATGAATTGAATCCGGCTATTGGTTCTAATTGTCCGTATTTGTTGGTTGGATATGCTGTTTGTGTTGGTGTCTCCTCGTAATATTAAGATATGCTACTATGAACAGGTTTGGGGTGCATGGGGAGGGAGGGAGGGAAGGCAAGCCAGATCTATACTTCATATGTATAAACGTAGATGTTAGGAGTCCTTTAACAGTGCAAACTTCCGGCTTCTCTTTTAATATATCCGTAAGTTCATTATACGGTTAATACAGACGTCTACGAGTCACTCAAGGTGACGGTCAACAGACCCGATCCAATTATGGAGCACAAGTTCTTATGACAGACATCATTTAGTCTTGTCTTTAGCCATTTTGCATGAAATAAGCACACATGTGGGCATGGATTTGCTCCTACCGGTGCAAGATGGCGAAATAAGTCGTCATCACCTTCCGTCTTGAAACCAAGATAGGTTAAGCAAATTTCCAGAAACAACACAGCTTCAAGATAAGTTCCCGTCCTGATATCTCGTCGACTAGTCTATTTATCTTGAGTCATGGTAAGTTGGTAACTTCTGTTCGCGTGCCGGCGAGTGTCGTGTTATTCTCCACTCTTTCAAAGGCCAATTGGAAACTTGACTGATACGAAGATAAGCACTCTAGACAGTGATTCCGTCGACGATCCGACCCAAAAGCACGAGAGAATGGATCCAATTGACTAATGGTGTCTGCGATCATTGCAGATCTCTCAGAAAATGTCGCGATAGTGGAATCGGATCCACTGTGCTGGTCCTAGAATCCATCAAAGGCCCATGTCGCGCAATTTCCACTGCAGAATTTGCAGCTATATAACCGCGTCGGATGCCGTGACGGGTTCGTCCTCAGTGGACTACGAAAGTGTGAAGACGAAGTTCAGAAGGGTAAGCGGCCTCACAATGCATCTGGCCAAGTCAATTGCAACGGGACTGCTGCTCGTTGGCTATGTGCTGGCATCGGCAGTCCCTAAGCCAGCGCCAGAAGCCCAGCATCATCCTCACAAGATCGCGCCCAGGGTCTTCATTGTCTCTATGGTATGTCTATCAGGGTTGAGAGGACGGCATCCACTCACATGCGCAGTTCGAACCTGAAGCTGCTGTTTGGTGGAACATTCCTGAGTTTGATCTCTTCGCGCACAACATCACGGTGCCCGGTGCCTCGCCTGTCTATCCCGACGTCTATTGCACCGCCGACTACAGCATCTGCCAGCTCATCACCGGCGAAGGCGAGATCAACGCAGCCGTCACCGTCTCCTCCATCGCCTTCTCCCCTCTCTTCGACCTCACACACGCCTACTTCCTGATCGCAGGCATCGCCGGCATCAACCCCAAGGTCGCCGGCATCAACCCCAAGGTCGCCACCATCGGCGGCGTCACCTTTGCCCGGTACGCAGTGCAAGTCGCCCTGCAGTACGAGGTCGACATCCGCGACCTCGGACCGAACTATACATCCCCCTACATCCCCCAAGGCGCCTACACACCCGACCAGTACCCGGGCACCATCTACGGCACCGAAGTCTTCGAAGTCAACGCCGAGCTGCGCTCGCTAGCCGCCTCCTTCGCCCGCACGGCGCAGCTGGCCGACTCCGACACAGCCAAGGCCTACCGCGCCAAGTACGTCACGGACAATGGCATCTACAAAGCCGGTACCCAGGCACCCTCAGTCGTGGAGTGCGACGTCTCCACAAGCGACGTCTACTTCAGCGGGACGATCCTCGACGACGTCTTCGACAATACCATTCAGGTTCTGACGAACGGGACGGGCGTGTACTGCAGCACCGCGCAGGAGGATAACGCGACGCTCGAGGCCCTGCTGCGTGCTGCGTCGCACAACCGCGTGGATTTCTCCCGGATCATAGTCATGCGCACGGCGTCCGACTTTGAGAGGCCGTATCCTGGTCAGTCGGCGATTGATAATCTGCTGTATGCGGACCAGGGCGCGTTTGGGCCTGCGCTGCAGAATATCTACAATGCCGGGATCAAGGTTGTGCAGGGCATTCTGGACGGCTGGAACAAGAGGTTTGCGGCTGGTGTCAAGCCCAGCAACTATATCGGCGATGAGTTTGCGACCTTGGGCGGGAAGCCAGATTTTGGGCCTGGGAGGACGATTGCGCGGCAAGAGAGCAGTGCGTTGAAGAAGAGGGGAGTGGGTAAGCGTGGAAGACGGTTGTAGGCTGTCGTCTTCATAGCTGATATATATCATCTAGACCCGTATGTTAGACGTAAATACATTGCCCTATTTGCACTCCTTGCCCCCGCAGGGTGTATGCTAGCTGTATTAATCGGGAAGATTCTTCATCCGTCTGCCCGCATAGAATGCAGATGCAGCTATACCATTCCTTCGAAGCGCCTTTGATCTCCGAAGCCACGCATAGTCTCCATGTCCTGGTACAAACATGAGAGGGGGCATAGTGATTCAAGGAAATGAAAAGATATTCCGCGAATCAGCCGCAATCCTGACGACTTCAAGCTTATGTCCATCAAGGAACCCCGCCAAGTTGATATCAGCCGAAACTCGCTGACTGCATCTCCCCGGCTGCCAATTATTTCCTCTTCGGGAACGGAGTGATGCTTCACTTGTGCTCGGCCTCCCCGCAGTCTACTACCGGTAATTAGATAGACAAGAGAGGTAGTGTACTCCGTATCTTGGATCCTTTCGTCATGGTATGCGGGGTATGCATTCATTTCTCCACGATTTCCCCGCGGAGGCAGGAATTGAAACAATAGCCGACGATGATGACTTTCTTCGTTTCCCACACCGCAAGGCCCTGTAACCAACACCCTACAACGCGGTGAATCTCAGGATACTTGCCTCCTGCCTCCTAGGCTCTGCCGCCTTGGTTGCAGCATCAATTTCAGAGCTCCAAGTCGAAACAACCAGTGGTATCGTCCACGGCGTCTACAACAACTCGGCCGAGACAGTCCGGACATTCCTGGGTATCCCCTATGCCGAACCACCAGTTGGAGAGCGCCGATTCGCACCCGCTGTGCGTAAATCCAGGATGAAAGGCGTGTTCGACGCCTCATCGTTCGGACCCCCGTGTCCCGGGCAGTTCTCATTCTCGAATGAGTCGATCTGGACCATGCTGCCGTATAACCCGTGGAACACGGCAGATATGACCGAGGACTGCCTGTCCATCAACGTCTGGGCGCCCACGGCCAAGCATAAGAAGGCCAAGGGGAAGAAGGCGGTGATGATGTATATCTACGGAGGGGGGTTTGTGCAGGGTGGTACGGCACTCACATTCTACGATGGGAACAATCTTGTCCAAGACAATGAGGATATCATTGTCATGACGTTCAAGTAGGTCTACCTGCCTAACCAATTTGCAAAGCAGCGACTCATGGTGTAGCTACCGCGTGACCGTATTCGGGTATCCCAACTCTCCCGATCTACCCTGGGATCAGCAGAATATCGGCCTTCTGGATCAGGTTCGCTCACTTCCCTGTATATCGAGCACGGTTAACATGAGCAGAGACTGGCCGTCCAATGGGTCCACGACAACATTGAGAAATTCGGCGGTGATCCCTCTCGAATCATGCTGTTCGGGCAGTCGGCCGGTGCAGCTTCGGTGGACATGTATACCTACGCGGTAAGTCTTCCCTCATCTGCCAGCAATCCAACTCACAGGCGTAGTATCCCGACAATCCGCTCGTGCACGCCGTCGCCATCGAATCTGGCGCAGCAGACATAATCACCAGCGCCGACTTCACGCACCAAAACTGGGATAAGCTATCAACAGCCCTGGGCTGCGGATCCGGCAGGGGAACGCTGCGCTGCATGCAGGGGAAACCATTCCGGCAGATCCTCGCCGAGCTATCCTCGGACTCGTACAACTTCGCTCCGGTGCAAGACAACGTCACCGTGTTTGCGGATTACGCCGCGCGAGCTAAACAGGGCAAATGCGCGCGGGTGGTGGGTACATCCTTTTCTCGAATCTGGACAGATCTGACGTATTCAGCCTGCTCTCATCGGTAACAATGCGCGCGAAGGCGCGGCATTCTTCAATCTTAGCTCTGCGTCGATCAACGAGACGGCGATCTTTGCGAGGACACAGACGACGTTCAACTGTCCTGTTCAGCACTCTGCTTTGTATGTCTCCCAAAGCTTCCTAGATTGGGCTAACGACCACAGAGTTAAAGTTGAACAAGGGATTCCGACATGGAGATATCTGTACCACGGCAATTGGAGCAATCTGAGTCCGGTGCCGTGGCTTGGGGCATACCATTCAAGTACGTATATCAGGCTACCTAGTAGTGAGTGCCATACTGACAATGGCTAGGCGAAGTACCTATCGTGTTTGGAACCTATAACATGTCTCCGCTGAGTATTCCTTCTACTCCGCGGGAGGTGGAAGCTAGCCAATACATTCAAGGTAGGTGATGCCAAGTTCAACTTTGGAGACTAAGACTAACATCGCTAGGTGCATGGGTTGCCTTTGCCAGAGGTCCTCACAATGGATTGCGGAAGTATGGATGGCCTGACTATAACCCTCATGGTGAGTCGATCCCTAATGGACTGGACTGATCTAACGGTAACAGGCAATACCCTAGTCAACCTGGCCCTAAATAACAGCGTCGCTCCGGTATTTACTTCGCCCAAGGGATGGGATAGCCACTGCAATGGATCTATCTTTGTACCATAACGGCCACGATCACAAGATCCTAGATATATATCAACCTAATCAACACCAGTCAAGCCAAATCAAAAACCTGCAGCGGAAACCGATCCGCCAAACTCTGATACCCCTTAACGTTAGGATGCAAATGATCCCCCGAATCAAACTCCTCCGCCAACTGCCCCGGCGCCGTCGGATCCCTCAACACCTTATCAAAATCCAGCACGGCATCAAAAACCCCACTGCTCCGAATAAACTCATTCACCCGCTGCCTCGTCTTCTCGCGCTCATCACTCGAGTACGGTTGCGTGTAGTTCGACCCGGCCGGCGTCCCAAACGGTGTGATCGTCGCCCCGAAGATCGGAATCCCAGCTGCGTGCACCCGAGCCGCAATCTGCGTAAACGCAACGAGCAGTCTATCCCCGATGAGCTTCTGCGCTGCGGGATCAGCGCTTGCCACGCCGATGTCATTGACCCCCTCGAAGATCATGGCGTAGTGCACGCCCGAGTGCGCCAGGACGTCGCGGTCAAGCCGGCTGAGGACGTTGGGGCCCAGCCCGTCGGCGAGGATGCGGTTGCCGCCGGCGGCTTGGTTGAGGAGGGCGATGGAGGAGGTTGATCTGTATTTTTGCATTCGGGCGAGGAGGAGATCGGGCCATCTGGGACAATCATTAGCTAGAGTCATGGGATATGGTGCATGAACGAGAACGCACCGATTGTTGCCGTTGGTGTCGCTTCCCCTGCCGTCGGTGATGCTGTCGCCGATGATGGCGAAGCTGCGCGCGGAGGAAGATAGAGACGCCTCGACGGCGCTGATGAAGTACCTGCGCTGCATTAGCTGGGTCTCGTAGTGTGAAAGTTGGAACTTACCAGTGGTTCACGCTCATCACGGACGGATCGGTCAGATTCTTCGCTCCGACCCAGTTCCCAAAGGACAGCCAGGCGGTGGTTCTGCTTCCCGGGTGTCCGGTGATGGCGTTGCCTTGCTGCCCTTGAGCGAGGTAGATGTCAATTAGAAGAGTCGACTGCGCCTTGACAGGGAAATCGATGGGATCTGAAACGGCCAGTGCTCCGTTCGGAATAATGATATCTTCGTTGCCGCTGAAGAGGACTTTTTTGCCTGATCCTGGTTGGAGAGCGCTTGTTCCTGTCTTTTGGTCGAGTGGAAGGCCAATTGCAACGCTGGTGATTGCCAGATCGTTCAGCCCAAAAGCATTTGAGAGTCGTAGGCGGATACTGTCTGCATCGAGCGTGACGTGGATCGTCTGACGGATGGTGGAATTGTTGAAGACAGAGGTCGACGAGTTCTATTCGCATTAGATGAGGTTATTGCATGATAAGGGGAAACTCACATATGGAGCAGGAGGCAGGTTGTAAGGCTCGACCAGTTGCGGCATGGTTGTCCATATATCCACCCAGTGGGATGTACGACTTGAACCCGCATTGCCGCTAGAGAGGGATATGTCTAGAGGAAGTGACCAGACAGAGCTGAATTGGAGAAGTAGAAGAAGAGCAGCGACTGCCCGAGAAAGAAACGTAGCCATGTTGAGCATCCGATTCGGCCAACTTCAACCTAGCCTCTCGTATAGCGAGGATGGCCTCGATTGAGGAGGCAGCATGTTAAATAGAGACTCATCGTCAAGGAATACCCCGTTTCCCCGGATTGTCCCCCGATTGCTCCACAGGCTAAATGGATAAATAGTGTCAGCCTGCAGGATGAATCATTTGGCATTAATCTATCCATGAAGGATAATGATGCATCCATTCCCCGCAATTGCAATTCAGCCGTTCGTCCGGGGTAATATAGAGACGGGATCAAGGAAGCTTGGCTCAGGACATAATGATCCTGTGCCGAGTGGAGCTCCTTTGCTCAGGATCTGTTGAGCGTATTCTTCACAGGTTCAATATACAGAATTTGCTCAACATGAATATACTGATATGGCGCCAGAATCATCTTTGCACGGGTACCAGGCTAACTCCGCTATTTCCGTTGATGACGATGCGGGGTACAAGATGAATCACTTATAATTGCATTAGCGACCCTCTATCCTCCCTGACTTCTTCATCAGGTTCCATCAAAACAGCTACACAATGGCCGCCATCTTCCAATCCCAGAAATCTGCTCTCATTACCGGCGCAGCATCCGGCGTCGGCTTCGCCATTGCCAGAGTATGCCGTTCCAAAGGCATGCACCTGGCGCTGCTCGATATCGACACTGCCAATCTGGAAAAAGCGAAAAACGAGTTATCTGCTCTCGACTCCTCGCTGAAAACAGAGATCTACACCATTGACGTTGGTAACCGGGACGCCTGGAAGGACGTCACAAAGCAGATCCACTCGACGTTCAACGACCTCGATCTTGTCGTTCTCAATGCAGGCAAATCATACAAAGCGCAGAGTGAGCTGGCAGGACGACTGAAACCATGGGCTGACGCCGATTACTGGAAGAAGGTGACTTCATTCCATCTGCATACTTGGCTATACTGATGAAACAGACATTCGACACAAACGTCTTCGGTCCTTTGAACGGACTGGAAACTCTCCTTCCGCTGCTGACCAGCTCATCGCCAACTCCAAAATCGATCGTCATCACCGGCTCCAAGCAGGGCATCACTAACCCTCCTGGATCCGCTAACCCGGCGTATAACGCCTCCAAGGCGGCCATCAAGATTCTGACCGAGCATCTGGCGCATGATCTGCGGTCCGATCCAGCTACGGCTCATATTTCGGTGCACCTGCTAATTCCCGGCTGGACCTGGACTGGTCTTATGGGGAATGTCGGGCCTACGGACGAGAGTAACGTCAAGAAGATGGAGGGGGCGTGGTTTCCTAGTCAGGTTGCGGAGGAGTTGGTCAAGGGAATGGAGAAGGGGTCGTTCTACATCGTCTGTCCTGATAATGAGACGGATAGAGCTCTGGACCAGGCGAGGATGCAGTGGGCGAGTGACGATGTGGTTGAGGATCGGCCTGCGTTGTCACGATGGGAGGACAAGTGGAAGGGGAGAGCGGAGGAGTGGATTCAGAGTGAGGCTAAGAGGAGAAGAGATGCTTGATGGTGTCCAGTAACAGTTGAAGTATGCTGGTCAGTTAGCTATAGACTTGATCTTACTGATCGACAAGAGTGTCCTGCAGCGAAGGATGAGTATATAATGTAGGCAGTTGTGATACAGTATGGACCAATGATTTAGTGGCCATATCTACAAAATAAGAAAACCAATAGACGTATAAATAAGACAAGAACGAGTAGATATATATGTGTTGCCTGTCTAACTTGGTCATAGCATTCTCCATCCTTTAGGGAGACAGGCACTGTTGTAGACTTCAGAGTGATAGAATACTGTACTCTGACGACAAATGTGCTGAGCTAGGAGCTCCTTCTTGAGCATGGAGGTAGGTGGCGACATCCTTGTGTCATGAAATTCTGGGGTAATAATTTGGCCATGACAAGAACTTTTCCAATGGACCTCCGAATTTAACTACATGTTACTTTGAGACACCGTCGCCGACCCATGCGCCACGGCAAAGGCTATCTCGCATTAGGGCCGACTTATTCAGACAACAGACGGACAAGTCCCGAGATTGGGAATCGGCCTCCATCCTGGAGATCATTGAAGCTAGCCCAGTGAGAGCCCGGGTCTAGACTTTAGAAACTTAAAGAGTTTCAGAAGGATCGAATATGGGTTTTAGATGATGCACGCTAGTTATGAATGAGTGCCGATATGCCAAATATATGCTACAAAGGTAGCTTAAGACCGGTGACATCCTCGCAAGCCTTGACGACAACCTCCTGCAAATCTTCGTCCCTTGTGACATCAAGAGGTTCACCGATCTTCTTCTTGGGTTCAAAATAGACACCAGTGAGACTTTGATCATAATCACCTTCGGCCAGCATGACATATGTCTCGACCCCATCCTCCAGCTTGTCGGTAGCGCCTTGACCTCCAAGCTTGGTAGCAACCCATCCAGGATGCACAGCCGTGACTGAAGTGCCCTTGAACCGCCTTGCCACGGCATTCGCAAGAAGCATGACATGAAGCTTTGAATCGCAGTATGCCGGGAAATCCTGGAATTCCTTTCCCCCACGCTCGAACCAGAAAATATCCTTCACGTTCGTGTTGGCTTGTTGGTGTAGGGTGGAAGCAATAAAGATAAGACGCTTAGGTTGCTTGAGGAGACAAGAGAGAATATAGGGTGCGAGAACATTGACGAAGACCATAGCCGGCACGCCGGTATCTGGCGTCTTGCGCAAGGGGCCATAAAGCAATCCAGCATTAAGAATGACGGCGTCAAAGGTACCAATCGCGTTTGCTTCCTCGGCCAGTTTGCGTGTCTCCGCCATGCTTGTCAAGTCTGCAATCAGCACGCCAGCAGCACCAGGGCATTTTGCCTTGGCATCCTCTGCGCGCTCTTGGTTACGCGCATGAAGGTAGACATTGTGATTCCGCTGAACCAACTGACGGGCAGCCTCAAGGCCAAAGCCATCCGTAGAACCGGTTATGAGGATACGGGCCATTTCGTAGAATGGCACAGTGAAAGAGAATGGTGGTATATAATTTCCGACGAGGGCACAGAGATGACCAGATGGACAATGAATTTTCAAGGGCTTCAACAAGGGGAGTGAGAACAGAGTTGATTTGAGAGAAATTGCCCAGTCTGTGGTGATAGAAGGAGAGATTTCGAGACGCAGGTCCAAGTTACTCAATTAAAAGTGGTTTAAAAACTTGCTGATGGACAGCAAGCTAGAAAGTAAGCTGAGAAAGCTGGAGAAAGTACTCCTACTCCGGACAGTTTTCTAGGTGAGGATGCCCCACTTGTAACAGGCCTTTCATATTTAGATAGACTAGACACTAGACACTAGGCTATCTAGTGATATCATAATATCTAGAAATCATAAAATCAGTGTTTAGTAAGCAAAATAGCATCAGTAGCCAACAGTTTTCACCGAATCCGAATCGGGTTGGAGGTAGGACACCGAACCAGTGCGATTCCCTAGGCTACGGACCGAGCCCGAACCGCTGTGAGTTCGATGAGGCTTGGATTCAATCTTAGCTGTTCGGTTATGCTGTTGTATGATTTTTGCGCAATTTAGGTTTTAGCTTATTTCCTATTCTTTGAATATGCAAATCATTGCGAGGTTGAGTGTGATGATTTGAAGCATGCCGTTTACTCCGGTCCTAAACCCAATTGGGGAATTTACACTCCGAGGGAGCCTGAAACAATAATCAACGCCTGAATTTTCCTACTTTCTCTTCTCCTTCACCATCAATCGGCCCGACGTTCAATAATCATTCTCCATAATGACCACTAAACAAGAAGTCTTCATCGGCACCCGCAATTCCAAACTTGCGCTTGTCTAGGCTGAACGCGTCTCAAATGCATTGGCCGGCGCCAACCCCGGGACCACATTCCCATGGCGAACCGTGTCGGTCAGCGGGGACGTAGACAAGACCAGTCCCTTTCTCAAGTTCGCAGGGCCGTCCGACGCGGCCAAAAATATCTGGACGGAGGAAATGGAAGCCAAGCTGCTCTCGGGCGAGCTGGACTTGCTGGTGCATTGTCTGAAGGATATGCCGACACGTCTACCGGTTGGCTGTGCGCTGGGGGCCATTGTGCATCGCGAGGATCCCACCGACGCATTTGTGGTGAAGGAGTCTCTGAGAGGACAGTACTCCGATCTGGCGCAGTTGCCGCCGGGATCAGTGGTGGGGACTAGTTCCACGAGACGAAAGGCTCTGCTGGCACTTAGATATCCTCAGTTGGTGGTTGAGGAATGTCGCGGGAATCTGTGAGTCACCTACCGTACTCTTCTGATGCTACTCCTTTGAAGGGAATCCTCTGACTAATATACGACGCAAGTGATACTCGACTCCGAAAGTTAGATGATCCAAACGGCACTTATGCGGCCATCATTGTCGCGACAGCCGGACTGGTCCGCATCGACATGGCGCACCGTATCACAAAGCGCCTACCGCCATCGGAGTTCCCCTACGCTGTCGGTCAGGGGGCACTCGGTATCGAAGTGCGAGAGCACGAACCCCGCACCCAGACCATGATCCAGCGGATCGAAGATCCCCTCGTTAGAAAGATGTGCATAGCGGAGCGGTCGCTGCTTCGCACCCTCCAGGGCGGCTGTTCGTCCCCGGTCGCTGTAAATTGTACTACCGAAACTCCAGAGCCCTCTGCTTCTCTGTCTGTAGCTCGTTTACGACTTGAAGGTACCATTATTCATCCTCAGGGCACCGGTCAGGTATCAGCCTGGGCAGCGGCGGATGTGGGTGACGACAATGCCGCGGAGGTGCTGGGTGCTGAAGTCGCGAGGCGGTTATTGGAGGATGGGGGGAAGGCCCTGTTGGAAGAGATTTCTCATTTCTACAAGAACCAATCCGTTTGAGGTAGTTTGGCAGCAGCGTTTCTGTCTATTCAACATCTTTTAGAGGAATCCGCAGACATTGCAGGCACGCCATCTACAACCAGCTATCGCTATTCGAGGTCGTGCAATAAAAGTTCAAAAAGGTCAGATGCCTTTCTATTTCATATTCTCCTGAAGGATTGCGGCCTTGCTGAGATTGCTGTTCTGCTTCTTGTCGGAAGGGTGTCGGAGTGGTATCGGACTGGCGGGTCGGACTAGGATTGGACTACATATAAAATGAGCTTCAGAAGGGGGATAGAATTAGAGTGATTGTGCACTCTACATATGGGTACAGTATAGTTGTTATCCTTTGAGTGATACCTGTCATCCTAGGCCACAGGAGTGATAGAGGTACACTTGCCAAACCAAAGGTGTGATGGCAACTATCTAGGCAGAAGAGTAATGTACTCTTTCTGATAGAAGTATCTTGAATTATAAATGGGAGTATATACATTGGCCTTATATATCACTTAAATGTTCTATACTGGCATTCTTCGAAAACTCGAACTTATAATTCAGGTTATGCTTTACTCTGAAATGTGAGTAGTTTCATAGAAACAGGAATAACATTGCTATAGCCTAGCATGCACATATTATGTAGATGTATATCTAACTAGTCTATCTATACATTATATTAACTGCTTAGTTCACTAAGCTTTAACCTCACAAAGGATTTTTACCTGCATAGACTTTGTAGGCCACATCCAAAGAGGGCAGATGAGTCGGCTGACTGGAACAACACCTGGTTGGAAAGTGAGGTGGACCGTGGACCCTTTAGAAGGTTTGGCTAATTCAGTGAAACTATATTGGAACCATAGGGATGGGATGTAGGATATAGGGCCTAGGCTTATTAGCCATTCCATGGATCTTGCTATCTAATCAGTTCAACTGCCAAATCAGTGCTCTTATGACATTACTTTTGCAGCATTCAGTAAGGAAGAGCGTGGTGATAGCCTTATCTTTTAGTTATAGTGCCAATTCCAATTCTTCTTACCAAGTGCTAAAATTATCTAAAAGAATTTGTTTAATCGAAGCTCTATAGACCACTGTGACAGTCATTCTACAATGGGAGAATGCATCACGAATCTCAGAGGAGTATTTTAAGACTATAACTCCTCCTCCTCCTGCTGCTGCTGTTTCCTCGTGTATGATCCAAGTAAATGAAGCAGCACCGGTAGATAGTTTGACTCTTTACTGCTCCCCCCACGTGGCGGCCATGTAAGCCGGCTTTCTTCTGAAGTTGTATACTCCTTGATAGATTCCTTGGTTGCTGGGCTTGCAGGATCTCAAGCGGATTTCTCATGCGCCACACGTGGAAGTATTCTTCCATGGATATTGTATAATTATTACTCACGTAGAATCTAAAGCAGTGCTCCAACCCATTGAAAGAGGAGTTGATTAATGGTCCGTCGTTTGGCAGCGAAAAAGCACTAAAATATAGAGTTAGCATAAACTAAGGTAGCTAATGCAGGAAGGACTAACTAATCAGAACGTAGAAATAGCAGGACAGACGTGTAAAGCAAAGGAAACATGTATATTTAATAAACTCTGGCCAAGTGCCACTGCTGGAGAAGTACCGCGCTGATAGTGCCTACTTCCCACGGATGCAACCCCATCTCAGAAGGATCGCCGCTTTCGTCCAACCATCCATCTTCCCCTCATCCAGGCGCTATCCAACCAATGAGTGATCATTCATCACCTGGATAATGCGGAGAAATAGCGTGGGGGTCACATCTTGAAGGATCCGTGTCACCATGCTATCTGCTTATCTTAACATCGAGTTGGGTGATGATACTCTGCCTTGGGCAAGCACAATGATAAGCGATGGTTCAATTGTGCTGATATAAATCTGTCTGCCCTTGCATCTCATTTCCTTGATTTATAACCCTTCGAAAGAGTAGCTGTATCCCTTGCGTCGAACGGTGTATATATTCCAGCATCCGTCCTGAACTTTCAGCATCGATAGGATCATGGCGTCGAATATAATGTCCGACACAACTCGAGACGAGACAAAAACATCCACTGCAAATGAGTCTATTCATGAGAGCGGCGACAAGCTGAAGAACTATGGCTCTGCACCCGGAGTGGTGGAGGATACTGTGCGAGTCGTCGACCACGAGGCCGAACGGGCTCTCTGCCGCAGGTTTGACCTGCGATTACTTCCTGTTCTCGCCGTGATGTGTGAGTCTTGCCAGTTTCATGACAGATCGTGATGCTGATTGATCAGATCTCTTCAACGCGCTGGACAAGGGAAACCTGGGAAATGCAGAGACAGATGGAATGAGCAAGGGTAAGTCTACATCCCCGGTCAAGAAATTAAACTAATGGTGTAGATCTTCACTTCAAACCCAACCAGTACAACCTGTTGTTGTCCATCTTCTTTATTCCATATGTGATTTTTGCACCTCCCGGTGCGATGCTCGGTAAACGCTACAGCCCGGCCCGCGTCCTGCCCATCCTCATGTTCTGCTTTGGCTCCTTCACCCTGCTGGCGGCATCAGCCAAGAACTTTGGCGGCATTTTTGCTCTTCGCTGGTTCCTGGGCATGTGCGAAGCCCCCTTTTTCCCACTCGTCATCTACTACCTGACTACATTCTACCGACGCGGCGAGCTCGCCCGCCGGCTGGCCATCTTCTATGCCGCCTCCAACATCGCCAACGCCTTCTCGGGCCTGATTGCCTTTGGCGTCTTCCAGATCAAGGGCTCGTCCATCCCCAACTGGCGATATCTCTTTATCATCGAAGGCGGCGCCACCGTGCTTTTCTCCATCTTCGCCTTCTGGTATCTCCCGCGCAGCGTCGCCGAAGCGCGATTCCTCTCCGAAGATGAGAAGGCCCTCGCCTTCCACCGAATCCAGGTCGACTCTAGCGCGATCGTCAACGATAAGTTCCGCATCCGCGACGCCCTCGTCATCTTCAAGCATCCCACCACCTACGCCTTCCTCTGCATCGAAATCTGCCTCGGCGTCCCCATCCAGGGCGTCGGGCTCTTCATGCCGCAGATTGTCCAGCGCCTGGGCTACTCCACCGTCAAAACAAACCTGTACACCGTCGCCCCCAATGTCACCGGCGCAATCATGCTCCTCATCCTGGCCTTCTGTTCTGACGCCGCACGCCTCCGCTCCCCGTTCATCGTCCTCGGGTTTCTGTTAACATTCACCGGCTTCATCATCTACGCCTCCATCAACGACGTCAAGGCGAATATCCGCCTCGCCTATTTCGCCACCTTCATGATGACCTGGGGTACGTCCGCGCCGTCCGTCCTGCTCTGCACCTGGTACAACAACAACATCGCGGACGAGGGCCGCCGCGTGCTGCTGACGAGTATCGGGGTGCCGTTGGCGAATCTCATGGGGCTGGTGAGTAGCAATGTGTTCCGTGCGCGGGATAAGCCCAAGTACATGCCTGCGTTGGTGACTGTCGCGGCGTTTGGCGCCACGGGGGCGTGCCTGGCTGCGTTACTGGGATGCTATATGTGGTTTGATAATAAGAGGAGAGATCGGAGGGGTGGGGTGCGCTTGCGGGCGCAGGAGGTGCCGACGGAGAGGTTGAAGGATGGACCTAAGGCGAGGGAGTTTCGCTGGTTTTTGTGATTCTTGGCTAAGATATGATGATATTACCCTTTTGCAGATGTCAGAATGCGTGGGAGATGACCCCCACTCGTACTGCAATGTAACATTCGCGTAGAGAGTTACATGCAGTCAAATCCGAATCTTCTTCTGGACAAGGGACATCTTACCCCGGATCTGCACCTTATACTCTCCCCCACGTTAGTAGCGTGGGGTAAAGAACAACATGACCATGTCACCCAAGATGTCCTAGACGTCTAATGGATGAATGCCCTTATGTAAGGAATATTCCTGTAGATTTCTACTATTGGCATCCCACATTAACGGGACGTGGAATCACTGCAATTCCTTCTAATCAGCAGAAATGAACATCTTCACATGCAGGGTTCGGCCGACTTCTCTTAAACTCAATTGTTGGCAGCCCATAGAAGAGGCAGAAGTGGTACTACTTCTGCCCGATGTTCATGCATTATCTAGGTATTGTTGAAAGTCACAATTCCACTTGTAGAAATTTCTTTATACACGAGAAGCAAGAGCTATATGAAACTGTGGAATATTAATGAGAATAAGAGGATAAAAATAGACAGCACTAACCCTATCTGTTCTAGTCTTTTGGTCGTTAGGACAGCTGAATCAATCATTGTCAGTCATTATCCCCCCTATCAACTATGGCTTAAGACTGATACCCGGGACAATGATAGACAGAAAGATCCGCTTGGCTAAAACCCCTTACGTCCCAATTCGCTCGCGGAACGGATGTATAACTTGCAAGTACGGTTCCACAATGACTCGCGTTCGGCGCCGACACTGACCATCTCTACGGTAGAATCCGCAAAGTCAAATGCGGAGAGGAAAAGCCCAGCTGTATCCGATGCAGCAGCACAGGACGCAAGTGCGAATACACTAGCCCAGTTCCATCGCGTCATGCATCAACATCAGCAAATGCTTCTAGCGTGGTCTCAGTACTGGACCGCCCGCTTTCAGTCTCACCAAGTGGTGTATGGCTAGAGCGGTGGGCCTTCACCCATTATTCCCAACACGCTGCATCGTTCATTGCCGGGGGAGTCTTGGACATCGACTTTTGGAGCGGTGTTGTCCCCCAGGTATGTCGAAGTGAGCCTGCGGTGTGGGACGCGATCAACGCTATGGGTGCCCTCTTTGAGAATCCAGATCCATGCTTCGATCCTGTCTGGCTCAGGCAAAACAGATCTCAGGGGTTGCGTCCCAGCCACAGTGATGCCTTACGCTGGTACTCGCGCTCGTTGGCCACTATGCGCAGGCAGATTGACCGGGGGACTGTTGACATGAATGTAGCGTTGATTAGCTGCATCTTGTTCATCTGTATAGAGACACTGCAGGGACGAGTGGAAGAGGCGCTACGACTGTACCAGCAGGGGGTCAGTCTCATCTTTGAGCTCCGGGCAGGTGGGACTAGGATGGGTACTAACTCAACCCTTTTGGAAGACACGATTTTCCCTATTTTCCTACGACTGGGCACAATTGCGCTGAGTATTTCAGGTGTTCCCGTTAGTGGCCTACTCGACGAAATGCAAGGTCGTACTCATACCACAAACAAATTCTCCTCACTCAGCTCAGCCCGTCTTGCGATGACCGCTCTTGCTGCAGAGGGCATGATCTTCCAGCGCACTGTGGAGGAGCATTTTGCGACTAAGGGCCATGAATGCCCCCTTCCCCTAGCATTCAAGCGCAAACAGGAAGATATCCAGAGACGCCTGGCAGAGTGGCACCGCGCCTACACCAATCTAGTCAACTCTGACCCATCAGAACTTCCTAGCAGCGTGACGTCTCTGTTACTCTCATTCCATGCTGCCACATCAATCATTACCGCAGTTTCTACCGAGCAGCTGGAGACTGCATACGACGCCTATCTTCCCCAGTTCAGGCTGATTGTTGAACACTCCACTGTCCATCTCGAAGCTTCGGCTGACCCAGATGGCAGGCAGCCGCCATTCACCTTTGAGATGGGACCTGGTCTCTCGCTTTTCCTGACCGCTATTAAATGCCGTGACCCGTGGCTGCGCCGAAGAGCCTTGGAATTATTGAGAAAGGCACCTCCAATGCAGGCGCTATACAAGTGTCCACCAGGTGCAATATTGGCAGAAGCTTTTATGAAATTAGAGGAATTAGGGACTATATTTAATGGCTCCAGCCCTGGATCTGCAGGTCCTTATGTCGAATCAGAAAGTGGAAGAAGTGAGATCGAATCTACAATCCCTATTACAACATTGATACCGGAGGAATCTCGAATCCACGGCTATTGCGTTTTCCGGCCGCGAGACGATCCCTGGCCATTGGGCGATCTGGACATCTCCAAGTGGAATCGGGGTCCTGACCAGATATACTTGAAGTTCTCTCGGAATCGAATTGACGAGAAGACAAACACCTGGAGGATGGTCCATGATATTGTCCCAATTGACTATTGATGTCTCTATGATGCCATGTCATTCCCAGATGGCTTTCACTGTATTTCATGACATGCGAACCCGATAATAGCAACTTCTCGCCAAATGCATCAGACGATTACCTGTCCAGCAGGTCTGTCCTCATTATGTCACGCCTTCCCAACTTCAACTCGTCAAGGATCCCTCGAGATCTTCACTCGAGCCTGCCCAGCCAGCATCTCCATATTCTTCAGCCGCAGACTTCGCATATACTCCTTCTGCTCGTACGTCATCTCCTCTTCGGTCTGGTCATCGCGGAAGCCGTTCGTGGAGATAAAATGGATCGAGTAGCCGATCAGGACCGAAACAACGCAGCCGACGATAACGATGAGAATAATAGCTTCTTTGGAGAGTTCCGCCATTTTGACTGCTTGTATCATTAGCATGTTGCATAGAGCAGATACAGAAGCATTTACTCACCTGCTGAATCAATTGCTGTTTCTACCTTGTTCACGAGGTCCCAACACAACGAGGTTTGCAGGGGGGAATCCCCTTATATCTCTTGCCCCTCTTGCCATCGTATCAACCACAGTAGCAATTTGCGTGTGTAAGCGCTAAGATATTCGCTAACAGTCTGTTGATATCCCCGCCGATGCTCTATTTTTGTCAGCGTTGTATACAAGCTACAGCCCGATTGAGTCTAGTGCGGATGTCTCTGATGTCATAACCGAACAGACCAATCAGATGGTGGAATTTGATTAAGTCATTGCACTTTCCTAGAAGGGAAATTCTGTGGTGAAGAGGACTTTGTCCTAGTGGCCTGGTATCCTAGAAGTAGGGCAAAGATCTGAATAATCCATTGGGAGATGGGCCAGATATCAGTCAGCGTTTCATATCCTCATTTTCAGACCCATGTACCGCAGATTGAGTCTAACATGCCTCCATGGTTGATTACATGGCCTGGAAATGGGTATCTACTAGTCAAAGGTCCTTAAGTGGCTCATTCGAGGTTTGATTTGCCATTGTATCACGTTCACTGTTCGCTGACATAGATTCCGCATGCATTACCTTTCCCGAAATGGGAGATAAGCCGTTGAGTAGCGACCAGGAGGGCTCCGGGGGTAATCTGAGAACTAGGGCTGTATTGGACTATCGGTGCTTCATGATATTATCTGACGGAGGGCTAGTACAATGTCTATTAATCCTAGCCGAGTTTATTCCACCATTAAACCTAATAAGAAGGGACCCTTGCATTGATCGCCTCTATAGATCGTGCGATCGAATCGACTTCCGCTACCCCGAAGTGCTGATCACCTCGACCAATTCTCATGCAGGGGAAGCAAGATTCACTGCCAGTTGCCACAGCCGAGAAGACGCACAAATCCATGGTTCGCATTCGCAAAGCTTCAGAGTCAAGACACCATTGGCCACGGATATGGTTCCTGATTCGGAAGAGTGGTTCTCGGACGTCAGCTCCGTTCAGCTACACCCAAAATGTGACCAACGGTTTGATTATAGGACATCGCCACGTGGAATAAGACAGCATGAGTGGTCGTAAGTGGCCAGGATTCAAGACGTTGCGGATCTGGATCGGAGTAGTCCAGTCGCCTGTCTTGGTCATAAAAGATAGAACGGACCTCAACCATGGAATTGTATGGGACGGCCCACCATAGAACCCTCAAACAGCAAAGTCCGCCGGCCATACAAACTGCTACCGGTGGCAATCCGAAAAATGGTCCAGTTTAAACATGGTACGAGGGTCAAATATTCCACAGAGAGTATTGCCATATCCGTGCAAAAACCGAATTCCTCCCCGCGCCGAGGACCTTTCAAGTCCGATAGTATTCAAAAGCGCCCTTCGTTCTAGTGACTTTAGTATGCTCAATATCTCCAGTTCCCTTACGTTCTCGCAGATCTTTGAGCCTAGCGCAATTATTCTATCTCGATTGATCGCATCGCAGCAGCGTCATGGTGGACGAAAGTGCCGCGGTCCGTGGTGTGGCGGCCGCTTTTCTGACAGTGGCCAGCATCGCGGTCATCCTGCGATGCTATGTGCGATTGTGCATTGTCAAGGCATTTGGCTGGGATGATACAGTCATGATCCTGTCCATGGTATTCTCCTGCCGAGAGTTGGAGTGAAGTCATGCTGACTTTTCAGTTATTCTATGTCATGTTCTCAGGATGCATGATCGGAGGCTCTCTCTGGGGAACAGGGAAGCATCTCGTCGATTTGACTCCAAAGCATAGAACAGTCGCTATGGAGGTTTGTACTGTCCCCAATGGCTCAGGCTCAGACTTCGCTGACAGCTCCAGTACTGGTTCCTCTGCGACATTGGCTACGCCATATCATCCATTCTCTGCAAGATATCTGTCGCCATCTTCTTGCTGCGAGTCATGGTTCGTCCAGCTCATAGACGGATCATGTACGCAGTCACCGCGCTCACGGTCATTGTTGGCATCATCTTTTTCATCTTCATGATGGTCCAGTGCTCGCCGGTGTCCTATTTCTGGACACGCATGCACGGCGACACCAACGGCAAATGCGGATATGTGGATGCGATCATCATCATGCTGTACCTTTTCAGTGCGGCGTCTGCGCTTTTCGACCTGACTGTGGGCCTGCTGCCAATTCTGCTCGTACGCAATCTGCAGATGAACAAGCGGACCAAGATCGCTGTGGCGGGTCTCCTAGGAATGGCATGCATGTAAGTCGACTGTACCTTTCAGGATGCCTGTTGGCTTTAAGACGAGTACTGAACTATTGGCAGAGCAAGCGTTGCCATTATAATCCGGATTCCATTCGTTCAAACCATTCGCGATCAAGATTTCCTCTGTAAGTCATCCCATCTATCGCATTGACCATCTCTAACAGAATATAGATGCAACCGTCCAGGTGAGCTCGCAGGCAGTCATTCTGTAAGAAATACAAGAATACTAACAATGTAGATCGCAATCTGGTCCAATATCGAAACCGGTCTTGCCATCACAGCCGGCAGTCTCGCCACCGTCCGCCCTCTCTTCCGCATCCTACACAGTCGCAATGGATCCTCCTACCGCATATTCGACTCCTCCGGTCCCCAGAGCAGGAAGCGCCAGCACCAGTTTCCCTTGGCTGACCTCGAAAGCAACACCTCGCAGTCCCGCCACGGCCACAAGAGCGATTCCCAGGATGTCCACCTCGGAACCACGATCTCGGCGGAGAGAAACGACGGGGATTTCACGATTTCGAGCACGGAGCAGCTGAATGGAAAGGCGCACTCGGTGCCTATGCGGTCGTTGTCGAACATCGGTGTGCATCGGACCTTTGAGGTTTCGACGTCCGAGGCGGGAACGTGAGTGCAGAGGGTTTATCATATTGAACATCTACGCTTTGCACTGAGTTCCGCTATCTCCACCAGTTCGATCTAGTGAGCCTAGCGAGCGTCATCAGGTCCGGCCCGTCGCTGTGGTTGTTGGAGTCTGCACGCAGCCTTAAAGACTCGACAATGGATAAGCTGTTAACCAACGCACAGCAGACATACGGACTGCAATGAACCTCACATTCACGCAAGCCATTTGATGTGCAACACCAGCTTTCTATACAAGTCAATTGGATTAATCAGCGCGCAGGAAACATCAGCACTCGAGACTCTCCATCTCCACCACGGCTGAAACGCCTACATATTCTCCTCAGAGCTCTCGACTACTGCCAACTACGAATCACTCCCCAAAATCTCCGCCAAATCCTTACTCCCCTGCTCCGCCTCCCCGTTATCATCAGTCGGAATCCTCTGCGACGCAAACGCCAAAAACACCGCCTCCCAATGCCCATCCTCAAACTCAAACAACAACGCCCCATCCTCATACACCCCGTTCTCAAACTGTGGCAGACTCCCCTGGTTCATATGCACGTCATGGATCCCCGTCCCATACGACGACCCAAACACATACATCCTTGCCTTTTGCGCAATCGCATCTGAAAGGATCGGATCAAGGGAATCCAGGATGTCGTTGTTCGGGCCGGGCATATCGTGCGGGAGGACCTTGCCTGCGTTTATATCGACGAGGCCATTTGTGCGGACGTAATCCAGGCCTTGAAGCTGGGCGTTGCTGCTGCTGTTGCTGTTGAGGAGAGTGAATCCTCCATCGAGGCCGGATAGGTTCTGGGTGACTGGATGGGAGAAGGCGCGGTTCAGCCAGAAGACGAGGCGGGTGTCCTTGTCGGTGGATTTGACGTTGATGGCGGCCTGGTACTGCTTGCTGCTGCTGCTGCTGCTCGTGCCGTCGGTGAAGTACAGGTAGATGTGCGGCGACTTGGGGTCTTGTTTTTCGGTCTCGGCTTTGTAGTGCGTTGGGTGGGCGACCCAGACGCCGTACTTTGTGATTCCCATGTTTTCTGTATCGGATTGAGCGTGTGGTGTGATGTGCTAGTAGAAGATAGGATGGGCTACCGGGTTTAAGTACCCCGCAAGCAATGGATCCGCAATGTGTGACGCGCAAGCTTTGAACTAGAGATAGGTTACCAGCCAGTAAAACCTGGAAATACTTCACGTGCTGAGGAAATGGAGACATTTATTGGGATGCGCTGCATATTCAGCTCCATTCGACACTTGTCGGGCGCAGGCGACGTCATGGCGTCTTACTAGCCCGTTGCTTAGCAGGCTTAGCTAGGCTACTCCACTAGGACATTGTACATTGTACATTGAAATGCAATAATTGGTCGTTGATCACCTTCAGACTTGAACATCTTGTTTTCCATTGATTAACTGTTTAGTAAAGTTCTGACGTATGAATGCAATGAAAGATCAACATCTCAAAGCAGACCAGTGCGCATTCCACCACTTCAGCTGATCCTTTCTATAGCTATCCTCTTCAACATAGCTCCCATTCCCATTGGACTTGTCGACGGTACGGAAGACGATATTCCGCGGTTGCGACAGCTCATATCGCGGCCAATATGGGCCACCGTCCACTGCATGCCCATTCGGATCCAGATCATGCACAAAAGAGGCCCACGACCGGGACATGAACTCGGACAGCTGATGATAGGACGGATACGGTCCGATATAGTTGGACAGATTCCGCGACGGATTGTTAAACACAAAGTTGAGCTCCGCGTAGTGCGTGCTGTAAACCGGCGGCTCCGTGGCAATCAGCTCCAAAATTCCGTTCCAGGGCGGCTGGTCGAACCGATAACTGTACACCGGCTTCTGTTGATGCTTGTTTCTTGCAGTGTTTTTACCCGCATAGTATTCCACCAGCCCTCGCCGGCCAGCATGCACGAATATGTCGCCCGCGATGGCAGCCCCTCGCTTGTACATCCAGCCCTGGCTGGCGAATCGCTCGGACCCAGTGCCGTACGGACAACCCTGCGCAGGATCATCAGGATAAAGAGCCAGCAGTTCTGAAACCTCGCCATCGCTCAATCCGCCGCCGTTCAGTGTGTGGATATACGCAGCGACGTCTGCAGTGGTGTTCAGCGTCCCCCTCGGACCCCAGAAACTCGCCGTCCCCTCATCCGTATTCGCTCCAACCAGGACCGCGACGTCTGCAACCTTACCCAGCGCAAGCGCCTCGCTGGGCTTGCGCGTGATAAACTCCCCATCAATAACAGGCGTGTAGATTTGCGGCGCAAACGCCTCAAACAGTACCTCGTACGGCACCGTCCGCAAACACGCCAGCGTATCCTCCGCCCCCTTACACCCAACCGTCGCCGTAACGTTATCATACATCGCCTGGTACCCATCCTCAGCAGCGATGAGCTCCGCATCCTGAAGCGCAGGCCCCAGCATCGTCCCGCTATCCATGATCGCCGCGCGGAACAGACCCTCGTTCTTCCCGTCAAATCCAACAAGGTGGTACCCCACGCTGAACGCCCCCGCGCTCTCGCCCCAGATAGCAACTTTATCCGCATCGCCGCCAAACGCCGCGATGTTCTCGCGGATCCACCGCAGGGCAAGCCGCTGGTCATACAGCCCGATGTTGGCCTCCCCGGCCGCGAGAACCTCCCTCGACGCGAGGAACCCCCACCCCGCCACGCGGTAGTTGATGCTCACGCCGATGATGGGCTTGCCTATTGCTGCGGATTGCTGGACGATATACGACATGTTGTATCTGGGATCGGCGACCCCACCGGCTGTGAACCCGCCGCCGTAGATCCTGTCATTATCAATATCAATTCCGGCTGAGAAACGAATCCACGTACCAAACTAGCACGGGCAGCTGCGCGTGCGGGGAAGCATTGTCCGGGACAATGACATTGAGGTAGAGGCAGTCCTCGCTCAACGGGCCAATGCCGACGTCGAACCCGGCGTAGCCGGGACAGTTGGCTGGCTGCGCTGTGGCAGGGTATCCTTTGTATCGCTTATTGTAGGGAGCGGGGTGCCGTAGTCGGAGATCGTTGACCGGCGGCTGGGCGAATGGGACTCCTAGAAACGCATTCTGGGAGAAGGAAGGCAGATGCACGCCGCAGAGTGTGCCGTTTTTTGTTCTGGCAGTAGGCGAATCTTGCGGGCAATGACCTGCAAGCGACGGGGCTGCCAGAGCCGCAATGGCTAGGATTTGGAGAAAGTTTACTACGATATTCATTCTGTAGAGTCCATGTAGGCCACACTTTCTACGAGATTGTTCTAATTCTCCGGGGACGGCAGAGATATATATGCAGCGAAGGATGCGCCCCGTCATCCGGGCACTCCCCGGTACTTCCCCCGTGCAAAGGGGCCGTCCGATTATTAGGCCGTAGACTTCAAGGCGGTGCGGGGTAGCTAACGCAGAAGAGTAAGCTGATATAAGCCGTAAACTCAATTAAAATAGCATGTTCTCGATATTAGAGCCAGGCTGCCCAGGCATACGTGCAGAAAACAATGAGGATATACTTCCGATTGTCACGTATGACTTATATGGCTTGACCTGATCAGGGTTGGGTTGCTTATTTATAAATCCTCCTCAGTGTAGAGTCCACCAAAGACCAGCATAACGAATGCTGATCAGACGACAGGTCTAACATTAGCCTATACTAACGAGCTTCATGATTTAGGTATACATCAAGGTCTGTCAGACACTGCCGCGCTTGAGGCTCTTGCCATCCAATTTACAATGGCTGTGCATATCAAGCTTAATTAACGAGATAGTGGAGTCGAGTCGCTTAACTGTCCCAGCCTCCCAGGACGATAGCGACCGCTTTACTGGTCAGGTATCAGGTATAAGGCTAGTTTATGGGCCAACGTTGCACTGCACCAATGCAGGGTCCACTCAAGTCCAGCATGGGTCCCATGGGCATGTAGGGCTGGTGGGCTCATAAGGGTAGTCCCAAGAACAAAGTCTCCGGGCTCGATATCTCTTGCGAAATCTCAGCATCTTATTTGTCTGCCACTAGATTTGTCATTTAATAGTCATATATTATCGTCTAAGCTTCCAGACAGCTACCAGTTGCGCAAGTATCATTGCCGGACAGTCGGGTAACTCCGCCTCTAGTACTATCCTACCGTAGAGACTAGTTCCTAGGTACAATCCAGGGCCCACACAAGCATGAGACATTCAACAGTCAAAATCGGCTATTATTCGCCAGGACAAAAGCGGGCAGAGCTCAATGTAGTTGCCTGATATCCGTAGCCCATAGATATTTTCATCCAGTCATCTCCTACACTTACCAACAATTCAACCAATGCATAACATCATGCCCGCCACATCAGATACGCTCCCCCCAGCACCTACTGTGCAGACAATATCAGTATCAGACGATGAGCTCCGGTCTCACCTCTTTGTTCAATAGTCGATTCCTCCCCCGGAGACCCAATCGCCCAATATCTCATAAACCCGTTTGCTCGACACATCTTCAAGTAAGTCAGGCACCTAGACTGCTCTGCTCTTCACTAAGAATGGACCAGAACTCTGCTGGTAATTTTCGCCTTTCTGATCCTCTCGTATCAAATATGTGGTCTGTGGAATGAGGACTCAGTCTGCGACCGCAGGGTCGACTATCTCGCCTTCGCGGTTGGTCTTGGGATTCTCGCCTTGATGGGATACACTCATTACCTGAGGAAGCGGATTGAGAAGCAGCAACGGATATCAGCACCACCGGAGAGTAAGGAAGTCAAGCAAGAACATTGAAGAGTTAAGCTCAGGCCGCATGGCTGGGTTGTCCTTGAGAGGAAAGACTTGAATTGGTTGATCGATGTATATATGAGATTGAAATTGGATGTCAACCGAGGCCTATTTGACATTATCCACAGAGTATCAGTACCTATGTTCTTGCGCAAGAGATCATTGGTCCATTTGATATGACATTTTTTTACGGACCCTCAATGCTACCATGAATGCTGTTCCTTGAAGCGCATCCTCTCCAGTGCCACAGGAAAGCCTAGCCTAGTATGTACTTGGAGGGCATTCTTAGCTTCTTCTAGTAAGAGTGTCATGGGTACAATCAAGCAGTCTGGATCAGAAGCTTGTCGGTGGCCAAGAGTACACTACTCTATGGTATCAAATACATATAGTGACTCAAAAAGAACATAGGCAGATTTAGAGAGTGTCAACAATGACTAACTACATAACCTTTGTCAACAGCTATCCAAAGTCAGTGTCCCAATCTCATTCCAATTGCTGGGGCTCTGACGTTAGAACTCTGATAACTACAGGGCTTGGAGTCGATAATTTTGAAATACATTAGGTACTATCGTCCCTCCCGGATTGATCCCCGTGCAAGTATGACAACAACTCAATCCCGAGACTGCCTACGCATGCTGACGTCGAACTAACATGCAGAATTGGTCTGTGTAAGGAGAGCCAGATTCCACGGAAGAGTGTTATAGTCACCAGTCGCCGTCGGACTCATACCCTGGTAGAGGTAGCGGAGGTTGCACGGGCTGATGGTCATGGTCTGGTCCACCTGAGAGCGCACCATCTCGCCATGGCTAATGCTCTTGGTCCAGGCAGTCCCGGACAAGACCACGTTATTCCAACGGGCAAAGGGGTTGGCTTCAGTGTTCGCTAGCCCAGTCCATGTACCCGTGAGAGAGGGTGCCGTCCATGACCGGAAGTACCGATACCCATCACTCCCGATGGCTTCCACGATGAGAAGGTACTGATTGCCAACGTGGTATACATTGGAAGCTTCGAAGAGATTATAGGGATTCGAGTCAGAGAGTGCAATGACCGTGCTGCCCATGCCGCTGGGGAAGTTGCTCAGAGTGGTCTGTGAACGGTAGAGGTGGCCGTTGTCATCGGACGAGAAGAGGTAGCAATTGGAAGAGTCGCAGATAACCCACATATCCACCCAGTAGCCGCTGCCGATATTCTGAGTGATGATACTAGGAACACTGCTAAAGAAGTTCGTAGGGGCACTCCAACCAGCAGGATTGCTAATATCCTTGTTGGTGGAGTAGGCAGCATTTCCATTCTGGTAGACCAGGTACCACAGCTGCTGCGGCTGAAAGTAGAAGACCTGAGGCGCAGCGCGGTAACCTGTCCCTATTCCGCTCTGGTCAAGATAGAAGAAGGGAGCATTCCCCGCTTGGCTGAAGTCGGTGAAATTGAAGTACACGAGGTTATAGCCTGACTCTTGAGCAGTGCTGGCGAAAACATGGTATGTGCCGTCAACCTCTATGATAGAGGGGTCCTTGATTCCCGCAATGTTGCGGCTGTCGCTCTTGGGGCCAACCAGGACATCCGTCGAGCTCCATTGAAAACTAGTAGGCAGGCTTCCTGTAGCGGTAGATGTGCTTGTCGAAGTTGTGCGTGTAGCGGTGGTTGTCATAGTCGTGCTGGTCATGCAGCTGCCTGAGAGACATTGATAGTACCAGGCGTTGATAGAGCTGCAGCATGCACCAGACACACATTGAGTCGAGCCCGTCCAGCCACTCCCACCACCTCATGTTAAGTTAGTGATAAATCATGCCTTGAGAAGGACAGGAGATTGACGTACATTGGCCATACAGCGATTGCTGAGCCTGGACGGCCAGTGCCAGTCCGAGGAGTGTCACTCCTATAGCTCTCATCGTGAATCCGTATTGGCGTAGTAAAAGTTATACCAGCTTGAGGTTCTGCTCTATGAATGCTCCACAGATACGTATAAAGTGTCGACAATGACGGCCCGTTTTAAAGCACCAAAACGCCTCCTTCGGCATAGGCGACGATCAGCAGGTGCCGACAACATGAAGCAAGAAGATGCACTCCACCGGAGAATCGCTAAATCAACGCAACGCTTTGAGCCACAGTAATCTATAATGCCTTGGTTTGGGTACTTTTGGGATGCTGCAGATTCTGGATATTAGCCGGATAGTCGAACATGACGGGAGTCATATTTTGGCTAAATCGATACATTGCAAACCAACCGAGCTCCTCAGCAACGATTTGCTCTTGATAACCCCGCATAATCTTCAGTAGCAGCCTTGTCACAGATATCCCCATCTGAATGGTCCATCCAGGACGGCATTTGAGGTATACTCCGCTAAGCATGCGCAGGGCCCTGTATTTTGCGGGGAGTCTGATTCCTCCTGGAAAGATCCACTAACTTAGTGCTTGGGTCAACGTCGCTAACCAATCTGCATCTCTCACCATTGATGCATATGCCCTTCTGATATAGAGTGCATACGCAAAACTAGGGCTGTGGTGGTTGCAACAATCCGGTAGGCTCTGGTTTAAGCAGTTAGGATTCGAAGCGGGGTTTGGCCCTTTCTCAATCCTATCCGGAGGCAGCGTCCTAGCAGATTTATTCTAGCAAGCCACGTGGAAATACTCAGGGGCCGAAAATTACATTAGGCTGAAGACGTCAGTGATTTGGCTTAGTCTGCGCGGGGCGATTGGGATCCTCGCACCTGGGGGCCCTTTCCCCAGACTCCAAAATGAGGGGCCAGGCATTGTTTACTGTTTTCAGTAGATTAAGCCGAGATTAATTCGGCTAAGAAGCTAGACGATTATCTACCATGCAATTCCTGTCTGCATATTCAAGGTCTGGAAAGGCAATATGCCCTATACGGGCTACTCGGGAAAACGGTCCGTCAGATTCGGAAACTCCACATGTTGGCAATAAGCTGGAAAAGCTGGAATCTCAGCCGAAGCTTCACCGAGTGATGGTTTACTGCTATGACCTGCTATCATTGGTGATTCGGTGTGTACTCCGTGTCCCGAATGTCTACCATTTCACGCTCGACCCGTCAACGCTCCAGGCCACGCATGCAATCAACACCGCCGATCATCGCAAGGTATGATGCTCAGGACGCCTAACATGCATTGTTAATAGCAGGGATCTCGGTAAATAGACGCTCTTCTGCAAGTGGGGTGAACCGAGTCCTTGCCGTGTCAGAAGACGCTGCCAGACGATCTATAAAAGGGACAATGGACCTATGAAGTGACTCACGAGACCCAATCTCAGGCTCAAAGTTAATTGCAAGATGAAAGCAATGGTATGCGCACTTTTGTTCGTGGCCGCCGCATTCGGCGCAAATTTCAGTCAGCCGGTCTTGTGGGAGGACCTGGCTGATCTCGACATTTTTCGAGTGGATGATACTTTCTACTATTCTGCTTCAACGATGCATTACTCCCCCGGTGCTCCTATTCTGCAGTCGTACGATTTAGTCAACTGGGAATTCGTCGGACATTCTGTGCCTACGTTGGACTGGGGCTCTATCTATAATCTCGAGGGAGGACAGGCCTACGTCAAAGGTATCTGGGCGTCGACACTCAGATATCGTAAGAGCAATGGCTTGTGGTACTGGATTGGGTGCGTCCAGTTCACCACTACATATATCTACACTGCTCCGTCTGTGACAGGACCGTGGACAAAGAGTGGTGTTATCAATACCTGTTACTATGACTGCAGCTTGCTCATCGATGATGACGGCACAATGTACGTGGCGTATGGAGGGACTACCATCTCCGTCGCCCAGCTCTCTTCCAACGGGCTCAGTCAAGTCACAGCGCAAACGGTGTTCACATCCACCATCGGAGCCATTGAGGGCTCACGGTTCTATAAAATTAATGGCGAATACTACATTTTCAACACGCTCCCTGCCAATGCCGAGTATGTTCTCAAGGCGAGCAGCCCATGGGGCCCATACACGCAGAAACTACTCTTGAAGGACATTGCAACTCCTATTACCGGAGGTGGTGTGCCGCATCAGGTACGTAGCCCTCTATAATCTCGAGAGAATTGATCTGACGAGATACAGGGCGGCATTGTTGATACTCCATCAGGGAACTGGTATTACATGGCCTTTGTCGACAGCTACCCCGGAGGCAGAGTCCCGGTTCTCGCTCCAATTACCTGGGGCTCTGATGGGTTCCCAGCAATAACCACAGTCAACGGGGGCTGGGGCACCCAGTATCCATACCCCTTGACCTCACATCCCCTGTCCTCCCCTACAGGAAAAGACACCCTGTCCTCCCCCTTGCCATGTCTTTGTGCCTCGTTTAAGTAGGCTGCTGAGAGCAAATTCATTCATGAGGTCAATGATTGGATCTGCTTCGCCCTGTCTTTCCAAAGACACGTCGTCTCCTCCCCAAAGTTGATCATGTCGGTTAAAGTCTCCCACAATCACTACCTCCACCATTGTGCCCGTGTCTCGTCTGACCTTTGTGATTGCCTTGCGTAAGCTATTGCATGTGTCATGCAAAGCCTGGGCATCTCCTCCCTCTACGTAAACTGATGCCATAAAAATCAATCGTCCGGGGTGTCCACTGCTGTCAGATCCGGGGATTCTATCGGCACTTGCTCCGCTTCCACGTCCTTCCTTACCCACAGCATGCTCCGGATTGCCCATCTGCCTTCCCTCCATGCGGAGGGGACCATCTTCATCCATTTTTGATGTCCCATCGGAGTTGTCAAGAGTCGGCCGTTAATTGTTCTTGCTTGGGGTTCTTGGACTGCTATTGCCGCTGCGTCCTGAATTTCTTTATTGTTCATTAAGCTGTCATGCACCACCATTGACCCGTAGGCCTTCGCACTCTCCTTTCTGCTAAGCCATGTGATCTTGGCAATGGTGGTTTCATTCTCCTCACTAAAGGCTGCCGCGGCTCCTGCTCTGATCTCACCCTTTTCATCTAGCACTGCTGCTTTCTTGACACTGTTGACTTTGATTGGGTAAAGCTCATCGCGGCGCACCCATGCTCCTACACTAATTATTGCTACTGCGACTTTCTTAACCAGCTGGTGTTCAGCTTCATTTCAGCAAGCAATTCAAATCTGATTGGTGTTCTTTAGGTCCACCATAACCGCGCAACATTGCTAGTTAGCGTGGTTTTCTATTATCCAGATCTCTTTCTCAACCGCTGCCCTAATCAGGCCTGCGGACATCCTGTCGTCTCTATTATTAACTGTATTCGAGGTGTCTATCATGCAATATAGTGTATCAGTGAATGTAGTCGGCGTTGTGTTAAACAATGAGAGAGTCTATATATTGCTTGGTTGGCTGGTTGGAGGGGTATGGGCAACATCTGTATAGGATGGGTTATTTGTAGGATCTGGTGCAGGAAGAGAGGTACAAAGGGATTAGATTTCATGAAGGATCTCTTCATAGCTGGCTTGTGATCCTACCTCCATGCTTGCTTAGGATGTGGTCTGCCCATTATGTAACTCTGCTAGTTCCTGTTATAGCCCAGCGAGAGCTTCTAAAAATTAAGTTTTAATGTCCCTTAATTCTTCTTAGTGAATTTCGTCTCTTCTCTTGATTTCTCTTCGCAATTTGACTAACTCTGCGAGCAGTTTAGTTGTGTGTGGCTTACTATTGCTGATTTCTATTTTGTCCTCTGAGCTGTCAACGCGTTCTGCTGTGGTTTTGTTGCGGGTCTTTAGTCTACCTCTCCCTTAGCAGTGAGTTTGACTGCCTAATGCATATCTTGTAGCTTCCTCCTCTTGTTCCTGGGCATAGTTATTCGGTGGTCTGGTGACGCGTTTGGGTCGTACCCGTGGTGGTGATTCTCCGCGTTCGTCACAGTTGGGGGTTCGTGTCTCAGCCCGTCCCGCGCGCGCGTTGCGTGTCGGCATCTTGCCCACCAACCGCCGAATACCCCAACTTTGACAGTGGTGAAATAGAATAGAATAAAATAAAATACAGCTGGTTGCAGAAGTGGTCCCTAGATGCAAGATTGAATCTGTCCGTATCGCCTCCAATCTCTCTTTCAGGGTGTACAGTCGTTTTCGAAATTTGTTTGACCAACAAACATTTTCGCAAACACTCTATCATTCGGAGTACTGTATAGGAATTAGCTATGACGGCGTATATTCTGGTAGAAACTGAGTGTGGAATAGGAGAGAGGTGAGCTCTCAGGATAGGAATTTTCAGACCCTGAAATCCGGCCGCCTGATGAGTCTGAGATTACGCTTACCTAAATGTAAATAACGCCAATCAGACATACAGTCTTCGTGTTTTGCGAATTCAGCTCCTCCCAAACATGACGGGCCCTGATTCTTCCCAGAAAAGACCTGAGCGAAGAACATCCTAATTTGTTTGAATACTCAGAACCTTCACATATCGCCCATGGACCAGGATTCCACGCCTCTTGACCAGACGGTCCGATCTAATCCGACGATGGCGATAGTAAATTCATGTATGTGACAGCCTGTGTAAACTAAGCAGTAGGCATGATGAGCTGACTGCAGAAGCACCCAGAGGTACGTCTATTGAAGACATCATCATGCTTCCTGGCAAGTAGTTAATCACATTGGCAAATGAGCGGAGAAATATGCCTCTCCTTTTCCACATGCTGGCTAAGTAGGTCAAGCATGTATGAGACATTGTCACCTTGTATACTTCTTCATAGGTTTAGGGCAATGGATGACCAGCAAAATGAGCGAATCCTAAGGAGGTCGAAGGACGGAAACACGGTGGTTATAGTGAATGAGCATGAGATGACTATGAAATTGCTTCTCTCTTTTAATATAACTAATTAAATCTCCTTTACCCAATAGCTAGAAAAGCCTGGTTTCTGGTGAGTTGATCAGGGCCATGAGCACTCATATGTCAGACGCGACATCCCCGAAGGTCCGTCCTACTCAATTCGACGGAACGACCAAAAGTCGTTACCGTCATCTTTTACGGATTATCAAATGATTTCGCCCTCAGACGTTGCAAATCTATGGACGCCTAGCTCTATCTCAGTGACGGAAACGTCGGCGGGTGACGGCAGTGTATGGTCTTTCCTAAGCGACATACAGCCTTCGAGCGCAAGACATGGTGCCCCGAGCGGTGGTGTTTGTTGTGGAATCAACTATAGGGTCGTCAAATGAGGAAGAAAATCAAAGGCTCCGCATGAGAACTGAGCAGTTTAGTGACTGAGTGCTTGGAAATTATGATCGCCGCAATCTACCTGGCAGCCTAATAGCTAATGTTGACTCAATATCTCACCCCGTATCAAGAAAATAAGAAAGAAAGAGGAGGGTTGCTAAGACAAATGCCGGCGAAACCACTGCATTCGTACGCCTTAACCTAGCCATGTCGAAGGTCATAGTTAAGCCATAACTCTGTGGCAGATAGATGTCTGTGTATTATGAGAAGTGATAGCTCCATTCTCCGCGGTATAGCCCTGAGAAAGGTCCTTGCATGAAGAGTTATATATCAGGCACTGACCTTTATCAGGAAAAGCTCCAGTGTGTTGTCTGTAAGGGAAATATCCAGCTATCCATAGCCCTGTAAGCCGCAATTGATGTTAAAGTTCAATATATTAGGTGCAATACGTTCGAACATTGTTCTTCAAAGGAGGCTTCTTAAGACGGAATGTAGGTTGAAGAAAGCGTCTAGTTCAGTCCACTGTGAAGGTAATTGCATCAGTGGTAGCCCGGGAAGTCACCGAGAATTACGAGCGAGTTGAGATATGTCGATTATACCATTCATGGGCGTTCGAATTTCAAGGCTCATGTTGGCAAGAAATTGTAACTTGCTGCAACTGGCTAGCTCTGCCGCTTATCTGGCAGCTGTATTGGCGTTGAACATTGGCTTAAACAAAGACCATCGACTGGCCATGCTATTAATCATCTCTGTATTCGCAGTTTTCACCACAAGTTGACTGTGCTGGTGCCCGCCTTTGAGGCCGTTGCCACCGTCTTTATATTTACATTGCCTAAGTGTTTGGAATTTTGGAGACACGCTCGCCACATGTGATGTATCCATGATGTATGGCAACAGTGGAACAGTGGTGACAGTTAATTCCCAAGTTCTGTCGGATAGATATTATTTTGTGTCAATCATTTATAGAAGAATCTAACTGTTCTGATTCTGCGAACATTACCAAAGCAGACAATGGCTTTGACACAGTTAATATTTAGCCTTTTTCTTTTACTGTTCCCCAGTGTTCTAATACACCCTCTGCTAAAGCTCTTTGGTTTTAGATGTCTAGGCCCTCAAGCCAGTGAGTAACTGCGTACACAGAGACTTAGACCTGTTTTCCTTGTGTGAAAGGTATTATTATGTTAATGCTCCAAGCTTCTTTCACTATATTTATACAATCATGGATTGGCAATGTGCCAAGATATGGGATTTTCGCTTTCCTGCAAAGTGCAGGCATGAATGGATATGGTTTTGCATGGATGAAGAATATGATGTGCTTTGGAGTGACCATTTTGTTGAGAAAAATGGTAGCCCGTTAAAGCTACAACACCCTTTACGAGCTGCCTATCTGACACGCTGAGGCAAAGCGTACAAATCCAGAGGTTTTCGCGGACAACTTTTGCTCTCAAGAGCGCTTGCAAGTCCGAGGCACTGGAACTAAGCCTTCTACTTCTATCCCAGAGTACCGACGCCTTAATTTATACAGAGTAGTCTCTGTCAATTGGTGTTGAGCGGTTGCCGACAATTTCCTTTTCATGGACGAGCTGCGGGGCAGCTAACAGTTATAAAAATAGGTGGGGCCCAATGGACAGTGTTTTGTACATTTACTATGTGGTATGACTATCTTGAATGGAAAATAACATTTATTCCTTGAATTACCAGCCATCAATGACTAAGTCAGTAAATATTTGTTAGAGATACCTTTTGCACAGCTTACAACCCTTCCATAAGTCCCTATTAGTGGAATGTACTTTCCAGTGTGGGCAAAAATAATTGTCTTCTGAGTGGTAGCTAGGCAATTTTCTGGTGGGGATAGGGTTACCTGTCTCTAACTCCAGTGTCAAGATATTTATGTCTGAAGATCTAATTTCATTGTACTCAGTGTTAGTGGACAGGTCTGATCTGTCAATATATTCTAGCCTTTGATAGTCAAAGTCCCTATCCGAACTTTGTCTGATGGAAGGGGTGTGACCATTAAGAACACCTGTCCTGGGAGAGGACTCTTTATTAATGCTAGAATCAGCCTCTGGACATAAGTCCCCTTCTATAGAGCTTGCCTAAGTTATATTAACATCATGGTTATTACTAACAATCTCCTCTTTATTAGTGTTTAGTGTTATAATTTTATTATCACTGCTCTATAATCCTGCCTTATATTAAATAGAAGAGATCTTATTAGAGTAGACCTATGCCATAACCTTCCCTAGAAATTTATTAAAATCTAGAGTCTTGCCAAACCCTTTAAAAAACTATTCCTAATTTCCTACTAGAAGATTCCTTTATTAGCCTTAAAGCTTGCCATGATTCTAGTAGAGAGATACTTAGAAAACCATAGCTCTTCTAATACTTTTAGGAAGGCATTCCTTCTAAGAGATATAATATTAATAATAGAAACTTCCTTATTAAAGATTTAAATGGGTGTACTGCTTTATATATTCTACTAACCTATCAAGACTATACCTCACTGTAACATGGTATATAAATACACTCTAAGTATATTTAATTACTTGCTTTAGTAGTTCACTGATTAATAGTAGCTTCATAGTTTCATAATTACCAGTGTAGAGGTAATGCATAATCATATGCCTGACATCCTTGTCTATATTAGATAGTATTATCACCAGGGATCTGTCCATGTCCTGACAGCATGGGAGAGTGGTAGCTTTGCTAACAAGGTTCTGTAGGATGGTGTATGGTTTTTTGCTAGAGCTAATGAGGATTGTGACTGATTTTCCTTTATATAGACTTAATTTTCCTTAGATTAGCCCCCACTCTTCTATGTATAGGGTCATAATCGCTCACCTACCTGATGTTAGGCTGATTGTATTTAATAATGACAGGTTCAGGGAGAATAGTAGGTGCTTCAGTGGTAACTTCTGCTCTTTTAGAGACAGGCTCAGGAGCTTTGTTGGCTCTAGTAGCGGGAGCATCTGTAACCTCATGTTGCTTGGCACTAGCCTCTTCTGCTGCCTTGTCTATTTCTTCCCGGCCAAAGTTAGAGACAGACTTGGGGTCAAGTTGAGGGGCAGCTTCAAAGGCAGAGTTGGGAATGGGCTTGGGATCAGGCTCAGGGGCAGCCTGAACATCAAGCTCAGGGACAAGCTCAGGGGCAGCCTCTGGGATAGCCTCGGAGATGTCCTCAGGATCAGGGTCAGGAACAGGCTCCGTAGATTCGGCCATTTCTAAATCAGAAATCTCAGCGGCTTGAAGGTAGGGAGGAGCTTCCGAAATCACAGTACGTCGTATATTGTTTGAATTTTTGGACTTCTTGCCCATTGAATAGGGAAGAAGTCCATCCTCGCCGCGCTGGTTTGACGAGGACTTCCAATTACTATAAGTGAACCCAGCATATCCTGAGTCTACACGTTGGTAGCATGGTTGGCACGGATAGTTAAACGACAGAGACCCTGGAGTTTCTTATTGCTAGTTTGATATCCTACATACGAGACTACCAATGTGCCACTTGACTAAAGACGATCTGCGACTGTCAACTCTCACTGCTCCAACGCACGCTTCCATGTTTTGCTAAACCACCTCCCAGCATCTTTTACTGTGCTCTTGCTCATATTCCACATAGATCCATATGCAGGCCATAGTGTTTCTCCAGTAGTTGCAGTTTTTGGATCAACCCCTTTTGCTTCAAAATAGTTTCCTTGAATCATTGTTGCTTGACTCACGATTTGGAAATCTCTCAACCCAGGTATAAACTTTGGGTAATGGACAATACACGCCACATGCATTACTCTGCCATGCCAATGGGAGAGTTCTTTATCAGCGACTAGCTTGCAGCGGATCCATCTCTGCACAGCTGTATATAGATAGATCTCCTTCGAGGTTCGGTTTTGCAAAAAGCTCAGCCGCTCAAGAGCCGACAATGCCTGATCCAAATTATGCTCTGCCTTCAATGCCTCTAGTTCTGCTGTATGGAAGATCACGGTGTGCAGGAAGGATCGCTCGACCTTGAGGTCCAACAATGATAGCACACAGATTAGTGACCATAATAGAGGATCAGATAGTTGAATTTGATGGAAAATATAAGCTATAGCTCGGGGACAATTGCGAATCTCCGCCGAATAATTTTCCAGGTCTGTTAGGTAACCCTGTATATGTTGACCACTTTCTGCGCAGTGCCGCGCTGCCATCCGGATAACGAGGGGCAGTTCCTCAATAGTTGTTCTCCAGGTATAGGGAATCTCAGTCGCTTGGTACTCGTGTGATGCCCCTGTATTTAATTCATTAAGAAGAATACGGAGCGACTGTGCTTGCGGAGGCCGCAAAAGCTGGAGGGCCCTCGCAACTTTTAACCCCAGCCTTTCTTGATAACTATCATTGCTGGTTGTAACAATAATGCTTCCGCCTGAACCAGATGGAAGGAGACTGCTGATCGATGAGAGGTAGTCAAGCGGACCTCCTCCATCGAATACCAGGAGCCAACCATCCATGGCTTCAAAGTGAGACTTGACCTCAAGGATTGCTTTCTCGGTTTGCACATTCGTTTTGAACCCCAGCTCGTTATGAAGCCGCCGAAATTCCGACCAAAGTCGAAACTTATTAGTAGATAGTACCCAAAATATTCCACCCGGATACTTCTGACGATGTCTCAGACAGTAATCTAAGACTAGCCGGGATTTTCCGCACCCGTTCTCCCCATGGACAACAGCGATTGTATGAGAGCTAGGGGATTTTGTGGACATGACTCGGTCGAGTTCGTGGGCCGCCTCCGAGATGACTGGTTCCGCCTGGGACGGAAAGCCACTAAACATTGGAATAACCATTGGGGGCCCCAGTTCTTTGTCTGTTATATGCTCAGTATCGTCCCTAATAATGTACGCTTTTAAGATCTGGACATCACCAGTAAGAGATAAACAGTGAATCTGTGTAAAGAGAATGATGTTTACAGGATTCGCACGATTATAAGAATATACCGAGATTCGAACCAGGTAAGGAGTATATGATTTGAACTTCAGAGAGTCTCACCAGCATGTGTCCAAGTTTCTCGTGCTGTTGGGGTTCTATAAATCTGATTGGTTGGAACCACCAAAAGAAGGTCTTTTGCATAGGCCGCTGCCACTGCCGCCGCATATCCTTGCCATTCCTTGTTCTTGTGGGAGTCAGCATAATCGCAGATGCCCCGAATGACCAGGCATGGGAAGTCATTCATGAGGCCCGCAGCTTCCATCTCCACACAGTACACCCCGAAGTCATGTGCAAGCTGATCTCGACGTTTGCTGTCTTTCACCACTTGATTCGCAGATGCAATCAATCCGTAGTGGATAACTGGTCCCTCATGACCTCGTGACGGTCGTGGAATGAGTTTGGATCGATCGCAATTGACACATGTATTTGATGCCCCGTGTTCATATTCTGCTTGGTATAAACAGTCCTCTTGGTTTGGTCGGGCAAACTTTGCAGCTGTGGAAGGCGCTTTGACTTGGATATCAGAAATGAATTCAAGAACCCGGCTAACACCTGAGAGGTGCTGCGCTTGGAGTGTAGAGAGTGCAGTTAGCAAAATCTTCGGCGGCCGGTTTAACATCCCTGTCCGCTGAAATTGACCGCCACTTAACGCTTTGCCAAGATCATATTGTGTTACACCTCCAGATGTGTCCGTTGGTTGGCTCACAACAATATCACCCAATCGAATATCTGCACGGCTGCTTGGTACTCCTCCGCCGATCCCAACCATTAGACCAAAGCGGATGGAGGGGAAGCTGGACAGCAGCTGCATCGCCACTGTCGCAGCTGAGATAGTGCCATATGCTCCACTTGGTAAACAAGCAATAACAACATTGTGTTCCCTGATATTCCCAAGAATGTACGTATTCTGATCTGTCAACGGGAGGGGTAAACCTGGATGTATTGCATCCAACATCAACTTCGCAGCCGCCATCTCTAGTGGCAAAGCGCATATCCATCCGACCGTGTAGTCGTCATGAGATAGAGGTGTTCTAGCAGCCATAATGGGCTATGGAACGATTGGATCCTAGAGGTGGAATGGCTAAACTGTTCTGCATCCCAAGCCCTCGGAGTAAATGCAGGTGTTATTCATGTGTTAGTTGATCCGAGCTGAATCATTGTGTGCTAAGCACATGGGTTTAGGCCTCATCACATGATATAGCGGGGTTGGGCAAGTAGTCGAATCAAACCATCCAAATTTTCCAGGTCTCTAAGGTATTCTCCGAGTCCAGAAGTAAGAATCTCCCCGCTCACTTCACATCGCCGGTTCACCCGATTTTCTTCATGCAAACTGGAAGCGGCACCTTGCGCGTACATCGCAAAACTGGTATTCGAATGTATTTTAATATAAAGTGCCTTTGACATGACTGAGGAAACGGCTCGAGAGGAACTGGCCCGTGAATTAGTACAGCCCTTACAAAACGCATATTTGTTGTCGCTGTTGTATGCTAATGGTTGACAGGCGAATCGTTGGAAACCCCTCACCGTGCCGATAGAATTCTTCAATGATTGCTACGTCCTATCATGAGACATTGTTGCGGCAGCAAAAGGCGAGAGAAAGCTCTATTGCTTAGGATGCAAAAGCATCATGTTTTTGACACGGAAAAGCGAAGAGATTTGGGACACACGAGGGGACGGAGAAATGATCCTTCCCAAGGATATCACGGTCCTTATAAAAGAAGGAAAGTCAAAGTTACTCTGGGAGGGAGTGTAAAGAATTTCCTACGACGACGCCGTGGCCGAAACCTAGGCGCAAACGGATTACGCAACGATGTGGCCACTTCCGGGAAATATTTCCGGTCACGCAATCTGTTGTCTTGACAAGCGAATTTTTGAGTTCCCATGCTCGCAGCTGGCTCTCTCGAATTGCCTGACGGATTCGAGGACGAAAGACTGAGTTGATGGTTGAGACAGAGGCTCCGTTAAATGTATAAATGGCATTGTCCGCTAGCGTCAGATAAGCATGGAGACAGTTGCTGGAATATGCTCCTACTTACTGACTTGTGTAGTGGATACTGACTCGTGACGCTCTGGTAGAATTCCTCTAGAGTCTCCATCCGGAGACTCCGGTGATTCAGTTTCCACAAATAAACTCATGTCCGCCGTCGCTCCAGGGCACAACGCTGGGCCCTCAATGGGAATGGAACCACAACCCAGACTCCAGCTACTACAGCGTAAACAACGGCCTGACACTGAAGACCGCCACCGTGACCACCACCCTCTACGCAGCCCGAAACACCCTGACGCACCGAATCCTAGGTCCAGACTCCACCGCAACAATCGAGCTCACAATCAGCAGCATGAAAGCCGGAGACCGGAGCGGCCTCGCCATGCTCCGCGACTCCTCCGCATACGTCACCGTCATCAACAACGGCGGCGTCTTCCGCGTAAGCATGGTCGCAGGACTCACGATGGACGCCAGCTGGAACACCCTCTCAACGGGCTCCGAGGTCGCGGGCGTCAACCTCTCAGGGAGCCCGTCCAAGATCTGGCTGCGCGCATACGCCAACATCCAGCCCGGCAGCGGCAGGACGGCGTCATTCTACTACAGCACAGACGGCTCCAGCTTCCAGTCTATTGGGACACCGTACACGCTAAACAATACCTGGGAGTTCTTCATGGGGTATCGGTACGGCATTTTCAATTATGCTACTGCGTCGCTTGGTGGGAGTGTGCTGGTTAGCTCTTTCGAGATGGAAAGCGGCGCTCCGTCCTCTGGCACGACCACAACCACAGCCTCGCAGCCAAGTACCATCACCACTGCTCCGACTGCTGGCGCTACTCAATCCAAATGGGGCCAGTGTGGTGGCAGTGGCTGGACGGGCCCGACCGCTTGTGCGAGTGGCTCGACCTGCTCATCGGCGAATGCGTGGTATTCCCAATGTTTGTAGCGAGCCGCACAGTACCCGGCATAATATGTCTACTATGTCTAGTAGACATGGGTATTGAAGTTGGGTTGCATGCTGCGCGTGGCTTCCAGAGATTACCTGGTGACGTACTTTCCACAAAGTGATTGTCTATCAATATGAAGTGCGTTACCTAGATGTTTCCACCAGTATGAGTCTTTCGAACGGTATCAATTTGGCATTGAGTTTGTCACCTTCCAGAAAGCTGAAAGTCTTCAGCCTCGGGTTCCTGGGGCCCCTCTCACTATCTGTTTGATATTTGTTCATCAGTAAAGCGCTCCAGAATCACAAGTTAAAATATCAAGAAGTAGCACGTCATGAAAATCTCAGAAACCTCAATTATAATCACGAAGACAACCAACTTAAGCAAAAAGGATGCCTTCATTTCGGCGAGTGAAAGGTATACTCATCATTGAAACCAAACAGCTGGGGAACTGAAAGAGGGGAGTACCATACCTAATCATAAATAACGGGAGTGGTTGATGTCGAAGTTGTTGTCCTTGTCTGCCTTGTCATTGTGGGCTTGTACCAGGGTTTATATAGCTCTAGTAGGGTACACAATAATCCATTAAAACACATAGTTCACACCTTGTAGCTTCATAATTTCTCTAGCCATTACGAATGGAATGGTATCATAGCTTGTCTCAGGCAACAGTGGGATGTACTCTTGATGGCCATGGATGGCACGCCTACCCTCGTATAGTCTACAGTCCTGCATATTTGAGTCAATCCCACTTTTGATAGGCGTTGACTAAATCGATAGGGCTGGTGTTCTTGTGGATAGGACCACAAAGGGTGAGTCACCTCGTATATTGCTCCTTGGCATTACCAAACTGGATGAAGGGAAGCACCTGAGTTCGTATATGATGGCGTCTAGGCCAAAAAGGCGTCCAGACTATGGACTGGGTTTCATACCCATAATCATAGTGGTATAATATTCAACATTATCTACCTAGGTAGTTAACTGGGTTCTAATGAAATGATATTTCATATGACAAAGTCAGTTACCAAGGCTATTACGAGATATAAGCTTATGCTACACAAACCCTAGGAAAAAAACAACTGTTCCTTTTGAGCAGCAGCACGAAATGACCTCTTTAAATTACTTTATCAATCTGAGCCATCATATTGGCAGTGGGCCTCTAGGCACAGTCTCCAGGAAATAGAACCCTCCCTCTACTAATACGTAATTGTGGAATTGCGCCCGAAGAGCCTGGAGCCTCTTACGTACCTACCAGTACATACATGTAACATGACACTTCACGCGGAAGTCCTGGAAATGCCATCGTCTGCTGAGCAAACTTTCAGCGTCTATGAGCTTTCCGAGCATATAATCCTGCAGCTGAATAATCCTGTGGAAATCATTCGCGCCCAGCGCGTTTGCCGTAACTGGAGAAATGTTATCCAAACATCCCCGGCCCTCCAGGAGGCCTGCTGGTATCAATCCTCCAATACTAGGGAAGAACAAACATGGATATTGAACCCTGCTTTCAACCGAATACGCATCTCAGTATCGAAAGATACAGCAAAACCTGGAGATCAAGAAAAGGGGGATTTCGGCTTGGAGGGAGACATGTACGATAAACCTGGATCATGGACGACCATGCTGGCCACGCAGCCTCCCTGCCAGCGAATGCTGGTTGAGTGCTACGGCGATTATTCTTATGACGACACAATGTAAAAATCCCTCTGGCCTTTACTGCAAACTCTTAAGCTGATATATTGCTTAGCTTCTATCTAATTGTATCGATGACAGGCTGCCTCCTTATGGGCGATATCATGGCTGTTCTAGCAGAATGCCAGAATCGACAGGAATGCGGCCTAGATCGCTGGGGTGGAGTACGGCACTATACAGGCCAGTTACTCCGATGGGATGAGAGTGAATGGGATGCCTATCACTGGGTTGCTCTTGACAGAATGAGATAATGTTTCAATTAAAGTCGCGGTCGAGCTGCCTTGGGGACAAGGGGGGTGTCCTGCCTTTTCCCTTCGGCGCCTCTACGGCAGCGAACACTTTCTGCATGAAATGATCCTGCATAAAATGATAATGGAACAAGGGCAAGAATATCAGTGGGAGGATGGTTCGTTGGTCCACCAATTCCGCCCTGTGAGCAAGACAAAGTACAAGGCAAATCTGTTGGTTGTAAAGGAGCATCAGGAGGGATATCTGTCAGCTTGCAGCAATGTCTTCCGCCTATTATCTGACGTGAATAATTAATACCTGCAATCAGGTGTAACACAAAATGTCAATACATTTGGCTCATTTAATCAAGTTCTATGAATATGAGTTACCAAATGATTGTACCAGGAGACGTAGGCGGAAATCGAGCTCTACATTCGGGGACGGCTGCGACGATAATCAGACGGAGAGAGATCAAGAATATACCAAGTACCAGGGTGAGGACAATGATTACTAGTCGGAGTCCAGAAGTCTACTGCTTCACATCGTTATCATCCGTCGTGCTTTTGTCGAAGGGCTCACAGGAGATATTCAGGGCGGTTGATGACCGTATGTTAAGGCTGGTTCTTCCTTTGAACAAGGAGGCCAGTCGTTGAAGTTATCCTGCTTCTCACCATCAACCACGCATACCCGAGCCACAGGAACACACCATCACTCGGATTCGAGTCTAGCCAGCTCTTGAGTCCAGTTGATGATGCAGGTCTTTGCTGTGGTCCGCCTCTAGTATATATGAATGGAGTTGTAATGTTAGGCCTTGGATACTTCAAAGACTCATGATCAGCAAACATAGTAGCTATTGCTCTAGCTCACAGTGCATATTTGGACATCTGGACATCTGGATGATGCTGGCAATGAATCACGTGAGCAGCCGCCATGAGGAAGCGTCATCAGCGCTGTGGCCTAGAATCGCCTAGATTTATTGTTATCAAGCATCCCGTCTGCTATCAACGTCATTTCCTCTTTTCGTAGTCTTACCACTCTTCTCTTCTTACTTGTAGATATTTCTATTGGAAACAGACAGTACCCAAAGATACGAATATTAGGATATACTTTTTGCCATGACGACGGCAGCAGTGTTCGGCTGTACAGGAGCAGTGGGCTCCCAAATTCTCGCCACACTCCTCGCCATAGACACATTCTCACCCGTCAAAACAATCTCAAGGAGACTACCAAATGTCCAGTCACCCAAGCTCGAAGCCATCAAAGAAGGCGACACTTCTAAATGGGGCGGCATGATCTCCTCCTTCTCACCCAAGCCGTCAGTCGTCTTCAACGCAGTCGGCACCACAAGAGCGGCAGCCGGTGGACTCCAGAATCAGTGGAAGATCGACCACGACTTGTGCATCGAAAACGCCCGAGCAGCCAAGGAGGCGGGAGTCAAGACGTACGTGTTCATTTCGGGTGCAGGCATTAGAGGCTTTCTTGCTCGCTACTTGCCCTATTCGAAGATGAAGATTGGCGTGGAAGATGCCATCAGAGAACTTGATTTCGAGCATGCTATTATCCTGCGGCCTGGTATGATTATCGGGAGGGAGAACCCCAAAGCTGCGCTATTGGAAAACATCGTGGGGAGTCTGAATAAGCTGGGACTGGGCGTTCAGGACAAGCTAGGTATGACTAGCCTGATTGCTGCTAACTGTTTGATGCCCTGAACTGATCCGTGATGTCTAGGTCAAGATCAGACTGTCATTGCCAGAGCAGCAGTAGCAGCTGCCCGTATGGCTGAAGAGGGGAAAGCCCCGTCGAAATATTGGGTGGTGGAAATGAGCGATATTGTCAAACTAGGCAGAGATGAGTGGAAGGAGTAGCTCAACATATGTATAAGTAGCTATCTAAGTAGCCGTCATGGAACAATACATAGGGCCTGTCAACCGTACTGACCACTACCGCCACTATCAGTAAAAGAGCGGTAATTAGAACATCACAGCCTCCAGGGGACAGCTACTCTGTGATTAGGTGTAAATTCAAGGAAATATGCATGGAGTAGACCCCAATATTGTACATAGATAAAGGATATCCAGACCTTTTCTGCTGTAGTTTTATAATTGTTCGATGCTTGAAGTAGCAGTTAAGCTCACATCCTTACAAATCAATTTTACTACTCGGAACAGGCGCCGAGCAGAGCTGAGTACCTCCTCCATAGCCCATGCGCACAAATGTATGCCTAACGGACAAGGCTGAGCTGCCCAACCCTTTGTTAGTTCTTTCTATTCTGGTATTCTTATTTATGCCAATACTATTGGTGGCCAGTAAGCGCCAGCATGTCAGCATCCCTGCATTGACGCCCGTCTTATAGGCGAGGCTGAGCTGCTCAACACTGTTAGTTTCTTGAATTCTCACATTGTTATTAGCGTCAATGCTGTATGTTGGTAGCCTAATTAGCGCTGGCATATCAGCATACTTCATTAAAGCTAGCCCCATACTGAAACCATCCATACGTTTCCTAAAATTCGGACCGTGAACTCCTTGGTAGTTACCTTACTCAAACCCTTCTACTGATAAATTTCGCCAATCTGAGGGTCGAGAACCAAGCGGTTATGAGACTGTCGATACCAGTTATCTCAGAACCACGATTCCTCACCAGGCACAACAAAGGCTCGCCCGCCTTCATCGGACCCGAAGCCACAACTCATGGCGACACTGAATTGCACGGCAGCATCCTTGGAGAATCGCGGTGCCAATTTTTCTCACCTTCCCTTCGCTTGCCAGGGGCACTGAGCTAATGAGCAGCTTTTGCAGAGCGCGGAAGCTGGCAATTTGGGGAAATTGACCTTTTGAAGGTATGCACTTTAATATAGCCTTGCTTGGAAATCGATAACTGAGCCGATCAAATAGGCCACAACTCTTCCGGAGATATGCTACTTGTATGGATGGCACTTTCTGACTGGAATCTGAATAATATCGGGATGCTCGTCGCTTATTGACACAAACTTTGTCGTTCATCAGGTTTCTTGATGCGGGTTCGTATCCGCCATCAGAACATGAGCGTGCAAAGATTTTGCGGCATTTCAGCGTACCTCATTTCGTGATGAACGGGACATGCACTAAACTGAATGGGTATTTTGGATGCAGGGGAACCTATGACGAGGACAATAAGCTGCAAAGCTATGGTAAATATGTCATTCTTCCCTCTGTCCCTCCTTGAGAAGGTCCCATGGAGAAAGCTAATCACAGCATTAGTTACATGGTTCCGTTGCTTGGTAAAGTTAATCAACGGTCAAAAAGCGACATATGGGCTAAGTATTGACTACAAATGGCATGAAATCGGCGTCTTCACCAGATGGGATAGCCCAAACTGTTGCAGGATATTATGTGTTGATGCGCCAGAAGCGTTACGCCATGACCTGAAGACATCCCTTCAAAAGATGGCCCCGCTGGACTTGAAAGATCCGTTTTGCATGCATGTGCCATTGATTGACGAGGTAGTGAAGTTGTACGATCGGTCTGTATGGCGGATCCGGGACGCTGTTCGGGATATCGAGAAGGTACATTTCATCCCTTCGGATGCCTCTCTGCTCGAGAGGAACTTATGCGGCTGACGAGTCCCCCTTATAATAGAGCAGAGTCAAAATAGGAGCAAATTTCGAGAACATGAACGAATTGTCTCGCCATGGAGTTCATGTCACAGAGGCCCTGGAGGCGATGGTTGGGACCTTTCTAAAGATACAGGAACAGCAAAGGCGAGTTTACGTCTATTTGCCAGCTGAACTCAACAAGACGTATCAAGAGCAGGCGCAGGAATATGTGAGCTTTCAGCTGCTGATGATTCAAAATCTGCTATTGCGCTCAAAGTCGTTATATGAGCGACTGAAGACGGAGACCACTGTGGTAAGGCGCCTCATGGTCTCAAGTATCAAATGTGCATGGGATTTACCAGGAGTAGGCATTTAATAGAATCACTCAGCGTGACAGCTCGGTGATGAAGTCAATATCGATATTGACTATGGTATTCCTGCCGGCCACGTTCATCTCTGTACGTCAGAGCCTGCTTATCTTCCTTTCAGTGACTATTTTCTCATTCAATAGCTAGACCATCCTCAGCACCCCTTTCTTCCAAGACGATAATGGTCAGTGGAAAGTGTCCGGGGACTTTTGGATATACTGGGCGGCGACCATTCCGATGACCTTCGTCATATTCGTTATGTGGGCATTATTCCCCTTTGCTTTGAACGCGTGGAAGGCATTCAAGTGGAAGAGATTGAGAGGGATGAGATATGAGATTCAGCAGCCCGTGTAGTGTTTAAGAAGGGCTTGTTTCATATTAGTTATAGCCCGGGTTACTGTTTCTGGTGCAGATATTTGGATTGATCTCGACGATGGCCAGTATGGCATGGGTGTTGGTGATATGATGTATTGACTCATTATCAGATGCACAAAGACAGCAAGACATTTGAAGAGCTCTTTTTTCTTCTGCAGCTTGGTTCATATTCAGGCCAGCTATGGCAGAGTCACATGTTCACGAACTGCATATCCTACAGCATATGGTCCGATCCTCTTGAAAATTGCATTGGGAAGGTTTCCTCCTCAAATCCAGATGAGATAAACCAAAGTCGACCCCCAAACGCAAAATACCTGTGAATGCGATCGCCCTATCGTGCATAATCAGCTGCCTCCTCTCCCTCATCAACATTGGCTCGCTAACCGCCTTCAATGCCATCATCTCGCTCAACGTAGCTGCTGACCACTACCACCTCTATCAGTAAAAGAGCGGTAATTAGAACATCACCGCTGTCCGGGGACAGTTACTCTGAGATTAGATGCAAGCTTCATTGAAATATGCATGGAGTGAACCCCAATATTGTCCAGGGATAGAGGATATGTAGAGCTTACCTGCTGTTGGTTTATAATTAGTTGTTTCGAGCAGCAACCAAGCAACATAATCAATTTCATATAACGAAATAATGAGCGGCTATCAAATTAACTACCCTGATGCCAACCACTGCGAGATAGCGCCTGCGAGCGAATCATTCCAAATCCGAGGCGCCAATCGAGCGTGGTTGGATTGGATGAGGGAACACAGCTGCGCTTCCGTTTCATCTCGAGTCGCCAGCGGCTATTTTCTATTTGATGTTCATGAATGGCCGGAAAACGGGAGTAATACTAGTGGTGGAAATGGGTGATATTGTCAAACTAGGCAGAGATGAGTGGAAGGAGTAGCTCAAACCACGTGTATAATAGCTACCTAAGTAGCCCTGTCATGGAACAGTACATAGTGGACCTGTCAACCATACCGACCACTACAGCCACCGTCGGTAAAAGGTCGGGAAGTAGAAGATCACCAATCCTCCCATGGTGCGATCCTATCCAGTAGTTTGATCAGCATTTGCCTTACTGAGGGGTTCCGCCTGAAGGCAAAACGGTGGTTCTCGCTGACGGTGTTCCACATAGCGGTCCAGACGGTTGTCAGGCCGTCTAGCTCCTCGTAGTATATGCGCTTCAGCCTATAGTATCCTTCGGATTCCATTTCCCAAGCGAATTGCTCGCCTTCATTCATATCTTTGAAAGCCTTCGTTGGAACGGGTCGGGTCGGTTCCACCGGTTCCTCGTTGGTAATAGTCTCATCCTCTGGGTAAATATATTTCCAGACCTTTCTACGCAGAGCGAGACCTTTGATATACACGAACCATGTCCACCGACCGTCTGATTTATCCAGAATTGGGACCTTCGTTGCAAACATGGTATTGGGATTGACCACGTAGTCGGACATCCCGTTCGAGGTACTGAGATACATTTTCCGAATAGCTTCACAATTTCGAAAAGCGGAAACGATCCACGAGCTGTTCGCGCAACGAAGAGTTATGGCTTCGTCAACTGTTGTAAGTACCCAGTATGACGCTGGGTATACGATAGCTGTTGAACCAAGCCGGGCTCGTACCTTGACTGTCACCGTGTTTGTATGGTAAATCCCATATACGCAGGATGAACAAGGAGGAAGGTGTTAGGGATCACCAAACCAAGTGCTCTACGGTATGCTGTCTGATGAACTCATGTTCGACTCCCTTTAGAAGACACCTAATGATCGACATCTCCACTCAATGCCAGGCAAAGTTCACTTACTCAATTTGCAGCACTGAGGGACGTTCCGGCCATGCTCTCCAGTCCGACTCGATAGCTGCTGAAATCTGGTGGTGATTGGTCTTTCAAGAGAGGAATCTCATTAGCTTGCAACTTTCGAGGTAATCTGATAAACCAGTTTCATGTAACTAAAATCTAATCTGTATGCTCTGCTCCTGCCATCCTGGACGGCATGTTGATGTTTCACCGTCGGGAAAAGGTCTTGAAGCCGATCATCGACCCCTCAGTGGGGTAAAACTAGACTGGCTGTGGGATGGATATAGGTTGACCCACAGCATGTCTGATCCAACCCATGTGGATTATGGGTAAACCACCAGGTATCTCACCCACCCCTTATATCCACGGGGGTTCAACTGTGGATACCATGGATATCTATACTATCTAGTCAGGTGACCTCTAGTATTCAGATTACCCCCTATTCTTTTAGTATTCTAGCCACACCACTAGGATATCTATATATTTAATAAGTAATATAAGAATAGATTAGTATAAATATTATATATTACCTATTATATAAACTAAAATAGGCTTATATAGGGGAGTAGGGGTCCCCCCTAAGCTTAGGTTAAAAGGTAGTGCAGAGATATATATATCTGTAAGATCGCCTACTAAGGGTCAATATCAACTGGTAAGATCAGCGTGAAGGGAGCAAATATCCATATGTTGCCTAAGCAAGGAGAACTAATCACTAAGTTCTGGAATACTTAGCTAATTATAGAGATATATATAGTGGATTATGTGATCTGCTAGGTCTAAACCCTCTGTACTATTAGTATTAGCTATGTATGATAGCTTTATAATTTACTATAGCCTTTAATAATTACCTCCCTTCCTTATAGGCTTCGCCCTCAAAGCTATAATACTTCCTGATTTAGAAATCTAAGGAGCTTCACCTTCCTGGGTTAATGTTATCTTCCCATAGTTATTTAAAATATAGGAGTAAATCTCTCATTAGTGGATGATATATTCTATTACTATTATAGGTTATAGTATTTATTTTAATTCTATTATAGTAAATAATTAATAGTGATTATTACAGACCTATAAAGATATATTATATTTCCTATAGTATAAGTAGATTTATAGATCTCTAGGGAACTTCTCCTTCTTCTCTCTTCTTATTAGTACTATTAAGATGCCTGCTTAGTAAGATCTCCTAATTAGTTTAGTAATATAGATTCTTCTTTATCTTTTATAGCTTCCTTACTCTGTTTATTACTCTCTGGCCTGTATCTAATAGCCAAATAGTTAATTTTAAATGGTAAGTTCTGTATTAAGTAATTAGTTTAATAGATTAGGCTAATAATAATTTAGATTTATAGGTCTTACTTCCCTTTATTAAATAGTTTCTTACATATATTTAATAATTCTTTATCTGAATTAAATAGCTTTATTAATATCTTTATTTATTTATAGTCCTGTTATTCTTATAGTCTAATATTTTCTCTATCTTATAATTCTATTATCTTATAACTTATTATTTTTCTTTATTTTATAATTCTATTATCTCATAACTTATTATTTTCCTTTATCTTATAATTCTATTGTTTCGCAGTTAAGGTCATCCAAAGTTCATTAAATATAGGTTCTTTATATTATATAATAATAATTTTACTTATTAATATATTTCCCTTTCCTATTATAAAAGGGAGGAAGCCTGCGAAAGGGAGAATTAATATTATTAATACTAGTAAGACCCTAGCTTTATAAAATTATATACTAATAATACCTTATAGAGTTCCCTATATTTTATACCTTTAGGTAAAGCTCTATAACCCCTAGCACTATTACTATAACTATTTTATAGTAAATAGCTATATATAGAAGGCCTGTGATTACTATACTCTAAAAAAGTATAAGTATATCTATATAAGTATCCCCTTCTTCTATATTACTACTAATCTAGCTACATTTTATTAGTGTTTAGCCTATTTATAGTTTTTTATTATAGGTTTCTTTTATATTATAGTTATATTCTATAGATTTTAGTAGAATCTATTCTTTCTTTAGTAGTTCTAAGTTAGATTTAGCTTTTCCTCTTAGCTTTTAGGGTCATATAATTCCTTTTTTTATAGATTTTACTAATAGTTTATAGGTGCCTTTAGGTAAATAATATTATATTTATATAGTATTTTATATCTACCCCCCTCTCTAAAGAAGGGTAATTACTAATACCTTAGACTATATCCTAGTAATACTAGCTATATAGGCTATACTAGTAGTCTAGATTATTATATCTATAGCCCTAGCCCCTGCTCTACCTCCCCTAGCCCTAGCTTCTTTATTATCTTCTTCTCTAGAGTGGTTTATTACTCTATCTCTATAGGCTACATTACCCCCCTCTACTCTAGGGTCCTCCACAGTTCACTATATAATTAGTTAGCTTAGTTTTTAGTAGTATATAGGCTAGATAGGTAGGAGGGTATATTTACATAGCTTATATACTACTTTTCTATTTTTTTATATATATAGTAATTAAATTAAGGCTTTTTCCTATACTATTTAGGTTATCTTATAGTAGTACTCCTAGATTATAGAGTTCTAGATATAAGGTAGTGCTTAAGAGCTTCTATATCTATAATATATTCTTCTAGCTCCTATATATTATTAGAATCTAGCTATCCAGTCTACTTAACTAGATATTAGTGTTTTCTATAGTATAATTAATTATCTAAGATCTTTTCCACCTACCATTCTTAGTATCTATTAAGCTTAACTAGTCCAGGCTTTAGATCTGTATTAGAGTCCCCTTAGAATGGTTTAAGTAGTAAGATATAGAATATTAGATATAGCTTATAGAATTATAGTAGGAGCTTCAGCTTATAGGCTTATTTTTCTATAGATTTACTAATCTAGAATAGACCTATTTACTAGTAGTCTAGCTTCTTACTAGGTCTACCTATATTAATGTTTTTTATATATAGCATAACCCATTCACTAATATAGAATATTATATTAAGATAATTCTAGTTATAGTAACACTTTATAGCTTCCTTTACTATATTTAGTTAATTTAATAGGAATTCCCTTATAGCTTAGAGATCTTCTACATATGTAATAGTATTTAGGTTAAGATTATTAGTTATTTATAGAATATTAATCTATAGTTCTAGTTTATAGCCTATAAGTGCTTATACTAGTGGAATTCCTAGTACTAAATATTTAGAATTATTATAGATAAACTAGGCATATAGTAGCCATCTTATCTAATCATCCTAATAGTAGTTTATATAGGCACAGAGGTAGTATTCTAATATTTAGTTTTATCTTTCTATCTGACTATTAGTTTATAGATGAAATGCCATAGATAGGCAGTATTTAGTAGCTAGTAGGAAGCACAGGCTAGACTAAAATCCTAATATAAATAAGGATCCCTAGTTACTGATAAGGTTCTGTGGCATTCTAAAGTGTAATATAAATCTTATATAGATTAGTTTAGTAAGGTTTTCCGCAGTTATATCCTTCCTAGAGGGATAATAAACTATATATTTAGTGTATATATCCACTATAACCAGAATTAAATTATAGACTTTGTTTTCCCACTATGATGGTAGTAAATCTGTAATAAAATCCATGCTAACCCAGTCTATTAGCTTTTCTAGGACTGGTAAGGGTTATAAAAGTCTATATAACTTATATCTATGCACCATAATTTACTAGTAGACTATATATTATTAGATATATTCCTTAATATCCATAGTGATATCATACCACTAATATTAGCTTTAGATAGTATTTAAGGTATAATTTTCTCTAAAATATCTGCCTTATAGATTACTATAGTTTTGATAGAGAATCTCTTATTAAATTATAGGCACTTTTAATATAAATATATAATTCCTAACCTAGAGAAGTCTATCTTTAGATCTTAACTAGAGTAAGCTAGCTTACTACTTTAGAGTTATTTCTACTATTTTATATAGTACCTTAACACATCTTAGGCATTTAGCCTATACCCTGCATAGTAGGTCTACTATAGTTAGTTCTAATTCTGAAGTATAAGTAGCCTTATGCTATATAGCAGCTTTAGCTATAGTATATAACACTAGAATATCTAGAATATCTATATTATTATTAGTATAGCTCTAGAGGGTGTCAACTATTAGGTCTACTATTAGCTCTTAATTCTATACTAGCATTCTAATCTATATTAGTTTCTCTTCTTAGATTAATAGACTATCCTATATTTTAGTTTATAGTTTCTCTAGCAGTGAGTCTGCTGCATATTTATCAGGATTAATAGTATAGTCTAGATAATAGCTAGATACATCTGCAGGATTATTCTTCCTAGAGTAGTGTTTAATTTAGATATTAAATATAGATAAGAATTCCACCTATCTTATATAACACCTGTTAAGTATTTTCATTATTAGAAAGGCCTGCAGGTTAGCATAGTTAGTAAGAATTTTAATAGTATTACTATTACCTTTAATATAGTAGCACTATTACTTAATATATTCCACTATAGCAAGCATTTCTCTATTATATATATTATATCAGGTTTTAATATCTTGCATTTTCTATGACCAGTATGCTACTAGATGCTATTATCTATTATCTTAGAGCTAACTAAAGATGCTAGTAACCATAGCCTTTAAGGTATTAGGCTTAATGTAGCTTTTCCTCTTTAGGTTAAAATAGTATAGTACTAGTATAGAGGTAAATCTCTACTTTAATTCTTTAAATACCTCTCTAGCTTCTATAGTAAGAAATTCCCTTTCCCCTTTTAGAGGTTCTTAAGTATATTATTTTCTGCCCTTTATTATATATCCTTTAGTTAGGTTAGTTAGAGGTGTAGTAATCTTAGAGTAGTACTTAATAAATCTCTAGTAGAAGTTAATAAAGCCTAGGAATTACTATACTTTACAGATATTCTAGGGTTCAGGCCATTCTATAATAGTAGTGATATAGCTAGGTTCCATCTTAATACCCTCTATATTAATATTAAACCCCAGGAAATTAATTTCTATAGTATGGAATTTATATTTACTATATTTAGCATAAAGTCTATATTTATAGAGTCTAGTTAGGACCTCCTGGACCTGCTAGAGGTATTCTTCCTCAGTGTTAGAATAAATAATAATATTATCTAGATACACAATGCAGTAAGTATCTAATAGATCACTTATAGCCTAGTTAATATATAATTAGAATATGGCTGGTGTGTTTGCTAGGCTGAATAGCATAACTATATATTTAAAATATCTATATCTTATATAGAATGCCATTTTCTATTTATTACCTTTCTAAATTCAGATCTAGTAGTAAGCATCTCAGAGATCTAGCTTTATATAGATCTTAGCACTAGATAATTAGTCTATTAGCTTATTTATAAGTGGTAGTGAATAACAGTTTTTTACTATAATTTTATTTAGGCCTTAGTAATTAATATAGAGTCATAGGCTACTATCCTTCTTTAGTATAAATAATACTAGGGCACCTACAGGACTCTTAGATAGCCTAATCTATCCTCTCTATAGATATTCCTTAATATAATTCTAAAGGACTTAAAGTTCTTCCTATAATAGTAGGTATAGTAGCTTATAAGGTAGCTAAGTTCCCTCTTTAAGTTCTATTATATAATTATATATAGCATTCTTAGGTAGGATACTAGCTTGCTCTTTACTAAAGATATCTATAAATTCTATATATTCTAGAGGCAGAAGTGGTACATCTCTAATACCCTTTATAGTAGCCTATAGGTGGATAGTTTTTTCTATCCTAATAGGTATAGTAATTATGTAAAATAGTACTTTATAGGCTTACAGTTCTTCTATAGCTATAGTAGTAGATATTAGTTTAATATTTAGCTTATTATTTTTATCAGGGGATTCTGGATGGTAGTGCTAAGTAAGGTTTTTCTAGTTAATATCTAGGTTAATAGCTTTTAGCCAGTCTATTCCTAGAATTAAATTATATTCTACCATATTGACTGCCTCAGCGGCCAGTTGGTAAATTCTGATATTTCCCATAGAATTAGTAATCTTAATTTCTAGGTTATATTATCTATAAGATATTACCTTATAGCTATTAATTACCTACACCAGTTATAGTAGACTTTCTATATTAGGTAGGAACTCTTTTACCTATCACTAGTTAATAAATATTTATTTAGCTCTGTAGTTAATTAATATTTAATATTAGTAGTGGCTTCCCTTAATAAGAATATTTATTAGGTAAGCTAGTGCCTAGCTACTATTAGAATTTCTTCTAATACCTAATGCCACAGCAGCGCATAGCACAGGCTAGCTTAGTTTTTTAAATATTTAGGAACCCATAGCTTAGTGCAGTGTTTTAGCTAGTGGCTATATTCTCTATATCTATTATAGTATAGTCTAGGATAATCCTAGTATAGAGAGTAGGAGTGTTTCTACTTCCTAGATTCTAATCTATAATTATTACTAGAATATCTATTATCTCTAGGCTGATAGTCCTTAGTGCAGCCTAACTAGTTACTATAGGGTTTGGAATTCTACTAATTATTATATTAGATATTATATTATTTCCATAGGGCATCCTATTATGATGGGATTCTATCTTTAATAGTAGCTAGGTAGGAGATATATACCTTTAGTAGTTCTAGTAGGTTAGTAAATCTAGTAGCTTTACTCTGAATAATTAGTAAAATATAGGTGTAGAGGAAGTCTTTATAAATAAAATCTAGTAGTGATTAAGCTAGTTAGCTATAGATTCTATTAATAAATATAGAGAACTTCTATATACTTTAGTATTCTAGCTAGATAGTAGAGAAATATTATACTACTGCTTCCTTATAGAGTTATTCTAGTGTGGAAACTAGATATAAGCAGAAGTCTTAAAAGTCTAACTATCTAGGTATTTTAGTAAGCTTAGCCTTATAAGTCTGCTATTTATTATAGTATATATCTATAAGCTAGGCTGAAGCTATATAGATATAGTTTTCTTTATTCTTAAACTAGTCTAGATATTCTTTAAAGTATGCCTCTAGGTAGTTAAAGAAGGTAATGTATTCCTATATAGAATATATAGTAAATTACTTAATATTTACTAGCTTCTATAGTCTTTCTAGTCTAGTAATCTTTACCTTAATCTCTATAGTTAATTCTAGCAGTAGTCTAGCATTCCCTACTTCTTATCTAATAAGGTTATCTACCTCCTAGTGTAGTGTAGGTGTAGGATCTTTATTATAGTTTCCCTATAATTAGGATTCTATCTCCTAGATATATCTCCTAATTTCTGCTTATCTAAGCTTTTACTTAAGCTAGTATTCTCTTTCTAGAAGCTTATAAGTAATCTTATTATTATTATTAGGGGTGGTGCTTATTAGTTACTTCCCTTTTTCTATATACTAGGCTTCTAATTCTATAGGGGTATTTGCCCTTTCCACCCTTTTAGGGGTAGATTAGTTATTTATATATAGTAGGTGGATACTATTATAACTATTATCTAGTTATTTAATTATAGATTCTGTAAGATTAGTTAGTTCTTTATAGATAGGGATTATTCTTTCCACTGTAGATATAGATTTATAGCATGGGTTCAGAGTTCTAGAAGAAGATCTAGTATTAATTATTATCTTATAGTGTCCCAACAGGCTGATTAGATTTTTAAGAGTAATTAGAACTATAAGATCACCTACTAAGGGTTAATATCAACTGGTAAGATTAGCATGAAGGGAGCAAATATCTATATGTTGCCTAAGTAAGGAGAACTAATTGCTAAGTTCCAGAATACTCAGCTGATTATAGAGATATATACAGTGGATCATGTAATCTACTAGGTCTAAACCCTCTACACTATTGGTGTTGGCTGTGTATGGCGGCTTTATGGTTCGCCGTAGCCCTTAACAATATCTTACCCTTACTATCCTAACTACTATCCTCTAAAATCTAAAAACTACTATAACTCTAGCCTTTCTCAGTAGATCTAATATTTATTTTATATATAGATAGATATGACTATTCTCTATCTATATATATAAAAATATCCCCCTATCTAGGCCTGGATCTAGTTAGATAAGCTTATCAGTTTCTAGAGGCTCTACCCATTGGTTAACCCATATCCACATGGGTTGGATTAGGGCCAGCCCTTATCCACCCAAACAGTGGATTTGTGGGTTGGGTAAGCCAGTCTAGGTAAAACCAACACACACATCCTGGTGCATCAGTTAAAGCTCACCAACGACTTCATCTTCTCCAGTTCCCAGTATACCCTTAGTTCTCTATCATCTCGTTCACACAGGAAACCAGTATCAACATGTCAACGGCTATGGGACAAACTTTCACCGCAGAGCAAAAGAAAATCGCCGAGTTGCTCCAACTGCGGGGCGACTCCACAATGACGCATTTTTCAGCATTATAAATTCTCACCGTCAATTATACAAATTTTGAGCTTCTGGAACTTCCTGAACGTCAAAGGTCATCGAGCTCCAGTCACCAAAATGGCACCATCTATCAAGCAATGGAAGAGCAGCCTGAAGGGTATTGACAGCCTGGAACAGGCCGAGGCCCCCATGCCCGCACCCGGCCAAGGGGAAGTCCTCGTGGAAATCCATGCTGTTTCTTTGAATTACCGCGATACCGAAGGTCAGTAGCCTCGATTGGAATGCAGCGAGCTCTAAATAATTTTGTGGTCTTCAGTTGTGATGGGCGAGTACACCCACCACCGAGCAACCAGCGGAGGCGAAAAAACCGTCGTCCCCTGCAGCGATATGAGCGGTGTGGTCACTCAGGTGGGCGAGGGCGTAACGGCCTGGAAAGTCGGCGATCGTGTGCTGTCGACCTTCCTCCCCGACCACCAGACCGGACAAGTGACCGAGAAGGAACTAGCACGCGGTCTGGGCTTGCCGATGGATGGAGTGCTGGCGACACATCGTGTGTTTGCCGAGCAGGCTCTGGTTCGGGCTCCCGGTTATATGACCCACGCGGAGGCTAGTACGCTTCCCATTGCGAGTGTGACGGCGTGGATGTCGATCAATGGCATGCGGCCGATGGGACAGAATGGGGGAGAGGGCAAGTATGTTTTGTTGCTTGGGACGGGTGGTGTCTCGATTGCTGGTCTGCAGATTGCGAAGGCATCCGGGGCGAAAGGTTTGTTTTGTAATGCTTATGCGCTTTTGGCATGCGATTGACACTTCCAGTGATTATCACGTCTTCGTCTGACGAGAAGCTGGAGCAAGCGAAGAAGCTCGGCGCTGACTATACCATCAACTACCGCACGATCCCCAACTGGAACGAGGAAGTGATACGGGTGACGAACAACCACGGAGCGGACATCATCCTCGAGACCGGAGGTTCGGAGACCCTGAGCAAGACATTTGACTGCGTCGCCTTTGGTGGACTGATCGATTGCATCGGCTACACGTCTGGAAAGCAGCACAATCCGAACGACACCCTCAACATGAACGTGCTCACGCTGCGCAAGAACCTCACGATCAAGGGCATCATCAACGGTCCCAAGGACCGCTTCGAGGAGATGGTGCGGTTCTACGAGAAGCACCAGATCCACCCTGTTGTCAACCGGGTATTCCCCTTCAAGGAATCAAAAGAGGCATTCAAGTTCCTGGCAAGCGGAGCGCATTTCGGAAAGGTCGTGATCAAGGTGAAGGACCAGTAGCCATTCATCGTGTATAATGTACTATATCTCCAATTCTATCTAGAAAAAGACATAACACGCCGGTCAATCACCCCGACTAGCCTTGACCTCCCCCGACCCACCCACATCCTCCCCAAGCGCAACCCCCCCGACCACTATCGGCTGAATATCCTGCAATATAAAGACCATCCGCGACCACTCCGTCTCACTCGGATTCCTCCACGCATGCTTGGTTCCCCGCTGCACAGCAATATCCCCCGCCTTCAACATCCTCTTCTCCCCCGAATCCAGGATCATCTCAATCTCCCCCTGCAGGACAATGCCGTAGTCCAGGCTCTGCGTGCGATGCATGAATGGCTCTCCACCGGGTCCGAAATCGACAAACCGACAGACCGTCCCGCCAGGGTTCACCAGGCCCATGGTATTCTTCTGCATCAGTTGCTCGTGGACTTTAATGTCGGTCTCGTTGTTTAGATTGGCGGGGAATTCGGAGGTCGTGTAGGCGACTCCCATACCCAGCGCGCCGTCCTGGTAGGAGGCCCAGGTGATAGGCTGCTCCGAGTGGATGATGGCTTGGCCGGAGGGGTTGTGGGTGGTGATGTAGCGGGTTACCCCGCCAAGGGGGGAGATTTGGCCTGGGTTTGTAGACATGATGGTGGGAGATGGTTGTTAAGGTTTGCCCGGGATGAGGAGATGGATGAATGGATGTAGAGAGTGGAAGAGACACTGGACGGGGTACCACCTTTTATACGAGCGACTCGTATCGGCAAGGTCTTCAATCTTACAGAGCTGAAGCGGTCGTGCTGCAGGATTTCTGCAAGGATGACCTGGTCTGGCTCTCATTAGGTTTGTCTTAGTCTTGAACAGCCTAAACGGCCTTCAGTAAACCTACTGCGGTGCACTGCCTATTAATTATCTCATCATGCTAGATTTATTATTTAACCAATCCTTCCACCTAGTTATTGAGTTGCCACAGCGCTCAGTCCATTTAGTACCCTCCCTTGCGAGCATATTGTTAGCAGATGCTAAATTCTTCACAGTTTATTTATGATAATAAATAGTATAAATAGTATAAATAGAGAATGCATCATATATACTACAGGCCGTGCAGCAGTAAACTCCACATTAAGTTTGATTAATAATTTTGTGCTTCACTGTACTTATCTCTAGATTCAAGTGAATTATCACTACAGCACAAGCTATGTGTACATATTTTTGCTTGTGTTGCTCATCTCATAAGTAGCAAATGCTTTTCGCTTAATATATCAAGGGCACCTCTCATCCCTCACTAGAAGTCTGTGTAATGGAAAAAGGGAAATAGCATCTAAGATGGGGGCCCTTAACATCATCTAGCTGCTCAACTTCATTTTCCCTTAGCAATTCCTAAGCCAACCACATTCTCAGAGAACTTATCCGGTGACACCTATTCTTCAATGTTACGATCCTCTTTACCAGACTGGATCACGCCCTTTGCAGGAATTCTTTTAACCTGCCACGGCAGAATTTACCAGGAGCATTAAGTACAGAACAGCTGTATCCCTGAACCTCCATGAGTCGTCATTCTCCAGGCGTGTTTGTTTATCAGATACTGGCCATCCAGCCATCATAGATGGAGTCCTTTTGGCGATCGATATCTCTATAACTCCCAGGAAGGAGCACACACACACACTCCATCGATCCAATTCACCAGCATCTTCTCCAGAAGGTCTCCGCTAGCTGATACGCGTTCATTCAAGCATGATCTTCTCACCACCTTCCAACGCCCCATCACTCTCCATATGTGATTTTCTCTGATTGATAATCACTCTTTGACGGGGTCACTGTGGGCACACTACCAAGATGTGACCAGCAGCGCCCTGCGCAACGCTAGGGGCTTCCTCGTCCGTGGATCTGGACGTATACTGTTCCTTATTGATAATGTGACCCAGAAGGCAGCTTCACGCCGACTGGCTTTGACTGGAATAATGAGCATACCATCCTGGCCCGACAACTCGTCGTATTCTGTCCCAAGACAGGAAAAGCCCCATAGAGCTTAAGGTGAGGTGTTTGCTCTTGAGCTCTTCGGCATTTCGATTCCGCCTATGAGAATAATTCGGGCTGCTTTGAATGCTTTCCATTACACAATTGTTGAATGCAATCTGTCAGACGTGGAGGTACATTCTGTCTACATGGAACTGATCCGGTTCCTCGTTATGCCGCTCGAGGCTGGTGAGGCCTGTCGTTGCCGCCGAAGCGATCAATTATTTTGCATTGTATCAGAGTGTTAATGACTCCAGCTCTGATGTGCATGAAATGTGCATGAGATTAAGGCTCTATTCTATCGGAATGCTTCGGATTCATGTTTCTATTGACCCATTCAGAAATCATTGGCCCCAACTGCGTCTCACCATTTCAACTATCCCCCGTCCCTGCAATACGTGGCGCCAAATCCCGGCGCTCTATGACAGCATACGATTGGACATACTTGACTTCAGTTTCCCGCCAGCTTGGCGGCAACATGGCGGCAAGCATTAGGCTGAAACAGAAAGCAACCCAGGTGAGTAACCTCTCTCATTTAAATTGAGCCCAGGTGGACAAAGCCTAACATCCCTAGTTTACCTCATGGAAACCACTTTGAGATGAATAGCATCGAGGTTTTTGAATGTATAGGACCAACCGCTATCAAGCGTCAGGTGTCTGCGTTCGGAGGGACAGACGGCAGCGAAAGCAAACGGCCTCGCATTGAAGATAGACATGGTACCCATACCCACGTTGAACGTTCTCTATATAAGAATGACAATGACCTGAGCATGCTCTGCCCGGAAACCGGGCGATGCGATATGTGCTTTGGAGAGGTAGGTGCCGGGTCACCCAGCTGTCATATATACATGCTAATAGTTGTCAGATTATCGGCACAGCAGCCTCCACCTTCAAGGGGGAAGGTGGTAAAAATTCGGCTGAAGTGAACATAGAGCCTTTTGGTAATGTGCTCAAATTATCGTTCAAGGATTCGGGCAAATATGCAGGTATAGTCTCTATGGCCGTACTCGTCACTCTTTTGGAGCAACATACCGTCAAGCTGGCGGGAACCCTGTTTGCTCCAAATGATCCTAAAGATACGAATTCTCGGCCGGGCGCGGTCATTCGTATCGTCCTTTACGGCCGTGGAGACGAAAAGGAAGCCGTCGGTGCTTGTTTATCAGAGGCGGGTGTGTATCTGCAGCACCCTAGAATCACAGAATATGATCATCGCATGCCATATGCCAACCCGCAATTTCTTATACGACCGGGAAGTGAAATGCCAAAGCTTGAGGATCTGGTTCTTTCTGATGACGAAAAGCATCTGCAAAGCTCAGAATCGTTGACTACGGGCGAAAAGAGCGAAATTATGAGAATATTCGACTCTGCCAACACAGCCAATGGCCCCTATCACGCCAGATCTAGCCCGAGGCTTGCGTCTACTCTCAAGGAGTACGTTTTGGCATTTCTATTGCTTGTATACGTCAACCGTCACTGATCAGGTCACAGACATCAAAGCGTAGCACTGTCGATGATGGTGGAAAGGGAGGCTGGCAGTCTCGATGATTTGAAGTTCCCGTCATTGTGGGATCGGGTAAAAGGCACCAAAGCTCCAAGGTAGGACCGTTGCGATGCCGGGGAAAGAGCGTGTGATAACTAGTGGCACAGGTACCGACATAAAATTACAGGCACTGTCGAAGCAGTACCGGGGCCGTTGAAGGGTGGAATCCTTGCCGATGTGAGCTCCTTCGTCATACCTCACCTAGGAAGAAGCTGATATTATACAGGAAATGGGCCTGGGAAAAACACTAAGTCTGCTTGCACTGGTTTGCTTGTCCCTTGATAGATTCAGCGAGGAGCAGTTGCCGAGTAGCATCCCTCGAGCGACCCTAATAATTACGCCGAAATCTAGTAAGTTATTCTAATGTACCATATCTTTGCAAAGAGCGAATATTGACGGGCGAAGCTATCCACGGCTGGGAGGAACAGATCAAAAGGTAGGACGAGATGCCGTCGCTATTTATACTGATCTAACCGTATTCTTAGACACATTCGACCAGGCCAAGTACGATATTTGGTGTATCATGGTCTCAAGCGACGGGAAACACAGCAAACACTATCACAGAACTACGACATTGTCATCACTACGTATGACACACTACGGCTGGATTGGCTTGCAGGCAGCGGTTTGCACAGAGAAACCTGGTATAGAATCGCCCTGGATGAAGGTATGAGTATAGGGAGGAATCTATTTTCGAATGACCATTGACAGTTGCACGCTTAGCGCATAAGATCCGCAACCGATCCTCTCAAATCTTCGAAGCAGTAACTTCAATAAAAGCGCACTTGCGATGGTGCCTGACCGGCACACCGATCCACAACTCGCTCGATGATTACGGTGCCCTTCTGAGCTTCATTGGGGTGCCGGCTCTCAGTGACAAGGCCGCATTCGATTACTGGATCGCAAGTCCAGTGAGACAGAAACAAATGGGCGGACTCCAAAAACTTCAGTACCTAGTGGCTGCCACAGCGTTCCGGCGCACCAAGTCTATGATTAAGACCACGATCAAGCTGCCGAAAAAGGTAGAGAAGATTGAGTTGGTACAGCTCGCTGGCGCGGACCGGGACCTATATGAATTCTTCAAGGCCAAAGCATCGAAGACTGTAGACCAACTTACTGCAACCGCAGGCAACAAGAAAGAGAACACGCTTTCCCTGATTAACTTCCTACGACTTATATGCAACCATGGTGAAAATCTGCTACCTGAATCAGCGATCAATGCATGGCGAACCCGACAGCAGGAGCAGACAACAGATGACTTGTCTTTTGGTAGAGGGCCTGAAGCATCCAGTCTACATGCACCTGTTTCCGTGGATGGAGCAACCCCCGGATGTGGAGTGTACACTAATGACGAGGGGAGTAGCAACGCGAATGCTGTCTCCTCCTCCTCCTCCTCCTCTTCCTCAGATGAATTCCTCACCAGCCCAGACGTGGCATCTACTCCATTGACTCCGTCCGAATTATGTATTTGCCCGTCGGCGAAGGTCAAGGCCCTACTGAAGAATCTGGAGGGGGAGCAAAGAACTGATAGAGGCACACCTTGCCGACCGGTCAAGAGGTAACAAGGGAACATCAATTGAAGGGCTGGCCAAACATCGCTAACCGGGATAGTGTCATTTTCAGCCAATGGACCAAAATGCTTGATCTGGTCGCCCAGGCCCTTCGACAACACGATTACAAGTATGCACGCATCGATGGTCAGTCGAGTCTAGCGGACCGTCGCACTGCAATCCGGAAGTTGAATGAAGATCATAACTGCACAGTCATGCTCGCCAGTATTGGAAGTGCTGGAGAAGGGTAGCTAGCTATCTCAACCTCTGAATTGGCGATAGGAGCAGCTAATACCTATCGACAGGGTCGACCTAACCGCAGCGAATTACGTCCATCTCCTGGAGCCACACTGGAACCCAATGGCTGAGGCCCAGGCTGTTGACCGGGTTCATCGAATTGGTCAATCACGAGAAGTAGTTATCACCAGGTACCTCATCGCAAACTCCATCGAAGATGTACGGGATCTGCTTTCATGCACCGGACCTTTCTGAGAATAGGCTAACCCAATAGAAGTATGTCCGCTGGGTCCAAGAAGACAAAATGAGATTGATCAGTGAATCGCTAGGCTCCGCTGCATTGCCGCAGTCGGAGCTCGATCGACGGCGCATAGATGTATGTCATTTGCACCAGTTACTACTGCCAGTCCCAATCACAGCAGCCTGACCTTGGTTTAGAAACTGCAATCGATATTAGGCAACCCTCCATAGCAAGACCTTTCCGTGCACCTCGTCAATATGTGCTGGTGAGATGAAGGACTGGGATGGTTTCGTGTGGCTGTGGTATGATGACATGTACGACCCATTTTTGTCCATGCATATGGAGACAGATTGAAATAATCCGATTTGTTGCAGGCGTAGCGATCATCGAGCTCCATCTGTAGTCCTTTCTAATGGTTCTGCCTTGTGTCAAGTCCAATCAAGTACAACCGTGCTTTAGTCACTCAATAGCTCGCTCCCCTAGGCTAGCTGACTGCGTGTCTCTCAACGCATCAAGTTTCTTTCCTTCCCAAAACAGCTGCACAATTGAGGAGCTCACTCACTCCCCTCCCGCGCAGATAGTGCGGTCCAAGACAATGTTGAACGCATTTCACTTGGCCGCTGATTCCATCATTGATTTGATCGAGGATGGACCCTTCTCCTTTGATTTCTGGTCTGCTCGACCAGTTCATTCCATGTTATCCCAAGCCAGCGGGAAATCTCCTTGGCGCCTTTCCCATCGGAAGGCTTTTCCGTGCGCGAACCCTTTTCGAGATCCGCGCCCTCAGAGAGGAGGAACCTCATGAATTCAGAATTCGCAAGCTGACGACTTCCGCGCAGCATATCCAAGTGCTGAAATCGCTTGCGTATTGTTCCGTCCATTGACGTCAGCTCCGTATTTGAGAAGCGCCTTCCCGAGTGGAATAGAGCATGTCGTTCTTGCAACAACACCCAAGGCAGTTGAAAGCCTAGCAACCTTGAGCTTCGGAATCCCTCCGACAGATTCCCACAGAGAAAGTAACTTATTTTCTCTTTTGGTCAGGCTGCACGTGGACTTTATGACTTTGTCATCAAGACAGACATCAAACATCCTTAGGTTCTTCTCGCGGCCTAGGAGCGCCGCCTTGTCAGCAACCAAGACCGCTGCAATATATCGCTCGCACAGTCTCCACATCTCGTCCGAGTCGGTCTTCAAAAATGCCGCAATATGATCCGCCACCTGTCTGTAATAAGGATAATAACCCATCTGGGGATTTGGCGTATGACTCGAGTCGATAAGCCAATTAATAAGCTCGACATTACCGACTTTTATAGCCCCGTGATAGAATTGATCCACTGCCCAATTCCTCATTCCCCCCTTCAAGACCTGCGTGATCATTTGCGCCATTGGCACAGACCCAACTTCTCCTACCGACCTTCCCAGGCACCAAGAAAATGAACGGGAAGAACTTGGATCGTCATTCTCAACGCGTGGCAGGAGACTCTCGACCATCTCAACTTCATCATTCCTGACTAAATCGAGCACAAGTGCCTGCACCTCATCCTGTCCTGCTGTGGCCTTACTGAGTTCTCTGGTTGCTGCCTTTTCTCTGTGGGCCTTTTCCAGGTGTTGGTCTCTCATGTTGCGGGAGATGAATCCTATTTTCTCATACTCACACCCAGAGACGTCACATTTCCACGGGCAAGTATGGTCTTTTTCATGTTTCTCTCGTTGCGCTTTAGATTCAAAGCCATGCTGTTGAAAAGGACAGTTTAAGAAGCCACATTTGAACGGTCGTTTACCGAAGTTTCGCTCAACGAGATTGCAGCGGCAGTTTTGTTGATGATAGTTGGAATGACACAGCTTGGCGTCCAGGTCTCCGTATATCTTCGCCGATACATGGAATATCAACAGTGGATCCAGACTAATCCAATTTTTCCCTGCTGCCGTCAGTCCTCTGGCCGAAGCTATGAATATAGGGGTATACCTTCGTTGATATGATACCACGTTTGTGAACATCTCCCATAAAATTGAGCTATGCTAACAAGGAAGTCATAGACGTCCGGATACTCTTTTTTGATAGGCTGCAAGTACGCAGGTTTGATAGTAGTATCCTGTTCTGTTGCAAATCTGTCATTCCTGCGTTTGGCCATCAGCGTCCTTAGACATCGCACGAGCCATACTGGCAGTATCTTGTTCTGTGTCAACTGCAAGTAGTTTTTGACCAGCTCAAACCAGCCATTTGCTGCGAAATAGTGCAGTCTATAGCTTTCATCCTGTAGGAGGCTGGTGAAGCCATCATCATCGCGCAGGATATCAACATCATAATGTCTTTGACTGAGAAAAGTGGCGCAACAGATGGCAAGATCGAGGGTCGCATGGGTAAGATTGACATGTCCGTCAATGCCGGGGCTGAACAAGTATCTTCTCTCGTTAGCCAGACATGTTGCAGTCAGACCTCACGATGCATACTCCTTGACAGTAAAGTGTACAAATTGTACATATCCGTCGGCTATCTCGATAATGGGTCCGCATAGTTTGTTAAGGGGCGGACTAGCCAACACCTTCTTCTCTAGTTCAAAGCTTCCCGGTACAATGGTCAGTGCTTGTGCGATCTCCTGGACCGTCAGCGGCGTCGGCGAGCAGCCCACCCAAGCCAGTATTCTTCTGGCCTTGTCTCGAGCCGATGATGGTCGCAGCTTGTTGATTCGTACAAGCACTCGGGAATACCTGCAAGAAGACCAATCAGTTCAACCTCGAATTTTAGGATCCCAGGCATCCCTACGCATCATCCAGGTCTTCTGGCAGTATGCTCAAGTCTTCGCAGATTTCAGCCACATCGTCTATCAGCTCAATGCCGCTCAAGACAAGTTTGGCGTACAGGAACATCCCTAAGTAATGTGTTAGCCCCAATGGCCGCCGGATAAGTGCATTTCTCCTACCCTTGGCTTTTGATGCAAGCGGTGCCAACGAGCGCTTTATTCCATCCTGGATTTGAGGAGCAAATCTTCTACTCTGGAAAATATGCTTCAGCTGATAGTCAACAAAGGCTTGGATGCTTTCCTCATTTCTTCCATCAACCCGAATCATTTTCGAGCTGTCATTGAGAATTTCTGTTATATCCTCCTCACATCTGCTGCTGATAAAAATGCGCATCTCATGGCATTCATGAGATAGATGCAAGAGTTTACCCAACAGCAGTCCACGCTCAATGGCGTCTATCTCGTCCACCCCATCAATAATGAGGAAGACCCGGCCGGCGCAATCCAGAACGGCTTTGAGTGTATTGACCGCGACGGTAACATTGCTCTTGATTTGTTCATTAGTTGAGTGACAGAGTACATCTTGGAGGTTCTCATGTTGGGACGCCAGTTGAAATAGAAGCGAGTGTAGAACACTTAGGGCCGAAGTACTGCTGCTGAAGGCGTGACTGAGAAAGGCGAAGGCAGTATGACCGATGGGATAAGCCATGTCCACCACGGAAGCCGCAAGAAACGTCTTTCCTAGACGTATGACCCTGTTATTCATGGCCGAAATGGAGAGCAGGGCCGCACAGACCTGCACCTGGAATTCCTTGAAGCCACAGGACCCTTGGAGCGCCCTGACCGACATCTAGCCAATCCTTCACCATGTCGTCTTGAAACAGCCAAGTCCCTGTACCTTCGCAGACACGGCTATGGAGCCAGTTGAGTTTATCGTCATATGTCCTCGGACTCATGTCCGCCTTGATAGCGTAAAACTGCTGCAAACGGTGTGATTTTTCAGCATTCTTGAAATCCTCAAAGGCCCTCGAGCGGGCATCATGCTCCTCCCAAATGTGCTCCAACCTCACTTCATTTCGCATCAGCAGAGCGTGTCTTTCGATGAGAGTCTTCACCAGGTTGATGTGCTCTTTTTTCCGCGGCCACAGGGCCTCGAAAAAGTATTTCCAGCCTGCACCAAGCAATATTATAGTCAGCTCAAGAGCATATATCAATCGTCTATGCGACGTTTCCTCCATACATACGTGGCATTGTGAAGAACCTTAAGCCGATCTGGTAAAAGTCTAGGATGTCCTTGAAAAACAGAACCAGAACATCGTATACCCTATCATTTTGCGAGAACAAGATTGTAACTTCCTGGAACTCCGGCAACAACTGTCCAATGTCTGCTGTTGTGTCCAAAATAGCGTCAAATGATTGTTTCAGGACGCTACTCAAATGCAGTAGCAGCTTGATCGGACCCCAGATCAATGCCATGATTTCCGGATGTACCTGGACAAAAGTATCGATGACGCCAGTATATCCTCGAAGACGGTCGAGATAACGCTCGATTTTGGCTAGATGGCGAAGGTCCTCTTTTCTGCTCTGATGAACCTGGAGCTTGTCGGTGAGGTCATAAACCTCATCAATAGATGTGACTGCAAGGATCTTAGCGTAAACTTCATCGTTGTTCAGATTTTTTTTGAATTCGTGCATGGCAGCTTGGAATGCATTTTGAATACGACTTTGTGTTGCAGCCATAACTGACACACTTGAACCACTTTTTCCGCATCCATTTGACACTCGTTTCAAGGTGCAATAACCCCTAAGGAGATCGTGCCCTGCCTAAATACTTGTCAAGGGCGGGGCAAGGCTGAAGGGCGTTGCTGGCAAGTGGCAGTGCTTTGTGTCTTGATCTTTGATCTCAGCCACAACTTGTCGGAACTAATCTTACCATGGCCTCATAATGCTTTTCAAAGGTCCAGCGAGGGCTCGACGACGTCTTCAAATGATTCATTGCAGAACGCCTAGTGCCCCTTCTGGCCACATCATGATCATCAAATAGCGGATTGCCGCCCGGACTTCGCAGGAAATCGGCCGGCAGCTGTGCTCCTTCCTTCAGCGCAAGCACACTCGCAAGTAGCATCTTGGATTTGGGATTGATTCGCACGCAGGTGCTATTTCACATTACCCTGCGTGACTGTCGCGCGACTCGTCTCTGATGAAAAGACTTGTCAGTGGATTATATGGACTTGAACTTCCTGCCAGTGCAGCGGATTGGTTACCAACGCGTAGAGGGTATGTACAGTGCGCCACCCACTGCAACACTAGAATTACGCAAAGACATCAAGATGTAGAACTTGGGGATTGTCGCAGATAAGTTCTGAAGTCATTGTGGTCAGGCGGACATTGCAACTGGAGAAAGACAGGTCAGAGAGATTTTGAGCAATGGTTAGAGGCATGGCTCAGAGGTTCTTATATTCTCGTACATTCTGTATTCATTAGTGGAGGACTTGGTCTCCTGTTGATACGTCTCCATCATGTATATTTTCTGGTGGATAACTCTGGATCCACACTGAAGCAGCCCACTCAGGAGATGATCAAGAAGTCCAAGCTTCGCTCACTGTCCCACTGGCTTTTCTGTTGCTTCCATCTAAGAGACACGCGTCATCCCCGCTGACGTGAGAAACTTTCCCTCATCAAGCACAAGAATATATATGGGTCATTATCTTCAGGCGTCCGGGAAAACCACGCAATCCACATACGGATATGCGAGTCTCCACCCCTCGGCCCTGACCCTTATCTCCGGCCCACATGCACGTCATGGCAGAGGTGTAAACAACTAATAAACAGGCACGAATCCCATCTGCTTCAATAATCTACACACCAGAATCAACTCACAACATCATGAATCCCCTCTCAAAACCTAAACCCCAGACAATCGCCCACCGCGGCAAAACCAAACACCCCACTGCCACCAACCCCCGCTCCTCCCACTACCCCGAGAACACCCTCGAGAGCTTCCGCGCCGCCGCCGCCGCCGGCTGCGACGCCATCGAGACAGATCTCCGGGTCTCCAGCGACGGGGTCATCGTGCTCTGCCATGACCGCTCGCTGGAGCGGATATACGGCGTGAAGCGGTTCGTCGACGAATGTACCTGGGAGGAATTGCAGACGCTCAAGACTGCGCAGGCGCCGCATGTGCGGATGCCGCGGTTAGTAGATTTCCTGCAGCTGCTTTGTGAGCCTGGGTGGGAGCGGATGTGGGTGGTATTGGATATCAAGGTGTGTATTCTACCCCACTCTATTCTACCCTGATTTCAATTTAAGAGATTGCATGATACGATATGATACTGATGGGAATAGCTGGGTAATCTCCCCGAACGGATCATCCCGCTTCTTGCGCAGGCGTTTGAATCAGTCCCAAGTAGTTCTACACCGTGGTCGAAACGCCTCGTGCTCGGATGCTGGTCGGCTGCGTTCTTCCCGCTGTGTGAGAGCTACTTGCCTGGTTTTGAGACCGCGTTGATCTGCTTCGATCTGTGGTATGCGTCGCGGGTTCTGCGGGGCAGCCCGGCGTCGGTTAATGTCAATCAGAAGGTGCTGATGGGGATGGGGAGAGGGTTTCTGGAGGAAGCGCGCGCTGCGGGTCGGCGCGTGTTTGTGTGGACGGTGAACGAGCCGAGTTTGATGCGGTGGTCGATCGAGCGAGGGGTTGATGGGGTGATTACTGATGATCCGGGACGGTGTCGGGCGATGGTCCTGGATGAGGTGAAAGGTGTGAGTCCGGGGACTCAAGACGATGAGAGAGTCACTGTTTCGCAGCGGGCTCAGGCGTGGGCTGTGTCGCTTCTGGTGGTCATGTTTGCGTGGCTCTTTCGACGGAGATTTCTGTATAAGCTGGAGAAGCGGGACAAGAGCGAGTAGGAAATAGAGTTCACATTAATCATTAATGTCCTATTCACATGGCCGACCGAATTCCAAGTATGGTACACCAAGTATGCACAAATAAGAGCAGAGCTTCTGAAGCGACAGTGGGGATATAGCGTATGAACAAGAATTGTAAAGAATTGAAGTGAAAAGCAAGGGTATATAACGGTCCAGACCGGGATCAAAACGAATGAAATAAATCCAAAATATGTAGACCGCGAAAATGGGCGAAAGGTTCAATCAACGCTGCCACCAGTTCATCAGGACGAATTGAACAAAATGATAGAGATCATGTCATCATTAACCGGGTGGTCCGCCTTTCCGGGAATCGTCGGGCGCCCGCTGGGGGAGGCCCACGTGGTACATCCAACATCCCGGAAGGACGACGAGAGCCAGGAGCAGGACCTGGGCCGAAGCCAGGTGGTCCATGACCTGGGCCAGGGCGGCGGGGATACCCAGGAGACATCGGGGGGTAGTTGGGGGGACGAGCCGCCAAAGGCGACGATGGCAAGGTCGGCCGGCGCATGCGATTTGGCGACACGGATGCAGCGGCCCGGCGAGCGTCGCGTTCGCAGTACACCTGTCCGTTCCATTCAAAGTACTCGCCCTTGACAGGAATCCCGCAGGTCCGACAGGTCAAACATTCGGGGTGGAACTTCTTGTGATCCGCCGGCCCCGGGCCGCTTCTCTCGTTCGTTTCGAGATACTGGCCTTCGATACCCTTGTTGCATGCACTGCAAAGCGATCCGTTCAGTTCGTGATAGTGCTGTGCACAGTACGGGCGGTCATTCAGCACATAGAAATCGGCCGTCTCGAATGGCGATCGGCAATGACAGCAGACGAAGCATTCGCGGTGGTATCGCCCAGTCAGGCGGCCATCCTTGGACGAGACAGACTTTCCCAGAATCGCCTCACCGCATCCCCGACAACGCCCTTTGGGCCGAGGTGGCGGTCGAGCAGGAGGCTCTGTTGCCGATCGAGTGATAGTGGGCCGTACCGGGGGCTCATCTCGAGATTCGGGAGCTTCATGAGTTACGCGATGTTCGCGAGGTTGTGGAGGAACGCTTGGTGCCTTGTCTACCACCAATGACAAACTACCTTGATTGATGGCCGGGTCCGTCGGGGAGTCGGGACTAAGAAGTGAAGCCGGAATTCGCGGGGGCTCGAGGTCAATGGGACTTTCCGTCTGCTCGGTTTCGGGCAGCACTGGTTGCTGATTGCCATTGGCCTGCTGCTCTCTGACGACTCCCAGTCGGCTCGTCTCCGACGGCTTTCGTCTCGACAGGCTTGCTTCTGAAGGAAGGCTGGAAATTGAGGTTCCGCTTCGTGTTTCAGAGGGCGACGATTCGGAAGAAGAAGAAGTCGAATTTTCCGCCGCATGATCGGGAAAATCGAGCCCTAGAGCACGGGCAAACTTGGAAACCGATGTATTGCTTTCACCTGTGCCTTTCCTGGACACATCCTTTGGCTCAGACTGGGGGACACTGGGTTGTTCAAGGTCTGAGCCCGAGGGCCGAAAAGCTTTGTATGATATGTTGGCAGAGGACGAAGACGACGATCGTGCTTCATTCCGATCAAGCCACTCAGCGGGTAAGCCAAACGAACTCTGCGACGGGCTTCGGAAGAAGAGCTCAGCGGAGCCTCGTGTGCTGCTAAGCCGGTCTGAATTCGTATGAGACGATACACGCAATGGATCAGGAAATGGTTTCTCGGCGGTTGCTACCCCGAAATCGAACCCGCTGAAGCTGCCGCCCTTTCCGTCATGCTTCGGGCTTTCCGCCCCAGCTGATTGCTCGACTGAGGATGAATGCTCGATCAAAGGTTCTAGATGATTGGCGCGGCCAGATGATGCCTCTTCCCTAAATTGATGTGACTCTTGAGCAATGCTTCCGAAAGAGGGTCGTCGACTGGACATGGCAGTCGATCGCTTGGAGCTGTTCTCGCCATACCGGGTACTCCCGGCGGACGTTCCGTAACTACTCCTGCTATCAATCGAGTCCCCATGTCTATGGGAGATCGCTTGAGCGGGAGGCCTATCATGCTGTTTCGTCAAAGGCGGGGGTGAGCGTCCTCTCTCGTATCCTGACATGCGCGCACTCTGCGGAGGCTGCGGAGCCTCTCCATCCATCGCATGCGCGAAATGCGGGGAGGGCACTGGCGGTGCAGTTTGGGCTATCTGCAACCGAGACAGTGAAGCATTTCGTTTCTTGGAGATCGATCGTGGCAAGGGGAACGCCGGTAAGTCGCCAACTGGCTTGATCACATCAGGAGAATCAGGTTCATCCAAAAGGGGAGATATGCGACTCCTTTGCTGCAAATATGGCGACCGTTGTCCTGTCGATACTGAAAGCGGAGACGGAGTCAGAGAGTCCTTTTCACTCTTGGATAGATCTTCATTGGGGTGCAAGTACGGCCGATCTAGTAGTTCCAATCACATTAGTCCAAGCTTAATGATAAGAAAGGAGAGGTCGATGCGTATCCATAACATACTCGCTAAAATTGGATCGATGCGCGGTGGAGGCCCCGGTCGTCCCAGTCTGGGTCCAGACGGGTTCCTCAGGTGAGTCGAGACTGTCGCAGAGTCGGATTCTGGGGGAGGCGATGGAGGCGGCGGAGATGGAGGTGCTTGGACAGAGTCAGTAAGGCAGATATATGATTGATATATTGACAGTCGAGCAACTACCTGGCACAGGTTTGCAGACGTGATCTCCCATCTCAGAGATCTCAACATTCAGCCCGCAATTGGAGCATTTGATGGTGGGCGACAGGGCCCCGTCCATCAATCCCGCCATGTCGACCGACAAGAGGTCTACAGGATATACAGATCACTGATACTGTTCGTTCATTGAATTGATAAACAGGCACAAAGGTGAATGAATGCCTCTGATTAAGCAGTAGCCGTCATCTGTCCGTTTGCTCGGTCTACCACTGGTCACCATCCACGTAAGGATCCCTGCTCGCTCTGCATCGAAGACTGATATTTCTTTGCTGTTGTTCTCCGACAGTTCGAATCCTGTGGTTAAAGTGGTCAAGCCAGTCCAGGAATAGCGCAACAATCAATGTTCGAGATGCATAGAAGTAGGTATGTCAAACTGCAAGGAGTGGAGGAGGAGGAAAATGGATGACAATAATAGTGCAGTACTGTTTGGAGGCGGGTTTCTGTCGAGTGGGACCAACCGCGAATGATGGCCCTCGTGTGACGATCCAGAACTTAGTGTGCTTTGATTTTCGACGGTGCGGCCCCAATCAGGAGTAGCTCAGGATGACACGCGTTCTTGAATTGGTCTTGGTCTTATTCTGCTCTATTTTTCTCGCAGCAGAAGAAGGCTGTTGGCGGAGCAAAGCAAACTAATCGAACCTACGAGATGTTTGGCTTGCCTGAGGCGTCGAGGTCTGATTGGGTGGTGATGTTTTTCTGTTTTGGGAACTGACGCCCCTTTTCCCATGAACATCACACAAACATATTGGCCTCTGTTTTTTGGATGCTTCTGACCATTCATGCTTTTTCGGATAATTCTGGATTTCGCGGTAATCTGCATATCTGATAATTGAGAGCACTATCAGGTTTGAGGGGCATACTCATGATTGTGCCTCTCGCCCCTCACAAAAGGTCCATGGTCCAGGATGACAACCCCTGAACCAAGAACCACCGAAACTGGAGAGCCGCCGATCGTTCCTCAGGGGCAACTGGTCGCTCTACTATCAAACCATTGGCTGTCAATACATCAGCCCTGTTCCTCCTCTGTTCAAAACTCTGAGGTCGTATCTATTCCAACCCTGATGGTGCACGAGCCTCTCATTTAGCCTGTGTTTTTTTGCCGCCAATGTTGGTATGATTATTGCTGGACAACAGTGCTCTCTCTTATTGCTGAATTCTTCGTCTGATGACTCAAGATTATTACTTGCAGGTGTCTCTTGGGGTATTCAGACGGCTTCTGTTTGCGTCCAGGTCATGGTTTACTTTGCTGCAAAGATGTGGACCTGAATATTGCCTTGAGGCAAGGGGCGCAAACTTAACCGGCCATAGTAGCTGCACTGAGCCGTCACCACTCACGATACGAAGTGAGGAGTCGATCCGCGGGACGTCAATGGAGACTCCCAAGTCGGCGATTATGACTACAGATTCGAGCATCATCTCACTGCACAGGCTTCTGGAAGGCCAGATTGCGCTTTTTCTTAGAGATCAAGTGATCTAGGGCATTGTTTTCTACGTTGTCGGATACTCCGGACGATTGAAGTCAAAACACAGGGCGTACCGTGGTTGCAGGAAGATCACTTTCTGACCTCGTGAGCTCAACTATGGAGCAAACCATTATTCATGAGTCGTAAATTTGGACACTCTTCCTTCGATTGAAGGAAAAGATATTCTGGCCGTTCTTTATGTCAACAGATCGCAACAATGCAGATTGTGATGGCTCTTTCAGTCAATAATGAGCTCACAATGTCTATTGCCCTGGCATCTGATAGACTCGGACGCATCCCAGCCCCACTCATCAACTCGAGGCTCAGGAGTTGGGAGGCTCACCTTTCTCTCTGGCAAGTCGGCACATTGAAAGATAGCACATACAATTCTCTTTCATTCCATACACGCCATTGCTTGACCTTGTGGTTATATGATTACCTAGTAATCTGCGACCTCATAGCAGAATACCTGCGGGCACCAGAATGTCTGCCTGGGGCTCACGTCGTATTTCTTACAGACCGTTTGTGACTACGGCTCTAGCGAAGTAATCTGCTGGCATATTGATTGCACTACTGGACGTAAGCCCGCATAAAGAATTATGACTTGAGAACGAGACCATCGTGTTGGATGTAACCATGGAACGTCCAGCCGAGCTTCCCGCCTACGGAGTACTGCACACCGCAACATTCCAGGGGCAGTGCTTCATGAGGCCGCACCAGTCCACTAGCATTCGTACACGAATTTAAATCCATTATAGATATTCCTTGTCTGTATATCAGCATTAGATCAACCCTTTGATCTTTGCTTACTTCCATTGAAATGTCCAGTTGTTCAATGTGCAAGACGGCCGAGCCTAGGCACGTAGGCTCCAGTCTTCCATCCGTACTCCGTAGACCGCCAATTCCAAAGCGGAGCATCTGCAACAGTAAACTGTTTTCGTCCAGGTCAACAGCGACTCGGCCCACTCTTTTCGCAAGCGATGCAAGCGCAGACCACATGTTGTCCTTTCCTGAATTGATCCGATGTGTTGTCTCAGTTACATTCTCAATCTAGGCACGTTCCATGTGCTCAATTGCCTGTTGTCCGTTGTCATTATTGGTGGTCTGTAGTACTACAAGTATCAAGAGATATGGAACATGGCTCATGAAGTTTTCATTTATCCGGTAGATAAAGCACGAGCCGACTAGCTCTGACAAACGACAGCAAGATTGAGACTGACGGAACAACCTTGGAACCTTGCATATTAATTAGTCTCGGTGTATCAGTCTAGTGCTATCAACCGAGGAACAGCGGGTGGTCATCATGCAGGCAGCAGTTTTGGGAGCTTCACTAACTGTCAGTAGCAATCAATGAGCAGAGTCCTGAAAGATTATACAAAGCAAAGGATGGCTTCGATCTGTACAAGGGCAATTAGTAGGTCAATGGACAGTACTAATGGAGGGGTCCTTGGAGGGGCACTAGACAGTGCGTACCTGTGCATTTACTGATAGTCACACCGCAATAGTAATTTAATTAATTAACAATATGGTTAATTAGAAATATTTAGAGCTTTCATTTAATTCAAACTGACAATTCACTGCCCCTGATTCCTATTTCCGTTGTCGCTAACAAGTCACTACTGTCAACTCGAGCCTAATTAGGGTAGAACCTTGGGGAATGCTCAGGGTTGCGGAGCAATGCGGGAGACACCGTGACTAAGGAGTATTTGTGGTCCGCTTTAAATATCTCCCGTTCTTCCTCATCTCGCCCCTTGGTTTTCCTTCTTTCTCCCTCAACACATCGTACATCAGCTTCTGTTCTCCAGTCCAAGAATTTTCCTGGTTCTAAGCTTTCTGATCACACTCTCTGAGGCGTGATCGCTTAAAAAACCGTCAAAATTTTCGGCACACTTCTCAACTCGTAAGTACTGCGTCATGTCCAGAACCATTCCCCGTCTCAAGGTCAGGAAGCTCAATTGAGCCTTCCTTCCTCGACTCGCGAGTGCATAACATCACAATTGATCCCAGCTGACATGATTTGACTTTAGGCGTCACCACCCGTTCAACGGCCGGCGCTCATCCTCTCGTGGCGGAGCACCGGATAGTTCACTATACATCCAATAAATCACTCGAGCTTTAGCAAGTATTAACGCAATGGCTCCCCACGCAAACTCGGATGCTGCTGCCAATGGCGCCGTGAACGGGTCGGGTCGTACCACCACCGCTCCTCTTTTCACCGTCGACTCGCCCAACGTTGAGTACACTGACAACGAGATCAAGAGTCAGTATGCTTACCACACCGCGGACATTACTCGCAATGCCGACGGTAAGATGGTCGCCACTCCCAAGGTGACCAACTTCCAGTTCAAGGTTGACCGCAAGGTCGGCAAGGTCGGTATGATGCTGGTCGGTTGGGGTGGAAACAACGGCACCACGGTGACTGCTGGTATCCTTGCGAACCGCCGCCGTCTCGTCTGGGAGACCCGCGAAGGCGAGCGCGCTGCCAACTACTACGGCTCCGTTGTCATGAGCTCCACCGTCAAGCTAGGTACCGATTCCAAGACGGGTGAGGAGATCAACATTCCGTTCCATGACATGCTCCCGATGGTCCACCCCAATGATCTTGCCATTGGCGGTTGGGACATCAGCAGCATGAACCTTGCCGATGCCATGGATCGGGCGCAGGTTCTTGAGCCATCCCTCAAGCAGCTGGTCCGTAAGGAGATGGCCGAGATGAAGCCCTTGCCCAGTATCTACTACCCCGATTTCATTGCTGCCAACCAGGAAGACCGTGCAGACAATCTCATCGAGGGCGACAAGGCCTGCTGGGCTCATGTCGAGCGTATCCAGAAGGACATGCGGTGAGTGCAACCAACTGATCCGGTAATATAAGATGCTAATAAAGTCAATAGTGACTTCAAGGCTCAGAACGGCCTGGACAAGGTCATTGTCATGTGGACTGCCAACACTGAGCGCTACGCTGATATCATCCCCGGTGTCAACGATACCGCAGACAACCTGCTGAACGCCATCAAGGCCGGCCACCTGGAGGTCTCTCCTTCTACCGTTTTTGCGGTGGCTTGTATCTTGGACAACGTTCCTTTCATCAACGGATCGCCCCAGAACACCTTCGTCCCCGGTGCCATTCAGCTTGCTGAGAAGCACGGTGCCTTCATTGGTGGTGACGACTTCAAGTCTGGCCAGACCAAGATGAAGTCTGCTCTGGTTGACTTTTTGATCAACGCGGGTATCAAGCTCACCTCGATAGCCAGCTACAACCACTTGGGTAACAACGACGGTAAGAACTTGAGCTCTCAGAAGCAGTTCCGTTCCAAGGAGATCTCCAAGTCCAATGTCGTTGATGACATGGTCGCGGCCAACCACATCCTGTACGAGGAGGGCGAACACCCCGACCACACTGTTGTCATCAAGTACATGCCCGCTGTCGGTGACAACAAGCGTGCTCTGGATGAGTACTACGCCGAGATCTTCATGGGTGGCCACCAGACCATCAGTTTGTTCAACATCTGCGAGGACTCTCTGCTTGCTTCCCCTCTGATCATCGACCTGGTTGTCATTGCCGAGATGATGACTCGTATCACCTGGAAGTCGGCTGACGACGCCGAGTACA